TTCTGAAGGAAGAGGTTGGTAACGATCCACTATTTAACAGAGAGAGATGGTTTAGGATTCATATCTGCTGGTGTTGATCATCTGCATTTTATCAAGTTCAAAATCAAAGAATCGTATCTACAAGACTTTAGAGGACTTCATGCAGCCCAAACTTCATGGTGATTTAAATGTTTTCCTTCCACTAAATTTACCATTAATACACTTGGAAACCATCAGCCTCTTTAGCAAAGAGATTTTAGTTATTTTGCCTGTTTTGGGATAAAAGTGAAGACCAGATTATAGGCAGCATAAAACTTATCTACTAAAAAAACACATTTAATTAGTCTGATTAAATCAGGGGTGCATGATAGTAGAAAATCCCTTTGTGGCAATCAGGATTATACTATAGTTATCTAAAACTACAGAAAAACAAAAACTGAAATAGGGGAAACGTTTTTTGGTTAACTGAAATAAATTACTGCAATTAAAAAAAGGAAAAATAAAACTTAAACTGTATCGTATGTTTATAGAAGTACGGTAACTACATCAAATTGTTTTTTTTATCTATTAAAGCCTTCCAAACAGAATTTTTTCTCCAAAGGACTCATTGATGTACCTGAAGTTTAAATATATATTTCCCCCCTTTTTTATTACTTTTTTATTACTAAAAATAATTTCATAAATACAACACTGATGTTTGAGACCTGCGACTAACAATGAATCCAAATGACATAACTAAAACTAGTACTTACCCAAATGAAAACTAAACTTAAAAGCATAATTTTGACAATATCTAATTTTAAAATACCTAAACTATTCTAAAAATTAATTAGATTTCACTGAATTAGAGAAAAAAAGCTGAATAAAACTAAATCAGAACTATTGTAACCTTTTGAGGATTAGCATCTCGATTCTGCCATCTGTCTTTACCGACAAAGCCGAGGTTCTGCATGTATGGAGTCAGGCTTTTTTAATCACTTCCCCTCAAATCTGTGCGTTACTTGATGGATTACAGCTCAGCGCCCACGTGGCAGTCTGGTTATAATTGGAAAGGCTACCATGGCAACCAATCAAAACCGACGCAGGAAGACAAAAAAGGAATTGCTTTAAAACTAAACATTGAGGTTAGATAATGTCATACCAATCAGGCCTCTTAACATTTTAACAGTTGATTGTCTCATCCTTTTTCAGACAGTTAACTTAAAAACAAATTTTCTGTAAATATTTATAATGGTTAATAAAAAAAACATAAATGAAAAAGCAGAAATTAGATGGGCCGATGCAGTTAATTGTATAGACTTGGGAAGTCTGGTTTAAATGAACAACTTCCAAACCTCTGCAGGAATTCTGTCAGAAACTATCTACACCCTTTTATGTAGTCACCCATCCTTTACAGAATAAAAGCTATAAGTTTAAACTATAATATGAAGAGGAACAGCAGGATCAGAAGGTCAAACAAAAAACAGAGCTGTAAAAGTGGATAAAGTTTGTATCTTGATCTTAATATGTAGAAGGAAAGCTGTTTTTTATTGAACTAATGTGAACAAAAACACCTTGAGTTATATTCTTCAGTTATAAGGAAATCACACATTAATAAGGTTTCTTCTCTTTGAAGAAAGATCATCTTGCATAAAGAGATTTATAGATTTAAGGTGGGATTTAGTGGTGTTCTCAGCAGAAGTCAGAGTTCCTTCAGTTGCAGAAACATTTTAAATAGTCTCAAGCTATCAGAGCTTAACATGCAGGCTGTTTCCTGGGAACTGGCTCACTTTCACTTCAGCAGCAACCGATGCAGATCCATCGTCTAGCTGTGAAAACATTTGGTGTATGAAATCAGTGAAATATGCAGCCTTCCCAAAAGTTATACCGGGCTTTAAAAACAACCTTCAAAATAATTGTAGGCATAAAAAATCTTTTTTTTTAGCTAGTTGGTTCTTAACTAGATCCAATGGGGGATTTGGCTTTACATAGAGAGAGAGCTGGTGGTTCACAGATTATCTAAAGCATTATTTGGGTCTCAGTGTGGTAAAATATGATTCCTTTAAAAGATGAAGGAAAGTCTGAATGTTGGAGAAGTTTAATCATCATCATTTAGAACAGATCCAGTTAAATGAGCAGATGTAACATTGGAAAACAAGCCTATGGATGATGCAGCTGGTTAGTCTTTGGACCAAATGTAGGGTTTAACAGTGATGAAGTAAAAAAAGAAAAGAAAAAAAAAATCACCCATAAATATGGTGGTACTTGATAAATACCATCTTGTGCTGCTTTTCTTGCTAATCAACAATATGGGTAACTTAAAAATAAGGCTCTGCTGGAGGATTCTTCGCGAAAGGATTTTTTAAAAACTAAATAACATTTTACTTCAGTTTTAAATGCTTTAAATACTTATAATAACTTTCAAGAGAAGACATGGGAGTCTTTTAATCCTTCATTAAATTATTTCACAGTATTCTGTTGATGCAACAAACTGCTCCTCCTCTACACTTTTTGTAGCCGTCAACAAGCTACTGGTAAAGTTCTGCTTGGATACTAGTCAGAATTATTCATATCATGGTTTCTGGGTAAAGATTTAATTTGTATATTTCGTTTCGTTCCCAATTATATTCTATATATTGTATTGTATATGGTACAATGGTGCTGTCAACATGGTTAACATCTTGGCGAGATTTCAAAGCATCTTCTTTACTTCTTTGAACAAACCTCTCATCATTTGGAAAAACAGGTCAAATCCTCATCTTCTCTGACCAGAAAACTTTTCTGCAGAAGATAATTGGCTGGTCCCTGATGGCTGGAACCAAAACAGGACGGAGCAATGATCCCAACACATTGTGAAACTGTTTTTGGTTAGAACTGATCAGGCCCAAGCTGAAAATGCTAAGACTTTGCTAAAAAGGGACCAACTAGTTTATATGAACCCTTCCGATAATAAAATATCCAATCAGAATCAGACCAGAAGCTTCACGATGGCTACAGTTGTTAAAGGTTTAACTTGCTTTAAGTGCTTTATCCAAACATTTAACGTCTAAGCAGAGTTAAACCCAAAAAAATTTTTTTTCAAAAAAAGAGAAGAATCTCTAAAAGCAAAATAAAACTGAATAATCAACATTTTGAACTGGATTTTTATTTACATTTCATTAAAATATTCATTTTAAAATTATGTACTGTTTTCTCAATAATCACAGAAAAAATTCATTAGCTTTACAGCAATGAACCCCTTACAGTAGCTTTTTGCACGTTGCCACTGGTGTCCCAACGAGTCATCTTTGAGATTAGAAAGCCTCCTTGCCATCACCTTAATTTTCACATCTATCCAGAGGTTCCCCATCAGATTAAAGGCACGACTGGCTGTGCCACAAGAAAATGTTAACTGTATTTGAATTTAGAGGAGATATGTCGGTTAAAACCAAAGATCACTCTAATCATGCTGAGCTATATGCATTATTTTCATCACCTTTGTTGATTGGAGAAAATGTAGAATTTCTTTAACTTTTTTTAAAAATTAAAAGACTATAAACGAACACTGTAACTTTTAGCCACTAGGGGCACTAGACCTGTAATTTCCAGGCTAAGCTCCCTTAACACAGCTGGCTGCACTGCACTAAATTATGGGATCTGATAGCAGATGTCTTTAGACCAGCAGATTGAGAAGTTATGGAGTTCCTAGTAAAGTAACTTACTCCTCTACAAAAATAAAAATAAAATCGAATCAGGTAAGTGAGATATCTGTTTTGTTGCCTAACAAAACTGTTAGCTTCAGAAAGCCATACAGCAGTCACATGACTCAACCTAAACAGGCCATTTGTTTGAAAAGCAGCTCAGACGGAGCATCAATACATGCAGAATATCGTCTTTGAAATACTTTCAATATATCACAAATTAATGAAATACCCAGGTTGAGTAGATGCAAACACCTGAGTGAAGTTGGCCCCCCCACCTTCTTCAAATCAGACTAAATTAGTGTCAATTGTTTGTGCTACATTTGTGCAGCAAAAATTTTCATTTGTGCCGCTACCATTTCAAAGATACAAAGAAATATTTCTAGAGGTCATCAGAGGTCAATCAGCCCCCCCCACCTTCTTCAAATCAGAAGAAATGGGTGTCAATTAACTCAGCTCTGTTTGTGCTGGTTTGTGCAGCAAAAATTGTCATTTGTGCTGCTTTGGCTTTGAAGATATTAATGAAAATGTAAAGGTCAAAAGGTCTACCAGCCCCCCCACCTTATTCAAATTAGACAAAATTGGTTTCAAACGTTTGTGCAGCAAAAAGTTTCGTTTGTGCCGCTTTCATTTTAAAGATATAAAGAGATGTTTCTAGAGGTCATCAAAGGTCAACCAGCCCCCCCCTCTTTCTTCAAATTTTCAAATCCATCCAGCACATACGGAGCTGAGTTAATTGACACCTATTTTGTCTGATTTGAATAAGGTGGGGGGGGCGGTTGACCTTTGATGACCTCTAGAAATATTTCTTTAAATCTTTAAAACGATAGCGGCACAAACGAAAATTTTTGCTGCACAAACGTAGCACAAACGTTTGACACCAATTTTGTCTAATTTGAATAAGGTGGGGGGGCAGGTTGACCTTTTGACCTTTACATATTAATTAATAACTTCAAATCCAAAGCAGCACAAACGAAAATGTTTGCTGCACAAACGTTTGACACTATTTTTGTCTGATTTGAAGAAGGCGGGGGGGCCAACTTCACTCAGGTGATGCAAACTTATTTCAAAATATCTTGAATCCCAAACCATTGATTGGCTGGTTTAAGTCACATTAAGCAAGTAGAAATTGATCGTTTAAGTGGAGGCTGCCACTCAGTCATCAGTCCATCACAGGCCTCCCCAAGTTTGTTTTTATCTGAGAAAGTCCCCATCATGTCGGACATGGTCCGAGTTTCAATGCAAGAGAAAACCAGAACATCTAAGCATCTTCATAATAAAGACAAAAACCGCCATGTGACCTTAATAAATACAAATAAATAACCCCCTGAAAAATAACCTTCAATCATTAAAGAACTGTTCATGATCGGTGTAAGCTTTTATTAAATGTCTTCAGGATTTAAGAACTGAAGAACGGTGCAACGTCACATAGACACTTCTAACGTCCATACCCAAAGATGTTGCAATGTCTGACATTTTCTAGCACTGACAAGTGATTTTCACCTCATAATAACCCCAAATCAGAAAATATACAGTAATCATTTGAGTCCCCGACCTGTTAGAAAGTGTTCTTGTGATGTGAAAGTTCAGAGGCCAGCTGAGATACAAAACCTTTTCCTTAGGAAAAATAAAGCAGGCATGGACCGAAAAGCAAAGATCTGTTACTGCTTTAAACAGCAGTTCCAGCCTAGGCGGTCGCTTCCGGGACTCTCATTTGGGCGGAGACGGCCATATTGGCAGAGGATGAGCCTCTGTGTTGAAGACGTACTTGTCAAGGCTGAGCAGCTCCAGGTCGTCGGTGAAGAGCAGGTACAAGTATTTGAGCGTCTCACCCAGGAAGAAGCTCTCCATCTTGTCCCGGGGCCCGGGGTTAGCGGGGTCACGGACGTTGTTAATGGAGGTGTAGCCGCCCCCAGACACCTTCGGGGGGGGGAAAGAAATTTGGTCAGGTGGTAAACGCTTCCATGGGGAAGCTGAAAAATCAATCCTGATACACGTTAAGCTTCGTCCAAGCCACCAGAGATTGAACATAAAATATAATTACATTTTCCAGGAGAAAATGGCAGAGGTCAGGAAACAGACTGCTTCTGTTATATTTGCTCCTGTGGTTTATTTTGTTCACACTTCATCTCATAAATCTGTCAAAAGCCCTCAAACTCTTCTTTTAGAGTAGAAACAAACCCGATTCAGCTTGTAATAAACCTAAAAATGTCTGATCATAAGGTGGATCTAAAAACTTCATTTGTTTGAGTAAATCAGTAAATATAACATTGCTGATTTTGGCCTAGGCAGTCATGTTGACAACTGCTAACCTGACAGAAGGGTTAGTCACAGTAAATTGAGCTGGCTATAAATTCAGCCAGGGCATATTCAATGGATAGTTAATGGAAGGAAAATCTGACTCCAGAGAATCCATTAGAAGCATCCAATCTAGACGAAAACAAAAAAGGGGCAGAGTTTTGTTCAGGAACCAACATGCTTGAGGTGTGTTGTGAAGTTTTCCCAGTCAGTGAAAATTTGATTAGTGCAATACTCCTTTGTTCTACCGATTCCCTCTGTCAAGGCAGTGTACTGCACTTTAGGCTTCCTTCCAAACAGCAAAAGATGTTAATTCAATGTTCAACTGTGATTAAAAAGATTGATTTTTGTTATCAAGAAATGATCCAATCCTAGCCAATTAAACATTGTTGAAAATATGTAATTGAATCAATGTTCTTTGGTCCAATTATAAGCACTAAATGCTAACGTCCATGTTGAGTAAAACCAAATGCTACTTGTCGCAAATTTAGATAACAGTGGATTTAACTCTGATATTATAAATACCACCTATGATTAAAAAAAAGCCTAACATGAATATTTCAACATTTGTTCACTCATATTATGCTATCTGGGCTGCTTCTGAGGATCTATATACAGATGAGCCACATCCTTCTGTAGTGCGAGCTAATAACTGCCCACCAAGGATTGTGGATCACACATTATAATTCTATAAAAAAAAATATACAATTTTTTTTTTTTTTTTTTACATAAAGGCAGGAAAGAGGATTCTGTGGTGGAATATATTTCCAATGTCTGTTTGTGTATTTTTGAAACGTGCGCATGCACCAGTGCCCCCTCCTTCGCAAAAGTTTTCTACGCTGGAAACGCCTTTGCTTGTAATTTTGTATTTCCCCTGGAGAGGTAAAGTGCCAGGATACACCAAGTCAGCAGGAAATCTCCTTAAGAAGAAGAGGTCTGTCTGCGTTATCACTGCAAGTTATATTTACAATTGGTTGGTGTGTTCTCGCTGCTGCTGCTACAACTTAAAATCGCCTCTTCTCGAACTAGCTGCATATAGCTAGTAGATACAGAAAGGCTACCAACAGGAAACGTAGGCTGTATATAATTTTTTGTCAGCGTATTACTTTACACGTTTTCGACTGTACATGTTTCGTACTTTCAGAAGTACAGTCGAACTACAGGATTTAATGTTATTTACCTGTCCAGCAGAAGTTTTGTGACCGAAGCATCCATTTTGAGACAGTTTTGCTCCCTCAGGGCACACCATCTCTGAAAAGAATCTCCTAAACACACATTTAGCCGGCTTCGTTCTCTCCCGCTTTCTCTCCTCTTTTCAACTACATCGAAGTAAACGCTTTCTTTTCCAATTAGGTTTGTAAGGATGCTTTTCGGCCATTGATGCTCCAGTTTGCACAAAGAGTGAACAACTAGCTCAAAAAAAGCTGCAGCAACATACAATCATAGGAGTACTTTTTCGCACGTAATGGCGGGCCGCTAGCAAAACAGCATGTGAGTTGCCCTTGGAGCCTGTGTAATTAACATACCGTATTTTCCGCACTATAAGGCGCACCTAAAAAACTCAAATTATTTCAAAAGCCGACAGTGCGCCTTATAATCCAGTGCGCCTTATATATGGCAACTACGATAAGCAGCCGCCGACTCCATTTTCTTCCGCGCGCAGTGCATGCTGGATATATACACCAGTATATATATTTCATTTCCATTAGTTTTTTATGTAAAGACCCCAAAATGGCTCCTATTAAGAGACACGCATATGACGCAGAGTTTAAACTCAAGGCGATCAATCACGCAGCGGAATAGAGCAGCTGCAAGAGAATTTAACATTAATGAATCAATGGTGCGAAAGTGGAGGAAGCAGCAAGATGACCTACGCCAAGTAAAGATGACTAAAAAAAGTTTCCGAGGGAATAAAGCGAGATGGCTATCTGACTGTTTTGTTGACATTCCCTTTAGCGCAGCTCCATCTATTTGATGCATAAAGTAACCCCCAGCCTCTACTGTAGCATCTATTGTATGCGCCTTATAATAGGGTGCACCTTATATATTAGGGTGACCAAACGTCCGTATTTCCCGGGACATATCCGTACTTCACGTCCTGTCCCGGGCGTCCCGGGTTTTTTTTAGAAAGTGAGGAAATGTCCTGATTTTTTCGACGCTGCGTGTGACGTAATCCCTGAGCCGCGTCAGTGCGGGCAGCCCTGTTCTTAATCAAAGGCTCTGTTCGAAAACCTGGGCTGCATCCTCCAAGGACACGGTCTACCTAGACTGGATCCCTCGAAGTCCTTGAAAATAAGGAACAGATCTACTCTTCGGCGGGTTTTACCGCCGTATGCTCTGTTGCCTAGCAACCGTGAAAGTTGACACACAAAGCAGGAAAAGAATGAATACCGAGGTTTTCAAAACTGTTTGTTTATTTATTTATTTTTTTTTAAAGTTAAAGTGAACAAAGACTACACTCAAAAGAATCCAGAGTGGAATAAAGGTTCCAACCACCGGGAGCAGGAACAAATAAAATCAAATGTAATGATAGAAACCTTAGTCAGTTAAATAACCTGCTGCTGTCATTCTGCACATCTCTGATGTTGCTGCTATTTTCAAACATCCATTACAGTAAAAATGTCCATAGCTGCATATTGGTTATTTATTCTCCAGTTTTATATTGTTAAAACATTTTACAGAATTGTATTGTTTATATTTTAACTCTTTATTCTTATACATTTTTCTAAGGTCCACATTTGTGTGACAATTTTTAATAATCTTTCTGCTGCTCTAAATTTGCCCATTGTGGGACAATAAAGGGATTTTCTATTCCATAAAAGGGTTAGAAATATATAAGTAAATCTAAACAATGTATCTACAAAATATACAGGTGCTGGTCATAAAATTAGAATATCATGAAAAAGTAGATTGATTTCAGTAATTCCATTTAAAAAGTGAAACTTGTATATTATATTCATACATTACATACAAACTCATATATTTCAGATGTTTATTTTGTTTAATTTTGATGATTACAAATGACAACAAATGAAAATCTCAAATTCATCATACCAGAAAATTAGAATATTACTGAAGACCAATAAAAACAAAGGATTTATAGAAATGTTGGCCAACTGAAAAGTATGAACATGAAAAGTATGAGCATGTACAGCACTCAGTATTTAGTTGGGCCTCCTTTGGCCTGTATTACTGCAGCAATGCGGCGTGGCATGGAGTCGATCAGTCTGTGGCACTGCTCAGGTGTTATGATAGCCCAGGTTGCTCTAATAGTGGCTTTTAGCTCTTCTGAATTGTTGGGTCTGGTGTATTGCATCTTCTTCTTCACAATACCCCATAGATTTTCTATGGGGTTAAGGTCAGGAGAGTTTGCTGGCCAATTAAGAACAGGGATACCATGGTCCTTCAACCAGGTACTGGTAGCTTTGCCACTGTGTGCAGGTGCCAAGTCCTGTTGGAAAATGAAATCTGCATCTCCAAAAAGTTGGTCAGCTGCAGGAAGCATGAAGTGCTCTAAAACTTCCTGGTATGTGGCTGCGTTGACCCTGGACCTCAGAAAACACAATGGACCAACACCAGCAGATGACATGGCACCCCAAACCATCACTGACTGTGGAAACTTTACACTGGACTTCAAGCAACGTGGATGAAGTGCCTCTCTTCTTTTCCTCCAGACTCTGGGACCTTGATTTCCAAAGGAAATGCAAAATTTACTTTCATCAGAGAACATGACTTTGGACCACTCACCAGCAGTCCAGTCCTGTTTCTCTTTAGCCCAGGCAAGACGCTTCTGACGCTGTCTGTGGTTCAAGAGTGGCTTGACACAAGGAATGCGACAGCAGAAACCCATGTCTTTCATACGTCTGTGTGTGGTGGTTCTTGAAGCACTCACTCCAGCTGCAGTCCACTCTTTGTGAATCTCCCCCACATTTTTGAATGGGTTTTGTTTCACAATCCTCTCCAGGGTGCGGTTATCTCTCTTGCTTGTACACTTTTTTCGACCACATCTTTTCCTTCCCTTCGCCTCTCTATTAATGTGCTTGGACACTGAGCTCTGTGAACAGCCAGCCTCTTTAGCGATGACCTTTTGTGTCTTGCCCTCCTTGTGCAAGGTGTCGATGGTCGTCTTTTGGACAACTGTCAAGTCAGCAGTCTTCCCCATGATTGTGTAGCCTATAGAACTAGACTGAAAGACCATTTAAAGGCTTTTGCAGGTGGTTTGAGTTAATTAGCTGATTAGAGTGTGGCACCAGGGGCCATCAATTTTGAACCTTTTCACAATATTCTAATTTTCTGATATGATGAATTTGAGATTTTCATTTGTTGTCATTTGTAATCATCAAAATTAAACAAAATAAACATCTGAAATATATGAGTTTGTATGTAATGTATGAATATAATATACAAGTTTCACTTTTTAAATGGAATTACTGAAATCAATCTACTTTTTCATGATATTCTAATTTTATGACCAGCACCTGTAATCCGGTGCGCCTTATAGTGCGGAAAATACGGTACTAGGGGGGCACATACGCAAAATGTTTGATTGACAAACAAGTAGCCAATCCACTTTCGACAGTAGGCAAAGTGAATTGGCTATTGTTTTGTAGGCACTACCAAGGCCAGTTCACGGAATTTAATTTATTAGTTTTTTTGGGGGGGAGGGGGGGGGGCATAAATGCAAGAATGCCATCCATCAATTCAGTCAGTTTAGATTAATCAGGACACTTAATTTCTGAGACAAATCCTCTTTTATACCTTTAATATTCCCATTATTACACATGCTAAATTAACAGAAACATAAAAATGAATGGAACTGTCTTTGTGTGATAAACCTAAACAGAGTATAACGACATAAATCAGCCAATGCATTAAAGATGGTGAACACTGATAAGGGGGTACCTTGGTATACTTGTTGAAGCTCTGTAAGATGTCCCAGCCCCAGTCTCTGTACTTGCTGTCTTTGGTGAACCTGAACATGTAGAACAGACTCTCCAGCGTTTCTGGTCTCAGCAGGTTGTGTCTGTCAGCAGGCTGCAGGACGACAATCAGCATTTTATTCTGACCTTTAAAAGCCAGACAGGAAGCACGGAAACCAAAAACAACACTTTTAAAGCAGCTTATCGTGACAGAAGAATCAGTGTCCCACAGTGAGGACTGAATGAAAGCCAACTGCAGACAACAGACCCCCTTCACTGAGTGATTGCTGTATATAGCCATGATTCATGTTATTCTTGGAACTCTCTTTATGTGGTTGGAAAAATAGTTGAGTAGGAACAGGAAATAACCAAATCTACTTCCTTCAACAGGAGTTTCTATTTTAGAACAAGTCTATATAAACCAGATGAAATGTGCACACGAATAATGTGCTGTAAAAACTCAAATCTCTATTATTTTACTAACGATATCCAGAGTTCATTCTTACATATGTGCCTCAAAAAGCTCAATCAGGAGGCAATAAATCTCCTCCGTTTAGCATTTTAAATAATTTCCCTGTAACACTTTGGGATCAAACTGCCTAATCAGAAACCTTCTAAGAAAATGTTCAGGCCCAGATGAACAGGTAGGTCCAAGTGACGGAGCTAAGTGTCTGAGGGCCTTTTGGGTAATAAATCGCCTGGACAGAGATTAAATTAAATGAGTTGTAGGAAAAGTCTGGTAGGTTCAATACTATAAAATGTGAAACAGACCGGACCAATTACAGAGTGGAGGGGGGCCTATAATACAACAGTGAGCAGCTGCAAGAGAGCAATTTTTTAATGTCCCTTTTTTATGTTCCTAATAGAGCACTTTATACAATTAAAATTGTAAGAACATGATATTTCGCGTCTTATCTGCAGTTATCTGATTGGTTCTAAACCGTTTCTGTGGACTATGTTAGTCCCCTCTTTAAAAACGGTTTTTACTCAATCCTTTCCAGATTAATATGCAGTCTACACAGTGTAAATTAGTCTGGCTAGACAGGGTGATAATAAATGAAGCCAGTTTTAGTCACTATAATGTTATTATCACAGTGCAACAAAGGCTTGTCGCTATTCTGTTTGCCTGATGGATCGCTTGGCCCTTCGATGGGATTATTTTCCTGCCGTTTCACTTTCACCAAGCAGACGCACTCCCTACATTTTTGATTTGCAATAATAGTTATACCCAGACTCCTACACAATTTATATAAAAAACATACAGCTCTTTCTACATTTAAATTTTCAAAGTTCTCAATTTCTCACTTTTAAATATAATATTAAGTTTAATTTCTTGCAGAGAAATCACATGTTCCCCACAGAAAACAGAACGATCACAGCATCCAGAGTTTCAAAGTAAATCACTAAAGACGGTATGATTTATTTAGACATCTCACTTTATTGATCGTTTCTGGTGCATGTTTGTATACATGTTTGTCTATTAGCAACTGTGCCACTTAGATTGGTTCCTTGGTGGTTATTAGTTGGATATAATCGCATTAGTGCTTAAGGGAATATAGGGGGTTACATAATAAAAACGTGAGGATTAAACATTAAATGCACCATATAGCTTTTCTATTACTTACTCATCATGGAATAGAACTCAAAAATATATGTGGAAGGCCAAAAACAAACGGTGAAGCAGTTTTAACCCTCACAAAATGTATAGATTTTCAGTCAGACTTTCATTTTTATCACTGGTTTTTACAGCATGTTCTGTGCATGGTCCTTGGAGCTCCTCTATGTTTTACACCGCAGTGGAGAGAATGCAGCGTGATCTTAGGGGAGTGGAGAAGTTGCACGTTTTTCCGTACCAGAGCTTTGTTTGTTGTTGCCACATCTACCAGGTTTTCTGTTGCTCGCATGTGGACTGATTTACGCTTCAGGAATACGCAGTTCCCCTCTAAAACAGAGGGTGGCAGCAGTGACACTCCAAGGTGGAATGTCCTAACCAATTCAAAATTTTAATTATTAGTATAACCTTAAGCTTACAACCAAAAACCGGAAACAATTTATCGACATCGATACACTAAAATTAACTCGACAAATACAGAATTCATACTCTTTTCAGAACTAGTGAATTATGGACAAGAAGGTTATGTTTATCTGAAAGTCATTTCATCAGAACATCTGCTAAAACCCCCGTTGCACCATGACGATTTAGACCAGCGTATGCCTTACGTATGAAAAATCTGGCAAAAATGGGTAAGTTTTGTATAAGTAAAGGTTAAACACGTTGGCACACGTTGACAAATGGCAAGTACGTTGGGAAATTTTGAAGAGCTTTTCTTTCTATATCAGGAACAACAGAGATATAAATACTGGATTGGCGCATCCACAGGGTGGAAAAGTTAGATAAGCAGATGAATGGGTGACAGAAAACTTATTTCATTAAAGATAAATGATCAAGGATAGTTGGCTGGAGAGCAAAAAAATGGAAGGATTAACGGCCTAATGAATGGATGGAAAAATTAACGATGAATGAATAGTTGGATGAGTGATACAGAGATGGATAGAAATATTAATGGATGGATATTTTCTCAGCCTTACATTAAAACACCTAAACAGAGCGTAACACAGAAAGTATTTGGCTGCAGAAGAGCACCTTTCTCTCTTAATCCTACTTGCCATTCACTCAGCTGAGACAAGTCCGCAGAGCGCTGGTTTCTGTCCTCTTGAAACAATAATTTGAGATTTTTCAGTATTAAAACAAAGCTGCTGTTGATTAACAAGCCCAGTTGGGTTTACACGTTGTGTTTGTAATAAAAACCCGTCATTAGGCTGCTGTTTAAAAGCTGTTCATTCACTCTAAATTAAGCAGAGTAGAATCTAAAAGGCTTTTATGATCCGTCAGTTGTTTCTTTATAAGTTTTCCACCAGATCTGAATGAGCTCAGAGAGCGTCTCCTAATTATTCCTCAAGTTAATGAAGGCAGCAGCAGAAATAAGAGCAAAATATTCAGCACTATGAGAAAAACTCAAGCTGTTAATGAAAAAGGAAATGAGCCCTGAGGAGGATGACCAAGGTTATGGTCGCCACTCTCAAACAAACACAGAGTGGGTAATTAAAATCTGTATTTATCAGACGTTGTCGGGCATCTGCGTGTCGGTGAGTGTTTTCACCGATTCCATCTGTCAGATTGCTTTTAAAAGTTTGATTTTGTGTGAACAAGTCTTAAACGCACTTTCTGCACAGAGCAACAAACATAAAAACACCTTTCAGAAAACACAAGGCTACAAGAAGGCCTTGCTGCTTCCTGCTCCACCACTAACAGTATTAAGAAGTACTAAAAACAGAGCCTCACCTTCACAATAACGTCGTGACCATCGCTGGCCTGCAAGCTGAAGTGTGCGATCTCAGGACTGAGGCCGGTCTCCATCTGTTTGTACATCTGGTGGCAGGTTTCCATCAGCTGCACAGCCAGGTCCATGTGGTCCCCCGGGAGGCCGTTGTGGGCCCCCAGAGCAAGAGTTCCCGGCAGGAAGCAAACCAGATGATCCTGCAGAGCAACACCAGGAATGGATTTCAGGAAAGGGTGACTGAGCAGCAACTGACAAGTCAGAGTTAATTGATTTAACGGGAAAGTCATTGTCTGTAGACAGGGTTCCTACAGCATAAGGCAAGTTAAATTCAAGACTTTTTAATGCCACTTGAAATAAAAATTTAAGACCAAATTCACAAGAAACACAAGAAAAACCTGCTTGCGACAACTTTACCCAAAGGTTTATTTTAACATAAACCAATGTTTCAACTTTTGAAAAGCTTTCCATACAGGAAGAAAGCAAAAAAACACACAAATGACAGATATATTTGAACACTTATTTAACTGAATTCCCAAACTTTGTTTTAGAAGGGAACAAAACAAATCATAGTACTGCTTGCATTCGTCAGTTCGTCCTCCACCTGTTGCAATTTTGCCATTTTTTCTTATTATCGTTTTCTTAGTATGTTTGATTTGTTGATAAATGGAGGCGTTGCAGAGACAAGGGTGGAACAAAACTGAGAACCACGGCAGTTTCTTGGTAACTCGATTTTGACGCTTTGTGTTTCGTGCTTCCCATGTGCGACTCCACTGCCTTAATTCCCATCGTTCCGAGCTTGAATGACTTCTTGCACAAAATACACTGTGCCTCATGTATGTTCCCTGGTTTTAGCCATGGAGAAAACTCTTAGCTGGAGACAATTTTCATTACATTTACACTTGCTCATATTTTCCAGACAAAAAGTTAATGGCGCATCTCCCAAATATCCCGGCCGCAACAACGCTTTTATTGGTTCCGGTATCGGGACGGAACCAATAATGGTGAGCCGTTATTTTATTTTTCTTTATGGAAAAAAGAAACGCATTGTCAATTTTAACGTTTTATTTAGATTACAAAAATAAATTGTAATAAAAATAATCCTATTTATGATTTTTTTTAAATTAAGACCTATGAAAGACAGATTTAAGACATTTTAATACCAATTAAGGCCTTAGTTTTATTTTGAAGAATTCAATGCCTTTTAAGACTTTTTAAGGACCCGCGGGAACCCTGGTAGATGACTGAAAGTGTAAAGCCAAAAGGGGGTTGTCTCTCTAAACTTAGAGAAGCAACCAAAATTGAAAAATCTGCCCTAAACAATTATTGTTGTTCTGCTCCATTATCATCCATGACTAAAGTGCCCTTGAGGAGGACAATTAACATTTAACTCAGTTTTGACTCAGTTTCACTAGCAGGGATTGATTTGATCAAATATTGGTACCATCTTGGGGTTGAAGCGGTTGTGGGAAAGTTCTCCAACGAAGGTCAGCCTGCCGGGCCCCGTCTGCCTCACGAGATGCTTCTTCACTCCTTCAATAGCCTGCAGGTAATCCTCCAATAAACTGAAAACAGATTCAGGAGGAGGAAATCCATCAGAGAGCCTTGGAAGACTGGACATGTTAGAATCAAATCTTCTTTATAAAGAAAAAGTTGATTAAGGTTTTTTTTACTTTTACCCTCTTTACCCGAAAACTTTTTAAGAAAAAAAAATGCAGATAATTTAATCTGGAGACTTTTATATGTACTAGGAAGGAAATTCATGAGGTTTATAGTTTGTGACCAAGCACCTTTAAATCCAGATCTATTCCTTATTGCTTTTAGGTAGAGTTTGATGTCCTGAGTAAACCTTAATTTATTATTTAATTCAATTCAGTTTGTTTATATAGCACCAATTCACCAACCAACACGTCATCTCAAGGCCCTTTACAATTCACCAGATCATACAGTCGAATTGATTCAAAGTTTTATATCTAAGGAAAACCAGTTGATTGCATCGACTCATTGACTCGAAGGCAATCCCTCACACTAAGCATGCTTGTAGCGACAGTGGAGAGGAAAAACTCGCTTTTAACAGGAAGAAACCTCTAGCAGAACCAGGCTCAGTGTGGTGGCCATCTGCAGAGGCCGACTGGGGTTTAAGGAGACAGAATGTGGTCCTTTAAATTAGCTTTAATTGGTTTTGGATAACTTTTATTCATTTTGCAAGCATGCCCTACAACTAGCTGTGAAGCACTTTGCTCCAATCTGATGTTTTATCAAGTTTTAATCATGTTTCCGCATATTTAAGCCTGAATGTTCCATTATGTGTTTGCTACAGTTTAATGTTGTACTATTGTGTTTTGGTTCCCATACAAATGCTTCCATTGTAATGAAGATTCGCCCTGAATGGTAAATAGCGCAAAGCCAAAATTAGGTTCTTTAAGATTTTTACAGCAACAACAATAGTATCTGTAATAGTCATTTCCTTATTGACATTCATTGAATAAAGGAAACCATGTCTCTTTTGCCCTTGCTAGCTTCGCTCTCGTGTGTTTCATTGTCTTTTAGCTCTAAGGACAAAATGTTCCCCTTCGGGCAACTAAGTCCCAGCCTAAAACTGCTTAATCATTGCTTATAAATTAAACATTACTGCCTTTAAGACTTCATAATTTGGCCTTTTTTCAGGTTTTTGTTTTGTTGGGAAACAATAAAAGAAAAAAAAAATAAATACATTCATTAGGTTCGGTCATTACTGTTCTATTGGTCAGTAAATTGTTCTTTGGATGATAAAACAGACGAGAAATTACTCGTCCTCAGTCTTTCCCCCCTGGATCCACTGCTTCAGCAGATATTCATAGTAGCTGTCTGCCCGGGCGCCGAGCGTAAACACGCCTTTGTGGGAGAACTGGCCGCTGTTAGTGTTGATGAACATGGGCACCAAGCCGTCATGTTTGCCGGGCAGCTTGTGGACAAGCCTCATGACTTCATTCGCAGCATCCTGGCAAGAGCAGAAAGGTAAACTATGAGATTAAAGACAACAACTAAAAATAAAACAGAAGCATTAAAGCTAATTAGAATGAAGACGTTTCATCAGATTACACTGATCAAACCCCATCAGGTAATGAAGGCAGTTTGTCCAGTTCATCTTAAGTTAGAAGAAGAAACATTTTCAGGCTGATGTTCTGATCAGAAGTAATTTCCCAACAACAAAGCCCTCATATCTACCTTTGACTTTAACGACCTAAGTTTAGTAATTGTGGTGCCAAAACACCCTACAAATCTACAATCTTACCGTTAGACCTAAGGGATGGTCAAACTTCTGCAGCAGTGTATCGCAGTTAGCTTGTCGCAATTCTTTTCGATTTTTGCCCGATATTGAAGCGTGACGTGCTCTATGTTATTCCACGCCACAACGCAAGACGGACAATCACGAACTAGCTGTGGGTCTAGATACGGCCGGGCCGTGAGGATGTGGGGGCACGTTTGTGCGACAATGGAGGGACTTGAGGGCGAAAAAGACCGGGGATCCAGGTGTAAACAGGGTCCCAATGTTCTCGCACACCTCGCTCTTCTAGCTGGTCCATCTTCACGAGTCATACAAACAAAACAAGCCGTCAAGGTAACAAAGAGGAAATACTCATAGTGTAGAGCGAATGTAGATTTGACCAATCAGAGGCCTCCTGTCTGCGGCACTGTTGGCGGTAACCTACAATTTTGGAGAGGTGAACCAGAGTGTCTGCGGAGGGGGCAGGGGCACATTTGTGTTCACTGCGAAACACACGCAGACAACCTGGTTTCTGAGTATAAATCAGCCTTTAAACTTAAATTGGTGCTCAGAATCAGCCAAAGTTCAGGTGATATGCCATGATTGGCGATCGGCCAGTCATTCTGAAAAAGCAGATTTTAAGCGCCGGTCATAGCTTTGTTGATGATTTAACAAAGGGAAGAGGAGACAGCATTCTAAGCACAGACAGGAGCAGCTGGGAATCAGGGTGAGAAAACCGACATAGAGAGCGCTATATATTCTGGAGCTTAGGATTGGAGGAGCCTGCTGGGCAGAAAGCACACCGGAGTGGGGAGATAAGGCAGCTCAAGAGGAGAGTGCAGGAGCACAGTAGCCTCGTGAGACCATCCTGATCTCGCGGGTTTTCAAGATTCCGCTCGCTAGTCAGTCTGGAGACTCTCCGTTGAAGAAAATTTGGAGCCGTTCACCAAACGAACGTCCAATCAGCGTTGGCTTTGAGGCGGGTTGAGGTGTGACACAACGAGAAGCGTGACAGTTCAGTCTAAAGAACATGGCGGCTTCAGCCGATGAAACTAGCGTTAGCGTGGCTATAGAGCAAGTTTTATCGGAATTACAGAGTATTTCTTCACTGAAAGAAGAGCAAAACACTGCTCTGGAGGCTTTTCTCAGAGGAAAATATGCTTTTGCTCTTCTCCCCACTGGTAAGACTTAGTGCAGGAGGTGGAAGAATGACAGCAGGGGTCAGAGAAGACTGTGTGCAAACAGCGTGTGGAGATGAAGCGACTGCTGGTTGGCGTTTAACTCTGGAGGTAGGATGATGAAACAATCCTTCTATGGCTAAATTAAAACAGCTTTCTTTAAAGCCACCTACAAACCTCTTAAGATAATTTCCTATTTCATTCTTTGTCAACAATATTTTCCTCATCTTTCATTTTGATTGAAAGTATATAATCTGCTGACCCGTTCAGTGAAACAATGGTCAGTTCATGATGCTTTATCATCTCCTCTAATTTTGATAACTAATTATACAATGTCGATATACATTGGACAGCAGTTGAAGAATGTATGGATTTTATGCTGTGATCGGTGCTCGGCTCTGAAAAAATCCTGACCAGTGCATGTCTACTTACCAGCAAATAAATCACAACAATTCTGCTGTTTGTTTCTAAACAAAGAAAACAAAGAATTTAAACGTGGGGCTTCTTAAAATGGAATTTACATGGCTCTTTATGGAGCTAGGAACTGTGGCTATTTTCAGCACAACATCAGGTTGGCTCAAACTGACACCACATCATCTCAATGCGCCACCTGTGGTCCGAACCTGGTACTGAGGGTCCTGGGTGATGTGGCTGAGCTCTCTGAACTCCAGCTGAATGCTGGTGACTTCAGCCAGCGTACTGTCTGCCGTCCACCGCGGTGGGTGCGCTGTTCCCTTCCCAATGTTGACATCTGAAAACGGGATTTTTGAGGGCGTTTTAAAGGCTGGCATCAGCCTGGACCCGATGTCTTTCTTTAAGAAAAGAGAAAAAAAAGGGAATTACAGACTGAATCATGTCCCCCCCTGGCACTGAAAAGAGAACAAATTCACACATCAGCTTCGGTTTTGGTTCAACTCACAGCTTTATCTAGGAAGAGCTGGTCTCCTGTCAGGTGGTAGCAGCTCAGCAGCCCGCCCAGAATACGAATAGTCGTTTCAAAAAGATTTACGTCCACATTCTTGTCAAAGGAGAGCTCTTTCTCCACCCAGCTCCTTGCTTCAGCGAACTCTGCATTAAGAGAGGTTAATTACCACCCTATCACGGAGGGAAATGGGACTTTATTTGCACAAAGATGTTGTTTCAATTATAAAGCCGTCTAACAGCAGCCTTCCAAGGTAGGGCGAAGCTTCGCCAAAGTAAGACACCCCCCTAAACTTTTTAAGCTACATCCTTGTTCAACCTGATGTAACAGTCTCTACATACTGACTGGTTACTTTTAAAACTAATGGCAGGAAAAGCTAAATAAAAAACACCTTCTTTTAGTCCCAGGATCCACATGGTGTCCAAAGAGTCGATCAGGGTCAGCCCCAATCCAAACCATTCACTGAATGATTTGGAGATGGGTTTGAGCTCGTCGTGACCCCAGGCGTATTCCTTGTAGGCTTTCCAAGCATGTCTGAAGGCATCGCGTACCGCCTCCAATCGCTCAGGAGTTCCAGGAGAAACTGAATATAAACAAGACAATGATTAAAAAATAATAATGATTTAATAGAGATTTGTTTAAGAGAAATGCGTTGTTTAGCAACCTCACTGCTGATACAAACATTCTTAACCCTTTATAGGGCACTCTGTGAAATACTCAAAATTCCAAGCCAGTAGTGTTATTGGAATCCAGAACAAGACCTTAAATATGGATGTTTTAATGGCAAAAATGAATGTCAATTAAAGAAAAAAAAAAGTGCCTCTATAAGAAATTCATGAAAAACAATTTTTTTTTTGCTAGAATATAACCTTAGAGGCATTAATGCTGATACTTACAATTACATTTTTTAGTTTATAAGCCCAAATATAATTTTTTTTTTAAACTTTTTAATTAACTTCTTTTTTCTTGACTTGTTAACTTTTTTTTCCAACTTAATTTACAGTAGGACATATATCATTCAAGGGCTGTCTAATTGGTCAAATGCCAAAATAAGATGTACAGCCATGTAGCAGGATCTTTGTTGAATGGCTGGATATAGATCTTGTGCTTCTAGACCTCACTGAGAGACAAGTGGGACTCCATCAGTAAGGGGTTTGCAAGTGATCAAAAACAGTAACCTGCCCTATAAAGGGTTAAAGAATTATTTATAAAATATTTTAAACAATTTAGCATTCAGATGAATTCCCCCCACATTACATTAATATATATCAATAAAACAAGGAGAATGTTGGTCTTGTGGGTTAAAGCAGTGCAATTGTGATCTGAGAAGGTTGAAAGAACCTGTTTCAATCTCCAGTCTCCACTCTGGGTTAAGAGCAAAAACCCAAAAATGCTCCCCGGGCGCCACACAATGGCAGCCGACTGCTCCCCAAGGGGATGGGTTAAATGCAATGATAAATTTCTCCACTGTGTGTGCAATACTTATTGTTAGGTTTAAAAAAAAAGTGCAGCATTAATCACAACAGCTCAGGTGGAGGAATCTCTTGACAGCACTCCATAGATCTGGCTCTTATAGAAGCCCTGGTTTCAGTTTGCCAAAAGTAAGTAGATGAACCATGAAAATCTAGTGGTGATCCGATCAGGTGAGACCAAAATTAAAGTCTTGGTCACATAAAACCTGCTATACTGGGTATCACCCTGTATAGCATGTCGAAACACAGTGGTGGAAGCATCATGCTGTGGTGATGCTTATCTTCACGAAAGCTTGGAGAAGCTATATACAAGGAGAATCCTTACAGAAAACCTGTCATAGGCTGTTAAGGCCTGAAACTGAGTGAAAGTTTTGTTGCCACCTATTGAAGTCTGTTTTCTGGTATTAACATTTTTTTTTTGTTTTATTAAACTATTTTTTTTCTTAGACCAAAGAAGCTGGGAACATTTGTACTCATCCCATCCTGCTTGCTACAGAAACTAACATGTGAAAGGTAAACAGATGCGGGTCATGGCTGACCTTGCTGAGGGACGGTGGCTGCAGGGTTGGCAGGTGCCTGAGGCTCCACAGCTTCTTTCTCATTGGCTGAGGGTGGAGGCTCTGTGGCCTGCTCAGCTTCAATCATTGCTCCTCTCCAGCTGTACGGTGAAAGCAACAACCCACTGCTTTATATCGAAATCACTTTGATGTGCCTCTGTGATTCAAATACTGTTAACAAAGTGAACCAAATGGAATGAAAAGGGTTTCTTTATGTCCAGTGAAGTCCAAAACTATTAATACTCCTGGCACATTTTAATGCAAAACAGTTTTATTACACTTTGCTTTATTACAGGATAACTACAGGTGCTGGTCATAAAATTAGAATATCATGAAAAAGTAGATTGATTTCAGTAATTCCATTTAAAAAGTGAAACTTGTATATTATATTCATACATTACATACAAACTCATATATTTCAGATGTTTATTTTGTTTAATTTTGATGATTACAAATGACAACAAATGAAAATCTCAAATTCATCATATCAGAAAATTAGAATATTGTGAAAAGGTTCAAAATTGATGGCCCCTGGTGCCACACTCTAATCAGCTAATTAACTCAAACCACCTGCAAAAGCCTTTAAATGGTCTTTCAGTCTAGTTCTATAGGCTACACAATCATGGGGAAGACTGCTGACTTGACAGTTGTCCAAAAGACGACCATCGACACCTTGCACAAGGAGGGCAAGACACAAAAGGTCATCGCTAAAGAGGCTGGCTGTTCACAGAGCTCAGTGTCCAAGCACATTAATAGAGAGGCGAAGGGAAGGAAAAGATGTGGTCGAAAAAAAGTGTACAAGCAAGAGAGATAACCGCACCCTGGAGAGGATTGTGAAACAAAACCCATTCAAAAATGTGGGGGAGATTCACAAAGAATGGACTGCAGCTGGAGTGAGTGCTTCAAGAACCACCACACACAGACGTATGAAAGACATGGGTTTCTGCTGTCGCATTCCTTGTGTCAAGCCACTCTTGAACCACAGACAGCGTCAGAAGCGTCTTGCCTGGGCTAAAGAGAAACAGGACTGGACTGCTGGTGAGTGTTCCAAAGTCATGTTCTCTGATGAAAGTAAATTTTGCATTTCCTTTGGAAATCAAGGTCCCAGAGTCTGGAGGAAAAGAAGAGAGGCACTTCATCCACGTTGCTTGAAGTCCAGTGTAAAGTTTCCACAGTCAGTGATGGTTTGGGGTGCCATGTCATCTGCTGGTGTTGGTCCATTGTGTTTTCTGAGGTCCAGGGTCAACGCAGCCACATACCAGGAAGTTTTAGAGCACTTCATGCTTCCTGCAGCTGACCAACTTTTTGGAGATTCAGATTTCATTTTCCAACAGGACTTGGCACCTGCACACAGTGCCAAAGCTACCAGTACCTGGTTGAAGGACCATGGTATCCCTGTTCTTAATTGGCCAGCAAACTCTCCTGACCTTAACCCCATAGAAAATCTATGGGGTATTGTGAAGAAGAAGATGCAATACACCAGACCCAACAATTCAGAAGAGCTAAAAGCCACTATTAGAGCAACCTGGGCTATCATAACACCTGAGCAGTGCCACAGACTGATCGACTCCATGCCACGCCGCATTGCTGCAGTAATACAGGCCAAAGGAGGCCCAACTAAATACTGAGTGCTGTACATGCTCATACTTTTCATGTTCATACTTTTCAGTTGGCCAACATTTCTATAAATCCTTTGTTTTTATTGGTCTTCAGTAATATTCTAATTTTCTGATATGATGAATTTGAGATTTTCATTTGTTGTCATTTGTAATCATCAAAATTAAACAAAATAAACATCTGAAATATATGAGTTTGTATGTAATGTATGAATATAATATACAAGTTTCACTTTTTAAATGGAATTACTGAAATCAATCTACTTTTTCATGATATTCTAATTTTATGACCAGCACCTGTAAACAAGATAGCAGGAGAATCAAGATGAAAATTAGAAAATATTACCTGTCTATCTGCATTTTATCCAGAAGCTGTGTCCTACAAATGATTTATAACCTTCTTAATAATCCTTAGAATAATCTCAGCATTAGAACACAGTTTTGTAAATCCTGATCAGCTTTTTGCTTGTTTCCAGTAATATTTTGTCCACTTTGTCTCTGTGATAAGCTTATAGTCTTTGAGTTTGGATGTATCCTTGCCATCACCTCAATCTTTAACCCCCTCCCTAGATTCTCTATTAGAGAAACGTTAATCATACTTCATATCAGGAGAAACATATCACTAAGTTAAGTAAAAAAGTAAAAAAAAGCAACAACAGCAGCAATAGATGAATAAATAAATCTGAATCTGAAGTATTATATAAATAACAATATAAATAAAATAGGGTGAATGTGGTGAATTTTTATTCTGTACAGTGTGATATATATCTTTAAAAAAAGCAGTGTGTGGAGAAGTTCTATTATTTACAGTGTTGACTAAAATAACATAAATTACTAAAATGACTTACTTGACTAAGACAAAAATTGATTTTCGCCATTTAGACTAAGACTAAAGCTAAATCGGGAAGGCAATGACTTAATATGACTAAGACTAAAATTGATTTTCGTCATTTAGACTAAGACTAAAGCTAAATCGGGAAGGCAATGACTAAATATGACTAAGACTAAAATTGATTTTCGTCATTTAGACTAAGACTAAAGCTAAATCGGGAAGGCAATGACTAAATATGACTAAGACTAAAATTGATTTTCGCCATATAGACTAAGACTAAAACTAAATCGGGAAGGCAATGACTAAATATGACTAAGACTAAAATTGATTTTCGCCATATAGACTAAGACTAAAACTAAATCGGGAAGACAATGACTAAGTATGACTAAGACTAAAATTGATTTTCGTCATTTAGACTAAGACTAAAACTTAATCGGGAAGGCAATGGCTAAATATGACTAAGACTAATATCGATTTTCGTCATTTAGACTAAGACTAAAGCTAAATCGGGAAGGCAATGACTTAATATGACTAAGACTAAAATTGATTTTCGTCATTTAGACTAAGACTAAAGCTAAATCGGGAAGGCAATGACTTAATATGACTAAGACTAAAATTGATTTTCGTCATTTAGACTAAGACTAAAGCTAAATCGGGAAGGCAATGACTTAATATGACTAAGACTAAAATTGATTTTCGTCATTTAGACTAAGACTAAAGCTAAATCGGGAAGGCAATGACTTAATATGACTAAGACTAAAATGGATTTTCGTCATTTAGACTAAGACTAAAGCTAAATCGGGAAGGCAATGACTTAATATGACTAAGACTAAAATTGATTTTCGTCATTTAGACTAAGACTAAAGCTAAATCGGGAAGGCAATGACTTAATATGACTAAGACTAAAATTGATTTTCGTCATTTAGACTAAGACTAAAGCTAAATCGGGAAGGCAATGACTTAATATGACTAAGACTAAAATTGATTTTCGTCATTTAGACTAAGACTAAAGCTAAATCGGGAAGGCAATGACTAAATATGACTAAGACTAAAATTTATTTTTGTCATTGTGACCAAGAATAAATAAAAAAAAAGCTGACAAAATCAACACTGATCTGAACTTGCCAGGACTATTAATCTTTCTTTGCTTCACTGGATATAAAAAACGAGGTTTTTAACTGTTTTCCTTTTTAAAATCTAGCATAAAACGGCCAGATTACCTGACAATCTTTTTCTCATTCTCTTCCTCTTCCTCTCCAGCCTCTTTCAGAACCACCTCAGGGTTTTGTTTTGCCTCACTGACTGCATCAGGGTTAGCAGCATCTTTTTGTGGGCTTGGTGAAGCCCTTTTGTTTAAAAATGGCTTCCTCTGCAGGTAAAACGGAAAATATACAGAAAATAGTAACAGAAAATAGCTCAAAACTCAAAATTAAACTTAAAATACATTAACCTCAACATATTCAACATAAAAACACGAGGAGCAGAAAGAGTCTCAGCAATATCGCTGCATCTATTGCATTTTAAATCTTGCTTTAAAACAATTAAAATGTTATCCATGTCACGTTCTTTGCTTTATAAAGTAAAAGTATTGGACAAAGTAACCTGTCTAAAGCTTATCTACTTATTTCCACAGTAACCTTTATCAATTTAAATCCTTCACCATAGATTAGAAGCAGACACAGATTCAAACAGATGCATTGATTTCTTGCTGTTTAAATCCCTTTTAACGATGATACAGGCGACACCGGGTCGGCAGTCACAATCTGAATGTCATTTTAATTAGAGGCTTCATTTTTATTTAGGCCTCCAAAAATATTTATTGTTTTTTCATCTCTTTGATCCATTATATTGAATCTCAGCACTTCGACCATTTTAGTCATTCAACCGAGGTGGTCATACTTTAGGGTTCGAGAGGAGAGGAGAGGAGAGGAGAGAAAGGAAGAGAAGAGAGGAGAAGAGGAGAGGAGAAGAGAAAGGAAGAGAGGAGAGATGGGAGAAGAGAAGATAATGGATAGTAGAGGGACTATAAGGAATGGAGGGAGGGGTATATGGGTGGACAGACAAATGGATAGCCGACAGGCAGACAGATGAATGGAACAAGGAATAATAATTTGGATGGATGGATGGACAGACTGCCAGATAAAGAGACAAATGAGAACCTGTGGGAAAAGGAGGACAGAATGACTAATCATATTTTCTAGACTGTGGAGGAACCCTGCATGCAGGTCTATGATTTAAGAACCTGAACAACACTATTATTAATATTCTTTAGAAACAAAAAAAAGCAATCAACTTAGTATATTTAAAAGAAGAGCACATGCACTCAGACATCTTGACAACCGAAAACTCCAACCTTGGTGGGGGGTTTAGCCAAAGCGGGGATATTTGGTCCTCTGGGCTCCATGGTATCCGGTGGACCCTCAGCGGGCTCCAGATGTGGCCCGGCTACAGGAGCCGGAGGTTTACCTTCAGCGGGCCTCAGCACCGGTTTTAGGCCTGGGGGGACCATGTTCAAACCTCTGTCATTCACCTCCAGCCAGTCCTCTTTATCAGACAGCCCTACAGAAAACATGCAGGACAAGTATCATCACAAACATGACAAATATTCCATTTTAACTCTCAAGCTCCAGTGTTAAAATTATCTTCTGTATTTGTTTGGCATTAAGTCAGTATTTTAGCTTTACCTCTCCACTGCTCTGTGATGCTGGGATAGGAGAGCAGTGCTAATATGAGCAGCAGAGCCAGCAGGAAGAGGATGAGGCTCCGCTGCAGCCGAGACAGCTGCTTCCATCTCTGTGGGCAGAAAAACAAACTGTGAATTAAGCTGAAGCTCAACTAATGGCTCTGAGTAGCAATTACAGACGGCTCAAAGCAGATTTAAACAACTCACCCAAAAATAACTTGACATGTAAAAAGTACAAAAGAAAATTGCGGATGATGGACCTTACCCTGAGCAAACTGAGCATCACTCTTCATCTAATGTGTTGCTTTAGCTGAATAAACTCAGAGAACAAGTAATTTATCTCTGAAGAGAGGGGGAGATGAGCTCGGAGTCTCTCAGGAAAGAAAATGAGCAGCAGCCTGGTTCTACAATGCTGTCTGCTCTAATTAACACCTATGCAACAACATGAAACTATTGAGCCATCTCCTTTAAAGTGAACCATAAACAGGCTCTGGGGAACACCACAGGGATAGTTGCCTGTGGGTGAAAAAACTTTTCTCTTCTATGATGCAAACTTTTCTGTTCAGCTTTAGATTGCAAACAGAAACAAAACACATTGTGGCCTGCATTAGAATTCTGTTCACACCAATAGTTTATATTTTAGATAAACACAAAGTCTTAAACCGTGAGCTTTTGTATTTAGCTCCTTTTCCTCTGGCACTATTGAATTTGTGTAGTTATTGACCTTTAATGTTTAGAATGGAATCTGACACTTAGTGACATTAAAACATCAATCTGTGCTCCATCCATTAAAACATTTATATTGTCAAGAAAAAGAGTCTATCAACTGAAGGATGCTCATTGAAGCTAATAATGGATGGATGGATGGATGGATGGATGGATGGATGGATGGATGGATGGATGGATGGATGGATGGATGGATGGATGGATGGATGGATGGATGGATGGATGGATGGATGGATGGATGGATGGATGGATGGATGGATGGATGGATGGATGGATGGATGGATAAGGAAAGAACAGATGGTAAACAATCCACCCATCTCTTGACCTGACTCCGCCAGATGGATTTGCTCCTCATATCCATCTGGAAACCTTCCGTTGAAGTAATTTTGGGAATGGACAAAAATACTGGTTAGCTGATTGGCCTATGTTGGTGATAGACGGGCCAAATAAACCAATCAGATCAACGAAGCATATGACGTACTAACAGCCAGGCTACTCTTGTCGAAACCAGTCGGGAGAAGAGCAAAAACATCTTTTCCTCTGAGAAAAGCCTCCAGAGCAGTGTTTTGCTCTTCTTTCAGTGAAGAAATACTCTGTAATTACGATAAAACTTGCTCGATAGCCACGCTAACGCTAGTTTCATCGGCTGAAGCCGCCATGTTCTTTAGACTGAACTATCGCGCTTCTCGTTGCGTCACACCTCAACCCGCCTCAAAGCCAACGCTGATTGGACGTTCGTTTGGTGAACGGCTCCAAATTTTCTTTAACGGAGAGTCTCCAGACTGATCTGCGAGTGAAACCTTGAAAGCTCGCGAGATCAGGATGGTCTCACGAGGCTAGCCATCCCTCCCTCTTATCCAGATCAAGTACAAGAGTTGGATGGATGTTGGAAAAACCAATCAGAAGGGTGAATAGCTAAATGGATCAATGGGGACATGGACAGGTCGTCCAGGGGAAAATTTTGAAGACTTTTATGCCCCATTTACACAACCACTTGGAGCTTTTTTTTTTGGATTGGTTAACTGGCCAAGCTTGGTTCTTACAACCATTTACATATCATGCTAGCATGTTTCCTTGTCTCCTATCTGCGGTCCACTATGCTACAGCTCTCAAGGCGGGAATTACACAAACAAAAATGGCAGCGCCCATAATATTCAGGAACTTATGTGCCTGGATAGCGTCTTCCGCCCAAATTTCAATAAGAGTCTCGGCATCATCCCAGGTCGCATCGCGCTCTTTTGATGTCATTTATTGTTAATAGGCTGAGAAGATGTTCGTGTTGTGAACAGGAGAAGAGATCTGCGAATTGCAAAGCTGGACACATGATGGCGTCTGCTCACGCCTTTTTTGTTATCAGAGAACCGAGCCACAGACCAACCGTGACGTGCCCTACTGTTGAACTAGTTCTAGATTTAGCACAGTTCGGTTGAGTCTGGCACAGTCCAGTTCAATTATGTTCCATTTACACTCAACAGTTATCTCTGTTACCGTGCTCGGACCGTTCTCGACACTGTTTCAAAAGGGTAGTCTGAATGGGGCTTTAGATGTTCGGACAAGGATTAAAATCTGGAAAAGAAATAACAGCTGTGCTGCTGCCATTAACACCTTTGTTTATAGATGTTGGAGATCTACCCGTTTTTCAGTGTAGTCCTGTTTCTCTGACTGTGACTGGCCGGATGTGCTCTCTGACATGGGAGCTGGCTCGTAGCTCGTCCGCCTTTTACAGTTGCTTTTTATATCTCTGCTTCTGTCTCCTTGAACCCCAGTCGGCCTCAGCAGATGGCCGCTTACACCGAGCCTGGTTCTGCTGGAGGTTTCTTCCTGTTAAAAGGGAGTTTTTCCTCTCCACTGTCACTATAAGCATGTTTGGTGTGAGGGATTGCCTTCGGTAAATGAGTCGATGCAAATTGGTTTTCCTTAGATAGAAAACTTTGAATAAATTTGACTGTATGATGTGGTGAACTGTAAAGTGCCTTGTGATGACGTGTTGTGAATTGGCACTATAGAAATAAACTGAACTAAATTGAATTGAATATATAATTCTTCTTCATTTAAAGACCTTAATAATCCTTACATCCATTCTTATCCAGCCTCGATCACTGACCCGGTGTGTCCTTAAATTTTTACTTTACTTCTATTGTGACCTGAGGGAAATTTGGTTTCCTTTCAGGTTATTCAGCATTATTTTGTTTTCCCTCTGAAAGCCAAGAAACTGAACCACCCCTCAGACATACAGACTCTCTGTTACCAGTCAGGTGATATGCTGTTGAACTAGTTCAACGAGGATGTAACTGAAAACCTCATTTTAACAGCAGAGATGATGAAATGATTTAAGAAAACATGAGAGCTGTGGCAGAAAAAGACACTTCAGAGGGAAATATAATTCAGGGAGACTATTCTGACAGTGAGTTTCTCCCCCTTTAAAAGCTAAATCAGTTTGAAAGGAGGCTTTAAATCATCAGAAACCTCAGAATGTAAAGATTTAACCCATCACTGATTTAATACAGCTCAAAGGATTTTTGGACAACTTTTCTCTGCAAAACCTCAAAATATCTCAGAGTTCTGTCAGGCTGGTGAGAAAACGAGAGCAGAACAGGGGCTGTGATTTCTGCAACGATCCAATGCTTGATTATGTGCCTTATAAGGAGGATTAACCGCAGTGTTTATGAAACATTTCTGTTTTTGAGACAAATCAATTGCTGTGCTGCAATCTTTTTTTAAATATTTCTGATATGGAGCTGCTAAATCTCTCCAATGTCTCCGATAAGACCCACAAGTTTCCTGAATACATTACATGTCTGATCCTTTCAATGAGATTTACTCCATTCTGCTGTTCCCACTTTGTTTCATTTGACTTGCAGAACAAGCAGTTTATTCTTAGCTCTTTTCACTTTTCAACAAGGACGCATTTCTCTGCAGTTTAGGTGGTTTATGTTTTGCACGTCGTAAATGATATGTGAAAAAATATGATGAAAATTATAGACACTATATTTCATATAAGATTTCAGCTTCACTAAAGAAAATGAAAGGGACGTTTTCACATAGGTAAATCTTTCAGATGTGAATGGCAGCGCTGTTAGAACGGTGGGTGAGTTTTCTGATCCAGTAGTTTATCACCCTGCCGTAAAGAGCCACTCACCCTCCAGCAGGATTGTCTTCGGTGTTTACCGTTGTTGTAGGCGTGGCTGTGGGGATCACCAAGGTTCAAAGCGATAAAGTCCTTCCTTGGAGGAGGGTACATCCTCAGTTCTGATGATACGGTTGCAGGTCATAGAATCTACCCATGAAAAACTAAAAGTTAAAAAAACAGAAATGCACTTTGACATCATTTATCTATCATCCCTCCTCTGCAAATGCCCATTAGCCTTGCCTCTTTCTCCCGTGCATCCACCAGTTCTCTGGCCTTTTAAGTTTAAAAAAACGTTTTTTTTTTCCTCCGTAAATTGTGATTATGTGAGAGTTTATGTGCTTCTCTGCGTTGTCCTGTGAAGGACAGATGCCCTGTCAACGGCATAGAGCCATAACCACACATATTGCCAAATGACCACTAGAGCTACGCGCCAGACAACCGACATCCTGCAATAAGCAGACAGGTATAATAAATATCAGGGTTTCAGATAACCATTAATTTGCTAATCTATTAAGTAGTTGATAACATTTATAGATCAATAAAATAATGATCACACAGCAAAAGATGCCTTAAAAAAGCTTTGATACAGACTTTAAACAAAGTGAACCTAAATCTATGCATGTTGAGGAGTTCCGGATAGAGCTTAATCACGGATAAAATATGTTTCTATATCTACAGGTGCTGGTCATAAAATTAGAATATCATGAAAAAGTAGATTGATTTCAGTAATTCCATTTAAAAAGTGAAACTTGTATATTATATTCATACATTACATACAAACTCATATATTTCAGATGTTTATTTTGTTTAATTTTGATGATTACAAATGACAACAAATGAAAATCTCAAATTCATCATATCAGAAAATTAGAATATTACTGAAGACCAATAAAAACAAAGGATTTATAGAAATGTTGGCCAACTGAAAAGTATGAACATGAAAAGTATGAGCATGTACAGCACTCAGTATTTAGTTGGGCCTCCTTTGGCCTGTATTACTGCAGCAATGCGGCGTGGCATGGAGTCGATCAGTCTGTGGCACTGCTCAGGTGTTATGATAGCCCAGGTTGCTCTAATAGTGGCTTTTAGCTCTTCTGAATTGTTGGGTCTGGTGTATTGCATCTTCTTCTTCACAATACCCCATAGATTTTCTATGGGGTTAAGGTCAGGAGAGTTTGCTGGCCAATTAAGAACAGGGATACCATGGTCCTTCAACCAGGTACTGGTAGCTTTGGCACTGTGTGCAGGTGCCAAGTCCTGTTGGAAAATGAAATCTGCATCTCCAAAAAGTTGGTCAGCTGCAGGAAGCATGAAGTGCTCTAAAACTTCCTGGTATGTGGCTGCGTTGACCCTGGACCTCAGAAAACACAATGGACCAACACCAGCAGATGACATGGCACCCCAAACCATCACTGACTGTGGAAACTTTACACTGGACTTCAAGCAACGTGGATGAAGTGCCTCTCTTCTTTTCCTCCAGACTCTGGGACCTTGATTTCCAAAGGAAATGCAAAATTTACTTTCATCAGAGAACATGACTTTGGACCACTCACCAGCAGTCCAGTCCTGTTTCTCTTTAGACGCTTCTGACGCTGTCTGTGGTTCAAGAGTGGCTTGACACAAGGAATGCGACAGCAGAAACCCATGTCTTTCATACGTCTGTGTGTGGTGGTTCTTGAAGCACTCACTCCAGCTGCAGTCCACTCTTTGTGAATCTCCCCCACATTTTTGAAGGGGTTTTGTTTCACAATCCTCTCCAGGGTGCGGTTATCTCTCTTGCTTGTACACTTTTTTCGACCACATCTTTTCCTTCCCTTCGCCTCTCTATTAATGTGCTTGGACACTGAGCTCTGTGAACAGCCAGCCTCTTTAGCGATGACCTTTTGTGTCTTGCCCTCCTTGTGCAAGGTGTCGATGGTCGTCTTTTGGACAACTGTCAAGTCAGCAGTCTTCCCCATGATTGTGTAGCCTATAGAACTAGACTGAAAGACCATTTAAAGGCTTTTGCAGGTGGTTTGAGTTAATTAGCTGATTAGAGTGTGGCACCAGGGGCCATCAATTTTGAACCTTTTCACAATATTCTAATTTTCTGATATGATGAATTTGAGATTTTCATTTGTTGTCATTTGTAATCATCAAAATTAAACAAAATAAACATCTGAAATATATGAGTTTGTATGTAATGTATGAATATAATATACAAGTTTCACTTTTTAAATGGAATTACTGAAATCAATCTACTTTTTCATGATATTCTAATTTTATGACCAGCACCTGTATACCTGATGGGATGTGTAATGCTACGTTCACACCGGACGCAGCAGAAGCAGCGAGTTTACATGCAAAGTCAATTGTTGACGCGCAGCTGAAGCAGCACGTCATGATCGTTTAAGCATCTAACGCTCGTGACCCGCCGCAAAAACGCTGCTGCTCGAGATGGAAAAATTTAACTTTTGCTGCTCGACGTGCCGCGTCAACCAATCAGAGAAGCTGATCTGGGAGCTGGCAGAGAGAGAGACACATCGCTGATGATACAGAGCGCTGTGATCACTCCTCTGAAACAGTTTATTGACGCATAAATGAACTTAAAATGCTGAAATCTGCCGGCAGAATATGTTCGGTTTTATTATCCTGGTGCCTGCAGTTTGGATTATTTAGATGAACAACACCTACCAGCTGCCGCGGTGAACCGCGAGGAGGCGACCCGGCCAGAGGCTGCTGCTGAATGGGATTCCTACTGTCGGCGCACCGCTGGTATGTGGGGGTCTGAGCGGCTCCGACAGAAATAATATTGGAAGGCAGGATGGTCATCTGGATGAACTGACTGCACTGATGAAGTTTTCAGGTGGATTTTCTCACTTAAAAACATTAAAACTACTTTATTCCCACTGATCACAGCAAATATAGCTACAAGGCAAAGAAAGGATAGAGTAGCTCCACCCAACACGCGTCAGACACACTTTTGCACCGCGCAGCCAGAGCAGCAAAGCTGCTTCAGCCGTCTTCAGCATTCTTTGTCACTTTTAATCGATTACTGAATTAGTTAATTAATATTTTTTAAGTAATTGATTCAACTAAATAATTGTTTCAGCCCCAGAAAACTAGCCTGATAAAACAGACTAAATGCGAGATTAAATGTATAATTTAATTATTTTGGCCACTGGCGGGTGGGGCTAGTTTACTAGGCAACTAGAAAACTGGATAATTCAGTAATTTAAAATGAAGTTCTTTTGTTTACATTCATTTCTATATCTATATCAGTTCATGGTCCCTGTGTAGGGTGACCAGGAGTCCAGATTTGCGCAGGACAATCGTAATCTGGCCAACCAGGCTGACCTACACATGGCATAAGTCCATATGGCAAGGTTCAACGCTCTCTTTTATAAAATAGACTGGACCAATTACAGCGCAGGAGGCGGGCCCATAATGCAAAAGTGATTTTCTGTAGGAATAGCAGTCAAGATTACCGCTGATATGGAGCAATGTTTTATTTATGCTCTTTAATGGACTGAAAAAAACTGTTTATATTGTAAAAATTTAAACAAGTGGTTGCTGTGAAAGCTTCCCTTAAAGGTGTCAAAATTCTGCATTTTGTTATATACACTGATTCTGAAAAAAAGTTGGAACATACTTGCTTCATAAATGTTTTGTGACCAGCAAAATGCTTCAGTGTTATTCTATGGGTCAAATAGTAAAGCAAAGCATAGTAAAAGAATTTGGCACAATTTGTCACATTTGGAGAGGTTTGGAGACGCTGGTGACACCAAAAGTTCAAAGCCCCACAGCTCTGGAACTGCAGTAGCTAGAGTAGGGCTGGGCGATAATTCAATAACGATATATATCGATCGATAGACGTGTGGCGCAATAGAAAAAAAGAGGGTCGATAAAAGTTCGATAAAAAAGAAATGCAGTTTTCCTTCCTTCTCATTGTAGCCTAGCATGTAGGTTTATGCTAGTCACTGCTTCCTCCCAACCAATCACAATCGCGGACCCAGGCACGCCGTCACAAAGCACCGCCCTCTCAAACCACAACACAGAGCACATGAAGATGCAGCAAGGAGAGGCGGAGGAAATTGTTTCAAAGAAAGGTTTTTGTAGTTCGGCAGTCTGGCAGTATTTCGGTCATGGCAAGTCGGACCAAAAACAAACCACAGTCATCTGGAAAATGTGTAAGGAACCAGTGAAACCAGTCTGATAACGAAACCAACTTTTTTTTATCATCTCAGCCGCTCACAGCCGCAGGAGTACGAGCTGTGTAGGCCCCGGTGCGGCTCTCCTCCGAGGAATCTTCGGAAAATATATATATATTTTCAGTTCTGGGCAGTTTCCCACGTAGTTCTAACAATTGAGATAAAAATGCTGTGGGCCCAGAAACATCAAAGTAATAACTCAGGTTAAAGCAGGAAACGGGGGCGGTGGGGGGGCATTTATTTATTTGTTATATTTATTTTGGTCACTTTAGTTTATTCTTTGTCAGTATTTAATAACATAACTCAGGTCTCTTAAGTTATTTTTCTTTAAAACAATTCTGTTATGGTTAAAAAAGTTGGTTAAATAAAGATTTAATTCGAAGTCTGTGTTTGTGTTTTTTATTAAAATTAAATCATTTAGCAATATTATAAAAAGTCCAGGCAGAGCTGCACATAAAATATGGTTTCAAATCTTTTCAATAATTATCGATATCGATCAATATGCATTTTTTTTTATCGATAAGCTTTTTTTCTATATCGCCCAGCCCTAAGCTAGAGGTCTGAAATTTTCACCATTTGTAGTGGACATGATGTAGAACGGATGTAATACAATGAGACATGCCTTTTCTCAAGCACGTCTTTATTACTGCTGTTCAAAAAAGACCTATCATTTTCGAGAAAAAAAATAAATAAAAAAATACTTTAAGTCATGTTTGAACTGATGCGGCTTGGTTTGTCTTCTACTCACCCAATTTTATAATGTATTGCACATGTAATTTGGGCTTACAGTTCCTAAGTTATTTGATTCTCCATTTGGGTATGCAAAATAGGCAGGAATTGCCCAAAATGAGGTGGATGTTAAGAGGTTAAATGAAAAAAAAATATGTTTTTCTGTCAGATCTTTAATAATCTAATTGGTTCTAACCTGATGACGTTGACGCCTTTCAAATCGAGCTCTTTCAGCTCTTCATTAGACAATAAACCATGTATAGGTCATATCATTCTGACTGGCCAGGCTAGGGCAGAGCCGCATTTATCACTTCTGCCCCACCGTCCAACAAATTGAAGCAGTATCCTGCATTAGACATGTTCAAATTAGGAAAAAAAGTCTAAAATAAATATTAACTTTTCCTAAATGCTAAGAAATCAGAGCTTGAGTCGTTGTCACAGAACTCTTCCAGTACCCCATATCATGACCAAGCTGCACACCATGCTTTCAAAACAGAACAATTAAAGAATTTTAATAGAAAATATGGAAACTACATGATAGAATGCAGCCAAAACAAAAACTGTGGAAGGATTTAGAAGTGGGTGGTCAGGTGATTCTAGGGGCTTTTGGTGAAGTTTGCCAAAATTATTTTCCAAATTAGTAGAAGGGTATCCTTCTGTTACTCCTAAGCATCATATTTGTTTTTTATATTAGCAGACATCCCAAGTCTCCCAGAAGTTCCAGGAATCTCCCTGATATAGATAGTTGTTCACGGATGCCCGCGAGTCAGATCAATTATCCCGGATTTAAGACTCCGGGAGGTGGTGTTTTTTTAATGCGAGTGAGAGCATGCAGGCAATACAATAATTTGTGCGTCATGTGTGGATTAGAACTACTTCGATTGCGCAAGAACAAAAAGAGAGCGCAGGGTGCAGGGAGGAGGTTGCTGGTGAAACCTGTGCAGCGTATCTGTCCAAAGCGATGCTCGGTTCAACCAGCGATCTAGGCGACTGGTTGATCAGAGAGCTGATTGGATCAGTCTGATAAGTTTCTCTGGGTTACTCTCTGACAGTCATCTAGTTATCACTCAAAGCTGTGCATCCTGTGAAACGGCAGAGGTTGAATCCTCAAGTAAAAAAACGAAAATATAGGACTAATTTTACAGCAGAATTAGTGAAGGTGAGGAACAGAGGCGGATCTAAACCAAACGTACCAGGGGGCCAGGAGGGTGGCAGCATGTTTTCATGTGGGCACAGAAAAGCATCAAATAAAAACAGGGCAAGGGATTGAAATATATTAAAGGAATAGTACACCCAAACATGATTAGCCTTCATTTTCTACTCACCCCCATGCTGAACAACACTCTGGAGTACTTTTTTAATATCTCAAATGCATCTGGAGATCTGGGAGGCTTCTTGCTGTCTGCTGACATTCAAATAATGGAGGTCTATGGTGACCGAGACAGAAAGGTCCATAAAAGTCCACAAAAAACGTGTCAATATTCCTCCATACTGCTCGTCCAATGTATTCCAAGTGTCCTGAGTGGGTAGCATCCAGAATTTACTCGAAACGAAGTCATTTAGAATGTTTTTAGAGCATAAACAGTAGTGTATAGGATTTCCTGAAAGCGCGCACACGCGCGCTCACGACGCTACGGAAGCCGGCAGATCAAACCAGATGAAAGTGCGCATTCAGCGTCTGCTCTTCCAATAATGCAAGCGTAGAAGAAGAAATGTGCTGTTTACCTGTGCAAAGAAAGAAACAACGAAAGAAAAATATCTGAGGACTTCAGTGTTGAGGAAGAGCATGAGTTCTTTGCCGAGCTGAATGCGCTGGTTTGGTCTGCCGGCTTCCGTAGCGTCGTGAGCGCGCGTGTGCGCGCTTTCAGGAAATCCTATACACTACTGTTTATGCTAAAAAAACATTCTAAATGACTTCGTTTCGAGTAAATTATGGACGCTACCCACTCAGGACACTTGGAATACATTGGACGAGCAGTATGGAGGAATATTGACACGTTTTTTGTGGACTTTTATGGACCTTTCTGTCTCGGTCACCATAGACCTCCATTATTTGAATGTCAGCAGACAGCAAGAAGCCTCCCAGATCTCCAGATGCATTTGAGATATCAAAAAAGTACTCCAGAGTGTTGTTCAGCATGGGGGTGAGTAGAAAATTAAGGCTAATCATGTTTTGGGTGTACTATTCCTTTAAGAGAGCTGCATGAAGGGAAATTTCTTTTCAATTAGCTTGAATAGAAATTCTATTTCTTATGAGGTCAATATACATTTATAATTTAGGAATTTTACATATTTTTATTTAATTTAAGTAAAAACTACAGTTTTCTATAAAACTCGAATTAGAACTCAATAAAAAACTGTTAAATTAATCTGTAAAAATTTGAGGATTTTTTTTTTTATTTGTTGTGGAAAAAAAAACATTTAGCAGATGAAAACTGGGATCCTATCTCATTACCACTGAAGCTATCGCCTTATTGTTTTTCAATAATTAGTAAAAGAGAATTTATAAAGAAATAGAATGAAGTAGTTCCAAAGGACCTATCAGTAACCATGTCTGTTCCAGCGCATCATCATTAGAATTTCTGGCCCCCGTTGGCCCCTGTCTAGAACCGGCCATGGTGAGGAATGATGACACCGTGGCGGGGATGCACTGTTAAGCATCTCCCTGATATGAGTTTTTGGAACTTGGGATGTCTGAATTAGATCCATTCCTCCTATTTCTGTGCTGTCTCTTGAAAATATCGAATCTGTTATTTACTCCTCCCCCACAGGAAAAACTTTATCCTTCCAGTAAACATTCTAACAATTTGCTTGAATACTATAAAAATCCATCTTCAATGGCAACTGCTTTCATTTACAGATACACATTTCTTTAATCTGAGTATGCTACTTTAATAACTGTACAGTATTGAGTCTTAAATATATTAAGTGAAATTTGTATTTTGTCTTGAAAATGTGCCCTTACTGTAGAATATGTCAATTTGTTATTTTTTTTACTTTTGTATATTTATGCCCATTTCCATTCGCGTTTCATTTTGTTGTGGGTAGACTACCAGAAATGTTCCCACTGAGGGGACAATAAAGCATATATATTGTCTAAAAAGCGGTCGTTGATCCTGTTAATTTGAAATATTAATGGGAAACATGCAATTATGATGAGATACACTGCAAGATAACTACGTAAGGTATAATTTCTCTTCTATTTGGTCACATAATTTAAACAAATGATCAATTCTTTAACGGTGTACCCGATCCGGGGTTCGGTCCCCTCCCCTCTCTCTTACCTTTAGGGTTTCTGCTGAAACCCAAACAGCTGTTAGCTTCCAGAGGCTAGCCCGCCTCTTCCGGTGGCTTTAACATCAAAATAATATCCGTTTCGGAGCCAAAAGCACAAACGATTTTAACGAGTGGTCTGTCTGACTTTTATACTAAAGCCAAAATGTGCTATATAACAAGCAACACGGAATGAAACTGGAGGAAAAAAGCTAAAGTTAAAGAATGAGCTACCAATTAGGGATGCGGAAAAGGACACAGCAGTGATTACGTAAGGCACCACGTGCGTGACGTAAGGACGTTGACAGTTTCTTCTTCTTCTTATGGGATTTTATGGCGGTTGGCAGACTTGTGAATTGTGCATTACCGCCACCAACTGATATGGAGTAAAGCAAGATAACAGGAAACGATTCACCCCCCCCCCAAAAAAAAAAAAAAAAAAAAAAAAAAAAAAAAAAAAAAAAAAAAAAAAAAAAAAAAAAAAAAAAAAAAAAACCTGTGTAACTTAAACCAACATAATACTAAATCACATTTGCCCATATAATTTTAATTTACTCTAGGTCATCTTAACTCTGCCAGTTTCTGATGGTCCCATCGGTCCTCCCATCATACTTCCAACCATCTCCCAGTTCAAATCTTTAATGTCCAGATATTTTTCTGCAGCCTTCACTATTATTTTGATTTTTTCCGTTTTTTTTGTTGTCTGTGCAGTACAATTAATTACTTCTACCATGAAAAGAACAAAATTTGTCTTTTTAACAATAAGTGAGTCTTCATTAATTTTTGGAGATTTCTCTAGAGGTTTGGAATTTGCTGTGTGTTGAACTGTAGGTTTGGGTTTTTCTGACTGAGATGGGATCCTTTTTGCAGCTTCAGCGTAGGTTATTCCGAGCTCAAATTTCATTTTTTTAATTTCCTCAGACCTTTTGCTTGCTTCACAGCCGCGATAGGCAGCAGTATGTTCTCCACCACAATTACAGCATTTTATTTTAGCTTCTTTTCCACATTTTCCGTACTCATGTTCTCCTGCACACCTTCCACACCTCTGTTTCCCTTTACAAACTGCTGCAACGTGACCGAATTTTTGGCATTTGAAACATCTCAATGGTGGAGGATTGTAGATTTTGACATTATAGCTTATGTAACCGATGAATACTTTGCTTGGTAATTGCTCTTCTTCGAATTTAATTAGCACAGATAAACTGTCAGATCTTTCTCCGTTTCTTGTTGTTTTTAACCGTTTTACTTCTTTTACTTTTGCACCGCTTATGTTTTCCAGAATCTCTTTTTCAGAAATTTTTAGAGGAACTCCTCCAATGACTCCCCTGCTGATCTTTTTGTTCTCCATTAGGCTGCACTGAACTCTTATCCCGTCAATTTTGTTGATACGTATTGCTTTGCCTTGCTGGGCGCTGTCTCTGCAGTTAATTAGCAGGTCTCCACTGTACAGAATTCTGGCACCTTTGACTTCTCCGACAAGTTTATTGATGGTTTTTGTTAAGTGAACCGGATTCCAATTTGTAAAAGAGTCTGCCTGATTAACGACTTTGAATATGACTTTGAATTCATTTTGTTGTGCTGTGGAATGTATGGAATGATCATCACTGGATTGTTCTGAACTAGATTCCCCTTGAACTGATCTCTGTTTTTTCCGCTTTTTCTCATTTTTTGATGTTGCTATTTTCCAACCTTCATTGTCACTATTTCCCTCTTCCATCCCACAAGAATCGCTTCCTGTTTCCTCACTACTCACGGCCCAAGACATTTCTCCATAAGCAGCTTCAAAACACGCGCCATGCACCAAACGACCATCCACCGAGCCTCAAACACTTCTTGTGTCAACGTGGCACTGTCAAGTCTCCGTTGACAGTTTCTACATAATCTTTTTTAATTAAGTTTTTTTTCCCCCGATGCAATAATTTATCCGTATTGCTTGATTTATCACGCCGCTAATTTTTTTCAACAAAAAAAAAAAAAATTATAATTTTTTTCCCCCCATGTTAATCTTTCTATTGAGTGCTATGTTTACACACATATATATATGTCTATATATACATATATATACACATTTATATATAAATATACATATATATACATACACACATATATATATATATATATATATATATATATATATATATATATATACATACACACATGCTATTAAAGCCTGTTTTTGATAAGAATTTTTTTCAAAGTTGTTTCATTTTCAAATGTCTGCTTTGCTTGTAACAATAATGGAACGCAATTAATTCCACAATTATGGCTTAAAGTTTATGGGGAAAAAAAATTCTAAGAACATTTGCATTTATTGATTTTATGATAATTTTATCACTATTTTTTATTAATTATTTACTTACCTTAATGCCAATGCAATGGACTTTATTTTACTGCTGTTTCTTTTTTCATGTAGACTGCTTTGATTTTGATGCTTCTTAAATGTAGCATATGAATAAACTTGCCTTGCATGAAAAAAGCCTGATACAAGACCTTTAAACAGTAGTAACAAATTGAAGGATATTTATAATAATGTTATATGAAAAGGAAGGACTGTGATATACTAGAGGTAGTGATAGAGGATTGATGAGGGAACTGAAGTTCTACCAGCCGACAGCGCACCATGACAAGAGAAAAACAAAATATTAGATATTTGAATGCTAAACAGGGTGGGGGGATCAATTTTAATTCCTGTAATCCTGGCTCCTACAGTAGGAGGAGGCAGTTTAAAGTTTGGCAGTTATTCTGGTACCATGTCTTGTCTCTGTCCTCCTCAACCACTGGATCTGCATGTCTCCATCTGAGCATGTCTGTCTGAACTCTCTGCTGGACTCATGGAACGCTGAACCTGCCTTCATGCTCTGTGGATTCCGAGAACACTGGATCTGTCTGTTCTTGTTTGGATCATAACCCCTGGTCAGGCTACAGACTCCTGGATCTCAGAACGGTCCTGTTCTGTACCGTTTCCCTGACCTGAATCGGTCTCCTGCCTGTTCACTGGGGCTGCTGCATGGGGGGCGGCTCAACGCCGCATCTCTCATGGCAGTGCATCGACTGAACCTGCTTTTGATGAGAAGATGGAGTGAACTCCTTTACCAGGTAAGTGACTCACATGGATAATCACCTTCTGTCAGATTATCGTGGTCACTTACCTGTGTTTCTCCCACAGCCAGAGTTCCAGTGATGAGCGATGTTCTGCCTTCCCCCATACCCGCTGCAGGTTGGCTGAATCACAGCAGCCCCGGTTTCTGTTCTGTTCCGTTTTATTTTACTTTTGCCGTTAAAACGTTTTCAAACTTCCCACTGTCTGACTCACCTGATTACTGGGTCCATCGTCCAGTTTTATGAGACAGTTCTACAGTTGAAACTTCTCAAGACAGATTTTGAGAAAATAAAGTTTTTATTATGTTGGTGTTTCAAGTTTATTAAGTTTAGATTCAAAGATTTGACAACAAACTGTAAAAAAAAAAAAAAAAAAAAAAAAAAAAAAAACATGCTGGGACAACAGCAGATGAAGTGCCTGTGTGTGTACGTCATACCTGAGATGTAAAAGAAAAAAATATACATATACACAATACAGAATCAAAATATAAAATGCTTTGCATCTTTTAAAACAAGGACAGATAGTAAATAGCTAGCACCAAGTTTAAGATGACATTTGCATCTTTCTGTCTGATTAAAGATTTAAATAAATGTTTGTCTTTCTAACAAAGCACCTTTGTTTAAAGTGATAAACTGGGTTCATTTACAGTCGCATTAGTGAGACAGAACCGGCCTGCTAGGAAATGGTTAGAAGGTCACTAAAGTTGGTCTGACTTTTATATACAGATTATCAGCCTATAAAAGATTCCCCATGTGAACATCACAATAAAAAAAATGTTGCATATCGACATTAAAAAACATACATATTTAATTTATTTTGTACCAGATAAATGTCTCTGTAAACAAAAATGACTTCTCCACTAAAAGCAACGCCTCCAAATTCATCCCTAAGGAGTCACTTAAGGTCAATATGAGAAAATGTGTGAACTGTTGAGAAATTAGAGAAAGATTTTCGTTGATTTAAAGAAAAAAGTTCCTGTTGGATTTGAGTGATCTGGAAGGGAGCATGTTTCCGCTCCCTCTAGCTGAAACACACCGGTCCAAACGTAAAACTAAAATGGTGTGTAAAGTTTCTGCCTCCCATCACCGCCACGTCTCTCAGAGGAAGCAGCTGGAGGTCCTCAAACTCCAACACGGACTCCCGAGAACCGAAAAGCTTCTCCTCTCCAGCCTGTCAAGCAGAAAAACAAGACATTATTTGCCTTTTTAAGTAAGTTGTAGGAAGTCTTAGGTCCAGGCCATTTTGATGCTTATTTATTCTTCTGTGTTAGAAAATTCAAAGAAATGAAACAGATTAAAACACTATAAATTTCCCACACGGCTATTTTATGGCAAAACAGGGAGTCTGCAAACTTCAAAATCCAAATAATCAGGTTTTAGAACAATGGCCAGGTTTAAGAATAAAGAAAAAGGTATTTCGTATAAAGAGTGAACATGGATTTTCAGGAAGTTTATATGTGGAAAATTATGCACAACTAAAGCACATTGATTCTTAAAAAAAGAAATATATATATATATAAAAAAGAAATATATATATATATATATTTTTATTTCAGTCCGTTGTAAAAATTAAGTTTCATTTTACTTAAAAAAAAACAGGTAAAGCCTCTAAATGTTAGGATTCCTGTTTGTGTTTTTGTGTTTGTCTCCCTTCCTCTACCAGGAGGCGCCTGGTGCTGGTCCGCGTCCTCACACACCTGCGGAGGGTTACCTTGTAAATGGAGTGCTCTTAAGCTGCTGACTGCCACTACCTCGACGCCAGAGTGTTTGCCAGTTTTGGGTACTCTAGCCAAGCTGAGTTTTGCTGAGTCAAACTGAGTTTTGTCAACCTTAGTCCAAACCGAGTTATTTTGTGTTTGCCTCTCGGCAGGAAGTCATTCTGCAAACTGGATGTTTTCGGACCTTCTCTCCCTGGATACTGAGCTTAAAACTGAGCTGGGGATTCAAACTGGAGGTTTGGATCTACTTTCCTCCAAGGGATCGTTTGAGCTTCACACTGAGCAAGGGATTCATCTCCACACCAACCCGTTCAAGTACAGCAGGAAATCCAAGTGGCAGTCAGTTTCTCCATTCACCTACAAACAACCGCATTCTGGGTAAACCCTGTCCGCCCTCCACCGAATGAGACAAACACTGGAACTACCGCACACAGACAGGAGTCATAGAGTCAACCACTTTTCTTGAAAAGTGAGTCAGCACCTAATTCTTCTCTTCAAGTTCAAGAATCAAATTTCCCACTGAGCCTGAACTAACCGCAGTGTCTTCCCCTCACTTTCCAGTTCTGGTTGAGCAGTGTTCAGAGCAACACTAGATTATTCATTATCTCCTTGATAAACCTGTTTAACCTTTTCCCTCGTCTCTCTGAATTGTTTTTTCTGCTTTTTGGCTCAGACCTTAGTTAAAGGCACACTATGCAACATTTTTCAGTTAATTAATGTGTTCCATAACGTTTTGGATGATTAAATGAGTAATTTCAGGTTGAACAAAGGTATTCTCGGCCGCCCTGGTGGTCTGTGGGGGAAATACTGCACTTGCAATTGCAGGAGCACCGACCCGCACCCACAGGCTCAGAAGTCTCGTGAGAGTTAGTCTTGCTTTACGGCGAGAACTGCTACACCCCCCAGTTAAAAGCATTCTCGTTGCTAGCACAGTGGCGATCTTTGTGCAGTTATGCTACGTTCACGCAGCAAAAGCAGCAAAATCGTGTCTGCTGCTTCATTTTTGCTGCTTGTACCAGTTAGTTCTGACGCGCGGCTGAAGCAGCTTTGCTGCTCTGGCTGCGCGGTGCAAAAGTGTGTCTGACGCGCGTTGGGCGGAGCTTCACTATCCTTTCTCTGCCTTGCAGCTATATTTGCTGTGATCATTTGGAATAAAGTAGTTTTAATATGTGTTTAAATGAGAAAATACACCTGAAAACGTAATCAGTGCCGTCAGTTCATTCAGATTATTATCCTGCCTTCAATATTTTTTCTGTCGGAGCCGCTCAGACCCCCACATTCCTCGCGGTTCACCGCGGCAGCTGGTAGGTGTTTTTGATCTAAATAATCCAAACTGCATATTCTGCCGGCAGATTTCTGCATTTTAAGTTAATTTAGGCGTCAATAAACTGTTTAAGAGGAGAGATCATAGCCTCTGATCATCAGCGCTGTGTCTCTCTCCCTGCTTCAGCTGCTCAGACGTGCTGCGACTGCTGCTCAAAACGCGCCGCGGGACCTTTTGCTGCGCCTTGACGCGCGTCAACCATTGACTTTGCATGTAAACTCGCTGCTTCTGTCGCGCCAGCTGCGGTGTGAATGCAGCATTAGTCATTCGTTGCGTTCGCCTGTCTGCTAAGCTCAAAACAACCGCGCCTGGCTTGACGGAGAAACCAGGAGAACAGCTGTGCATATTTACGACACTGCACTTTTACTTTCGCCCTCTGGGGGGAGCCTCGCTGGAAAATCAACACCGGTTGCATAGTGTACCTTTAAATCATGACACTAAAACCAGAGCCAATTATGGCTCTGAAGCTGCAGGTTGCAGACCCCTTGGCAAGACCCTAAAACCAGACACTAAACAACAAAGAAAACATCTTTCTACCCATAAAACCCCCCAAGATCTGACAATGAACAAAATCAAACACAAACAGGTAGTGAATCATTACATTACATTTTGTCATGTGGGCCAAAATAGTAATGTCAAATATAATGAATCTTGAATACATAATAATAATTATAACAATTCAACTTTATTGATCTCACATTGGAGAAATTTGCTTTTAAATGCAGAGGCAAGAATACAGTGGCAATTGCTCAATTTAAATCTGTTTTCTTCATGTAATCAGGTCAAAGCTACCCTCATTTTGTTTAGTCTGATCTGTCCACCTCTACCTGAATTCAAACTGTAACTGGATCAAGCTTTTAAGTTTTCAATAGAACTATACCGATATCTAAGTTTTTACTATAATAAAGCTAGCCCAACATATTTTTCCATGGTTTCACATACCACACAGTCTTTCAGCTCTCCGAGGTAGCTCTGCCTCATTGTATCTGTGAGGAATTTGACGTCTCTCTCTTCCTGACCCAGATGATGTCCTGGATGACAGGAGTAGGTCACCTTCTGCACGGCGGTGACACTGTGCAACCTCAGGAAGCGCATCTGGACCACACTGGCACCTGGATAAGTAAACTAACAAACATGCCACCAGAATTCCAATTAACATATGAACATCTTAAAGTACTTTGAAAAATGTTTTTTTTTTCCTTTTAATATTAATTGATAAAGTTGCATTTTTTTCTCACATCACTAAGCCCATCCGTTTAAACTTAGACAAACTTTAGTTGGAGGCATTTTTTCTGTCTTGTTGCAGGGTTGCTAGCTTACAGCTACATTTTGAGGCTGACTGACTCAAATAAAAGTATTTTGGGATCAGTGATGGGAGTAACAGCGTTGAAAGTAACGGCGTTACTAACGCCGCTACCTTTTTTAGTAACGAGTAATCAAAATTATTACTCTTACTGTAACTATAAGCAGTTACAATTGCCGACACCCCGTTACTGCACGTTACTCAGGTCGAATTATTAACCTTTTTTCATGATAGGACTCATGGGCGCCTTGTCATGAGAGAGGGGAGGATGGAGAGTGAGGAGGACTCCAGCGGCAAAACAGCGCTTTCCAGATGGAAATACTGGTGTTACGTCGAGCTGCGTTTCTCCATCAGATACGGTTTCCCCTGCATCTCCGCGCAGCGCGGCGGCACAATTCACCGCGCAAGCAGTGTTTGCCAACTCCTCAGAAAGGAAAGTAGCTATTGGCTGTGCTATTAGTCGCTAGAAGTCGCTGAATGACGTCATTGCCTAATTTGCATAATATATATATATATATTTTTTTTTCAACTTTTTTTTTATTTAACTTTTTCTTTTTTACCTTGTGGTCCACTAAGGACCTTAAAAATCATGCTAAAACATGAACATTTTGAACATCTTTTTTTTTTACATTACATTAACAATCTAAATGGGAAAAAAAGACTATAAAGAATCATTGACAATGTGAGCAAATGGTAATTATTATTTTTTTTTTTAACTAATAAGAATTCCCTGCACACACACAGGCTGTGCTTGCCTGCTCACAGAAAGAGTGGATCATGGTCATGTTGGTCAAGGATCTCTATGGCAGGCTCAGCAACTGAGGGAGCTGACTCCAGAGTGATCAACCTGCGCTGTAAAACCCGGCGCATGCGCGCGGTTCTTTTGCTGTCTGGACGCTGAGGGAACACATATGTGTCTCTGACTGTAGCGCTGAGAGGGACATCTGCAGGGATGGCGCCCCACGGCAGACACCAGAAAAGTCGCTAGATTTGTCGTCAGTCGCTTTTTTGAAAAAGAGGGGTCTGAAAAGTCGCTAAATATAGCGACAAAGTCGCTGAGTTGGCAACACTGCGCGCAAGCGACAGGAAACACGCATGCTCGATAAAGGCGCGTAACAGCCGCCCTGTGCTCGCGCCACAGGGGAACTACGGAGAGCGTGAACGATCATTAGCCTATATGGAGAAAGGGAGAAATATGGATGGATGGATGGATGGATGGATGGATGGATGGATGGATGGATGGATGGATGGATGGATGGATGGATGGATGGATGTAGCTACATGTTGCAGTATCTATAACAACCCAAACACAGGATTTCAGAATTAGACATCCCCAGTTATTAATTTCATACACTCGCAAAAGTAACGCAATAGTTACTTTTACTACTAACTAGTTACTTTTATCGTGGAGGAGCTCAGTTACTAACTCAGTTACTTTTTGGGAGAAGTAACTAGTAACTATAACTAATTACTTTTTCAAAGTAACGTGCCCAACACTGTTTGGGATGTACAGGTGCTGGTCATAAAATTAGAATATCATGAAAAAGTAGATTGATTTCAGTAATTCCATTTAAAAAGTGAAACTTGTATATTATATTCATACATTACATACAAACTCATATATTTCAGATGTTTATTTTGTTTAATTTTGATGATTACAAATGACAACAAATGAAAATCTCAAATTCATCATATCAGAAAATTAGAATATTACTGAAGACCAATAAAAACAAAGGATTTATAGAAATGTTGGCCAACTGAAAAGTATGAACATGAAAAGTATGAGCATGTACAGCACTCAGTATTTAGTTGGGCCTCCTTTGGCCTGTATTACTGCAGCAATGCGGCGTGGCATGGAGTCGATCAGTCTGTGGCACTGCTCAGGTGTTATGATAGCCCAGGTTGCTCTAATAGTGGCTTTTAGCTCTTCTGAATTGTTGGGTCTGGTGTATTGCATCTTCTTCTTCACAATACCCCATTGATTTTCTATGGGGTTAAGGTCAGGAGAGTTTGCTGGCCAATTAAGAACAGGGATACCATGGTCCTTCAACCAGGTACTGGTAGCTTTGGCACTGTGTGCAGGTGCCAAGTCCTGTTGGAAAATGAAATCTGCATCTCCAAAAAGTTGGTCAGCTGCAGGAAGCATGAAGTGCTCTAAAACTTCCTGGTATGTGGTTGCGTTGACCCTGGACCTCAGAAAACACAATGGACCAACACCAGCAGATGACATGGCACCCCAAACCATCACTGACTGTGGAAACTTACACTGGACTTCAAGCAACGTGGATGAAGTGCCTCTCTTCTTTTCCTCCAGACTCTGGGACCTTGATTTCCAAAGGAAATGCAAAATTTACTTTCATCAGAGAACATGACTTTGGACCACTCACCAGCAGTCCAGTCCTGTTTCTGTTTAGACGCTTCTGACGCTGTCTGTGGTTCAAGAGTGGCTTGACACAAGGAATGCGACAGCAGAAACCCATGTCTTTCATACGTCTGTGTGTGGTGGTTCTTGAAGCACTCACTCCAGCTGCAGTCCACTCTTTGTGAATCTCCCCCACATTTTTGAATGGGTTTTGTTTCACAATCCTCTCCAGGGTGCGGTTATCTCTCTTGCTTGCACACTTTTTTCGACCACATCTTTTCCTTCCCTTCGCCTCTCTATTAATGTGCTTGGACACTGAGCTCTGTGAACAGCCAGCCTCTTTAGCGATGACCTTTTGTGTCTTGCCCTCCTTGTGCAAGGTGTCGATGGTCGTCTTTTGGACAACTGTCAAGTCAGCAGTCTTCCCCATGATTGTGTAGCCTATAGAACTAGACTGAAAGACCATTTAAAGGCTTTTGCAGGTGGTTTGAGTTAATTAGCTGATTAGAGTGTGGCACCAGGGGCCATCAATTTTGAACCTTTTCACAATATTCTAATTTTCTGATATGATGAATTTGAGATTTTCATTTGTTGTCATTTGTAATCATCAAAATTAAACAAAATAAACATCTGAAATATATGAGTTTGTATGTAATGTATGAATATAATATACAAGTTTCACTTTTTAAATGGAATTACTGAAATCAATCTACTTTTTCATGATATTCTAATTTTATGACCAGCACCTGTATGATGCATTCAGGTAGTTCTGGAGTCACCATCCAGTGGGATGTCATGTGAAAAAAATGCAAGAAAAAAGAGTTCCAGGCCAGTTTTCCAGAACCACCTCAACTGACTCCTTTGATGAGAAGCAATGGCTGTATTCCAAGCCTCCCAGGATGGTGAAGCACTTCATCCTGGCTGTAAGGACTAGCCCAACCCAACAGAGGAAGCTTGTATCAGCTACTTGTGTATAGGATCTCATTCCTTTGGTCCTCACTCATGTCTCATCACCATAAGAAAAGGTCGTAGCTTAAATGGGCCAATAAATCAAGAGCTTTGCTTTTAGGCTCGGCTCAATAGACCGAAGGGATGGCTGAATTACTGCCTATGGAGCCCCAATCCGTCTATCCAGCTGCCGTTCTCTCCTATAGTCACTCATGAACCAGACGGCAAGATAGTTGAACTTAAGACATTTTCTCTGAAGTTTTTTTTTAAATGTAGGTGACTTTTAGGATTTTTTTTAGGTTATCCCTCACCTGATGACCCTGATCCAGCCTGCTAAGCCATTGAAAAGATCCATCTTCTGATTCCTCCATCCAAGCTTTCATTGGAAGCTGCAGAGAAATCAGTCAGAAGCTTCATTCAGTCACATTCAGGCATTTCAGGTCAGTATTGTTTATAGACAGGTAGAAAACATGATGCTGTGTGCTGATCCTTCAAAAAGCATTTACACTCCATCAAATCGTCACCTTTAAAGTCTCAGGGTTTGAAACAAAAGTGTGTCCCTGTACAAGTCATTAAACTGGAGCTGGAGGAGGTATGAAAAAGCTCCTTCAGGTCAGCAGAGATGTCCTGTAATTTCCAACAGCCCACGCTGGGTGGTGGCTTCTGTGGTCGGAAAATGTAGCTTTTCTTATTTCATATATTAATTTATGCTATTTACTCACTATAAAAGTTTTCACTCAGCCTGTTTCACCTGCAAGGCAACACAATTCTCCAGCATGAGGATGTTTGTAGACAAGACATACCTTCTTCCCATAACAAACCAGATTCTTTCTCAAGGTTTATTCATGACATGTTACTGTTTAATCAAAGTGTCTGGAAATTGTTTTGACTCTGACTACTTTCCATTATTTTAAGGGGGAACCAAGGCTCGTCGATCAGAACAGGGGAGATTACTGTCAATAAGGGCTGTATTATGAACTGTTCTCTCTTTGCCAAGATAAAAATAAAGTGCCGCCTCAGTGAAATCTCAATCTCAGTTTATTTAACTGAAGCAAATAGTTTAATATTTTTTTCCATCTACACTTCATACCTGAGAGTGTTCGGGGTGAAGGCAGGTCTGTTTTGATGAGGAGGTGAAGACACAGTAGGCCAGCAATGCGTCTGCTGAGCTCCCCTGGTTGGGGTCGATGTAATACATTCCTGCAGATGGGAAGGAGAGCAGCAGAAGCTCAGAGATCAGAAAGGATTAAAGAATCACGCTCAAATATAGACAACAACACAATGGATGCAAAGGTTTGAGAGTTTCGTACACTATTTGCCTCCTCACTTTTCCTTCTAGGCCGTTTTAATGGTGGGATACAAATAACAGGGCATAGAATTGACAAATTTAGCAGCTGTTGTTATTTTCATTTCCCTCTGCTATTGGCTATAACTAAGCTTTGGAAGGCGGGTATAAGGTGTCACTTCAGCCAATCAGCTTGGAGTCTGCAGACTTGCTCTTCCTTCCCAGTGCAGATTTGATCAGAGTAGAACTAAACCTGAGTGGTACCAATTATTAATCAGGCTTGTCAAGCTATTAAAACTGTGAGCTGCTAGCTACCTTGCCTCCATCACAAAGAAGGATGCGTGTAATTAATCTTTACCTAGTTGTGCATCTTCTTTTCAAAAACAAAAATCTACTACCGGTATTTTAAATGTGTCATCAAATGATCAGCGGCGAAAAAAAAAAAAGTATGGTTTTGCATAGTCAAAACAGAGAGATAAGAGAGAAACCAGCCATGAATCTCCTCTTTATTAATAAGCAGATGTTAGAAATAACCCAAATTGTTATTTCAAAGTTTACAGATAAGATTTGATTGATTAAAATAGGAATCAAACCATAGACTAAGGAGATACGTTATTGGTTGTCATGGTGATTCCTATCATGGTAAATGGGCTGTACTTATATAGCGTTTTTTTCAAGTCAGGAGACTTGAACAAAGCTCTTTACACCACATTTAATCATTCACCCATTCACACACTAATGGTGGTGATCCACATTGTAGCCAAAAATACAATGTGCCAACTGATGTTGATCAGTTGGCAATGTGGGGGAAGTGTCTTGGCCAAGCACACAAGGACTCAAGGCTGGAGCATAAACCATGAGTCGTTTGGTTGGAGGGCAAACTCCTGCTTCTGTTGCCCCTATTTCAAGAGAGTGGAGGGGTAACAGTCTCAGCTTTATAAAATTATTACAGTAGTAGCCATTCAAAATGACCCTTCCCAATCAAACGCCAGCCGACTGGCAGCCCACTTCCAGCCACTGGAGTGACCCCCTCCACCTCCTGGGCATGCATATTTTTTTACTCCGAGTCCCCCCTTTCACTGAATTACAAAGTCTGACCAGGAGATGGCACTTCCATTTAGATCTTAATATCGGGAAATCATGACAGAAAGAATATTTTAATACAAAGATTGATGTTTAAAAATTGAATTGTAGGGGACCAGTCAAGGACCAGCCAAGGATTAGCCAAGGGTCTAGGGGTGGAACGGTTCACAAAATCCACGGTTCGGTTTGGTTCACGGTTTCGTGGTCGTGGTTTTCGGTTCGGTTCGGTATATGTTGATTGTTACACCGAAATCCCATAAAAATTAATGAAAAAATCCCCCAAAAAATGAATGAATTGTAATTATTTTTAATGATCCACGGAAACCATGGATCATTTCCACATGTTTTGCTGCTTTGAATTTAAATATGTGGGAGCATGTGGGATTTCGGGGTTAGCATGACATGTTGGCCGTGTTGCTGTTAGCATAAACAAAACGTGTTACACAATGCTTGCACACTGTTGCACTTTTATCCACAACTTTCTTTCCGCCGTCATCGTAGGTCACTCTAAATGCAAAGTGGTCCCATACAGCAGACCTATAAAGTGCTGCTGGCGCGTCTTCCAACTCCAGTTCTTTCCCACTCGCCATACCCACACAATTCTCCACAACAATTGATTTTTTTCTGCTACACCCGGCTGCTTTGCTTCTTCTTCTTCTTTACTACTGGTGGTTGGCTTTGGTCGCAGTACCGCCACCTTCTGCTCTGGAGTGTACACGCTTCGCCTATGAGAAAAAGGAGCTGCGCATGAACTGAACGCAACACACACGAACCGAACCGAGACAGTCGAACCGAACGGTTCGGACAGTTTTCATAAACCGTTCCATCCCTACAAGGGTCCATCAAGGAAAGTGGGGAAATTTTGAATGGCTACTACTGTATTATTTTGCAACATTAATGGCCTTTATTTGATAGTAGACACACAGGAAAAGAAAACAGAGGAGGAGGACATGCAAAGTTCTCTGTGTTGGGATTATAACTCTGGACTGCTGCAACGAGGACCAAGGGCTCTGTATATACCGTAGATTGTGTGTCTACCACTACACCACTGCCACAGCAAAACTCTAAAACAAACGAGTTTTTAACCTCTAACAAACCCTTGATGCATCGAACATTCATTTAGTAAATAAAAAATAACAACCAAAGACTTAAAAGGACTAACATTCTGATCTTCAGCTACCACAGTATACATTTCAGATTAAATAATACTACTTATACTTCAGCGATAGTATCAAGGCGTTACTTTATTGTATCTCTTATACTTGTTGGTTGTGCTGTTCTTCTTACATCTCTTTACAGGGGATGAAGCAGACATATTTTATCGTTATCTCCCTTTTATCGCCTCCTTCTTTCATCCTTTCTCCTTTTTTCTGTTTTTCCTTTCCTGTTCTACTAACATTACAGTGTCCATATAATCTGTAATACTCCCAGCATTATTTAATAATAAAGCTATTTATATGCATAAATCAAGCGGAACACTATGGCTATAGCCATACTGCTAAACTTGTGAAAGCAAAATCTGTTGGGCTGCTATTTTTGGCATCAAGACACTTATTCTTATTGCCACATCGCCAAACGGGACACTGTAAAAAAAGGACTAACATTACATCATACAGTCTCACTTATTTGACCGTTTCTCACCACTTTTGTATTCAGGGTGACAGAGCCAGAGCTCCAGACAGGTGGTGGCTGGATGCTCCTTGCTGCCATCAGGAGGATCCAGCAGCAGCCGAAGCTCCTGCTGCAGAGAGTCCAGCAGCATCTGGATCAGGGAGAAGTTAGGCTTGTCTGACATGTACATGAGGTTCTGTGGATGGGAGGAAGAAGACAAAGAGGAAGGAAAGTGTGTTTAGTTCAAAAAAGATATTTCAAAACTATCATGGCAGTAATACAAGTTAGCGTCTTCATTTATCAGTGGCTATAGTTCCTCTATAAACTAATTTGGGTTAGGATGAGTGTTTTTGACATGCAATTCTTTAAAAGAGAGGGCAAAAAACCCCAAATATAAAATATTAGTTTGACAGCTGCAATGGTCACATGTGATATGTAAAAACTGCTTTGCCTTGAGTTGAGCCAAAGTCATGTTTAGTGACTTTCCTGGGGGACCAGGAACGCCTGGTGGACCCTGAAACAGAAGGTTGAAACATATGATCAGGTCTTTAAATATTAAATAATATTCATGTTAGGAACATTTCAATGACTAAGCACGAGGAAACATTAGCGGAAAAAATTATTTAAACAGTTATGTCCCTTAAATGCTAAGCTTAAAAAACAATTACAATATTCTAATATTTCAGTCGCCAAACTGCAAGGTGTCAGGTTTCTGTTATAGTATTCAGTCTTGCTTTACTCCTTGGTTTCTAGTGTTAGTGGTTTTATTTTTATTTTGCTGTGTTCTTTGGTTTTTTCCAGTTACTGTCCTAGTCTTGGTTCTGTTATGTTTTCTTTTGAGTGTTTAGTTTTCCTTTCTCCATGTTTTATAGTCCTAGTAATTTAACATTGTGTTGTTATTTCCAGTCTTCAAGGTTTCTATTTGTTGCTCTCTGCTGCCCTCTTGTGTTCTCCTTCTTCCCTAGCCCTTTCCCTCTTGTTCTGTGCACACCTGCTCCCAGTTTCCTCATTAGCCCCCTCTTTGTCTCTGTCTCCTTTAAAAGCCCTCTCTCTTCAGTTCCCCTTTGCTGGGTCCTCGTCAAACGCTGCCGAACTTTGTCAAACTTCCTCCAACTCCGTCTTCCTGAGTCTTCCTCATTGTGACAGTGATTCCCCTGATGTCTCCACGGTTTCTGGTTCGTTTTGACTAGTTTTTATGTTTGATTCCTTTGGATTTTTGGACTCCTGATTTCATGCTTGTTTGGACTTTGTTTTCATTATTGGATTTTTGGATAACCTGCCTTTGTTTTCAGTTTCCCTTTTCAATTAAATCTAATGAAATTCACCTCTGCCTTCCTGCCTCTGCTTTTGGGTTAACACTCCATAACCAAATCCTGACACAAGGCTAACAACAATATATCAACAAATATATAAACTGTGTGTTTTCTGTCCTTCAGCTCACAGAATTAATGGTCTGTTTTAGACATGTACAGCACACCAGTGATTCAGAGTTAGTTGATTTAATTTCCAAAGGCATGAGAGATCGAGAACAGGCCACAGGAGGCAAACTTGATTGTTTCTTGACTATTGTATTACAGAGCATCCTGCAGAAGTACACGAGGCATAAAACAAGGCTGTACAACATGGCAAGAGACGACTAAATGTCTGCTGGTGCTCTCATATATACATTTACTGCTGGGACTGGTTCAAATCACTGCAAGTTGTTGCAAATTAAATCATTTACTCAAAATTATATAATTGCTCAATCTTTTTGCTTTCTGTTTTACTTGTACATCTACAGGGTTCCTGCATTCAATTTCATTGTCATACTTTTCCAAACATAAATGTCCAGGCAAGGTATACATTCAAATAAATGTTCATCTTGAGAGCTTGTCAAATGTCTACAAGGATGTAAAAAAACTTGAATTATCATAACATTTTTCCTAATTGCACTTTTTTTATGAGATCCAGAACTAAAACTCATGCCAACCTCTAAGTGTTTTCTATATGAATCTATTTGTTTTCATATCTGATTTTTAACTCTGCTATAACAATCAGGCAGACCTTATTTCAGAGCCTTGTTAACTTACTGGGAGCCCTCTCCTTCCAGGTAGTCCAGATGGACCTTGGTAGCCTTTCAATCCCTGTCAAGAAAAAAAAAACAAAGCCAATCAACAGCTTTTACAGACCAACATGCTGATGACATCAATAGTTTAACATTCCTACTATGGCTATTTTAATCTATGATGCACTAAGTCAGCTGCTAAAGTACTACTTTTAGGATTTTTGCTTTTCATATGTGTAGTATACTACATATCATTGTTATTGTCTGACTTCTTAGTTCAGAGTCTGAGGATGATGAAATGCACCACGGTTCTCCTAGATACTACTTGCTGCAGAACCTGAAACAGCCTTAATCTCACCTCACAACTTTCTAACCTAAGTAACCCTGACCAATTAATGGATAGATTTGCCTCTGAGATTTTACATCTGCAGAGTGGTGGGTTAAGTGTCACAATGGGAAACCTTAGAAACAGTTTGGACATTGACATGTTTTTGTGAATGTGGCAGTTTATGATTAATGCAACTTGAAATCCAAAGTTTACAAATTATGTTTGTGTAGATGGCACCATACCTTTAATCCAAACAAGCCCTGCAAAAAAAAAAATAAAGGGAGCAGAAGGGAAGAACGCTTTGGTCATTTATTCATTTTTAGTAAAATCAGCTCTATATAAGGACGTAATGAAAACTTGAGTTGGCTGATAGGTAGCTTCCTCTATGGTTGCAGTCACACTGCAGGTCTAGGTGCTCAGTTCACATTTTATGTAGAATCATGCGACATGCGACCGCTATGAGACTTCAATCTGAATGGTTCAGGGACAGAAGAAGAATGCAGACACCTTACAGCAGTGCACTGTTTACCAAAGTAAAGCTGCGGTTGTTTAAATTAACCAAAAACATGACGGGGACACAAGCTAATGTGTTATTTACCTCGTGTGATGAAAGTTGACAGTTTTACTATCATGTTGATAACAAAGAAGGAAGGGAAGAAAAAACAGTGCAACTACTAATAATGGCTGTTTGCGAATCAATCAGTGAGGCTTGTTGCCGTCTCTGGGGATGGGTAGTGGGAAACCTGGCAATGTTGTAAAAGTCTGATAAAATGCAAGAGGTCCAGTTCAGATTGTTCTGATATGAGTCTGGTTTGGGGCATATTTGGCTGCAGAGTTACTGTAGCCTATGGCTACTTATGTGACTCATGATTTTTTTTTTTTTAAAGATGATGCTTTTTACTCTGATGATCTTACAGGTAATCCTGGCATCCCCATTGCGCCTCTGGGTCCGGGTGGACCAATGTTTCCCTAGAACAACCACAGAAGAAGAAAAGTGAAAGCTTCCTTTTAAGTGTTGGGGGTTGACATTCACATGTGAGACAAATTTTATATTGCAAAATAAAATGTAAAAAATGTAAGTATATTTTGTCACCCATTTCAGAAAGTGAAGTTAGGATATTAGATTCAATACAGATGAAAGAGTTTAAGTTTTATTATTTTTACTTGTAACTATCACAATTTTTAGGTAAGAAAAAAACAATCTGTGCTTGAAAAAATGAAATATAAGATCCATGCAGAGGAAAATCCATAAAAAAATGTTTCCAAAAAAATTTTAATTTCTGAGCATTTCATACTTGTTTGTGGTTCTGCAGAGGTGTAATTGAAGGTTGGTTTTATAGTAGCCATTATGGCTGCATTGTTGGCTCTGCTGTTTCTGATCTTCCTCTTGACAATAGTTTATAGATACTCAATGGGGTTTACCTATAGTTGCTGCACTTAACTTTCAATGAATACTTAAATCCAGAACTTTCAATAACCAACTTCTTTAGCAGTGACTTTCTGAGGCTATGCAGTAGTAGCCATTAAAAATTTCCCCACTTTCCTTAATTGGTCCTTAGCTGGTCCCCTACAATTCCTTGTTTTAAACATCAAGAAGCGTCATCTCCTGGTCAGACCCTATAATTCAGTGAAAGGGTGGAGCCAGAATAAAAAAAATATGCACGCCAGGTGAGGGAGGTGGTCAATCCAGTGGCTGGAAGTTGGAGGGGATTTTGCTGCCATTTGGCTGGCTTTTGAATGGCTGCTACTGTACCATCCTTGCTGGGGGGTATCACAGACATCTGTCCAATCAGCACTCTTCCCTTTGATAATGTGGGATCATCATCATCATGTTCACATTAAATAGCTTTTATTTGTATTTGCTTTGAGTAATTCTTTCTACTGAATTGAAATTTGGATTTTTATTACTGTATCTGTAAGCCATTATTAAACGATTTTGTGTAATAATGCCGGTTTCACTTTCTGAAAAGAATGTTTTGTTTTGTTTTTTTTTCACATTATGCACATTTTTTTAGGTATACGTGTATGATATGAATATAAATTGCAGGGTTATATATGTACCTGTTCTCCTTTTTGGCCTGCTGGGCCGGGCAATCCGACTGGACCTCTACTACCCTGTAAATTCCAATATGAAAACACCTGCTTACAATATTTCCCAAAATTTCCTTACAATATTCTGTTGTTTTAAGTACACCATTCATCACAATAACAAAATTACTGGTAGCGTTTTTATACTTTAATCTAATTCATAAGCATTATGTGGTATTTAAAGCATTAATATGCCTACATTAAACATTTTTTATCTTTCATAATTTAAACCTTATGAGTTAATGCTCCCTAGTTTTGCTGTACGGAAAGGTCAACAACTCTGCCATTTAAGTTTAATTAACCTTTTTGCCCTCAGGTCCAGGTGGTCCAGGAAGTCCCATGTCTCCTTTTTCCCCCTGGAGACAAATAAGGCAGTTATTTAATTTTCTGTCATTTAACTTCACACCAGTTCATGTAATTTACTCCTGTCGGACATTTTAGGTCATTGACTTCGTAAGTTCATAGAGGATTGGGTGAACAGCTCTCTGTTAAATGTTTAAAGCTTTTAATAACGTTTTATAACCTTTCTCTTTTACCAGTCTGCTGTTAAGAAAACAAATATTTTTATTTTGCTTTCAATAATGAACTACTTTGGGTTGATCTAAGATATAAAAGTCTAAACTGATGTTTTTAGTGGTGACAAAATGTTGAAAACTTCCAAAGAAAAAAAAACCTTTGGCTTAGAGAATCAAGATTTCTATAAGTACTTACAGATAAGAAATTACTACAATGTAGAAATCAAGCAGAATGATGACAACCCATTGATAGATCTCTTTATTAAAGCATATAAATCAAATCTTCCTAGAGGGTTAATATCAAAACTATACATTTGTATTAATAACCCAGACAACCATTCTACTACCTATATTAAAAATAAGTGGGAAAATGAAGGTACTTTTACTTTAACTGAAGATGAATGGGAAAGTGTATGTTTATCTCAATGGAAGACAACAAAACACATATCTGGAAAGAAATTAGCTGGAAAACTATCGCATGTTTCTTTATAACACCATGTCAAAGTGCTCATTATTCACAAGGGAACACTGGATGCTGGAGAGGATGTGGGTGCCTAAAGGCGCATCATTATCATTTGTTTTGGGAATGCCCAGTTATCCAGAAATATTGGAAAGACATGAACAATGTAATGCAAAGGTTTATAACGCCGCCATCCCTTTCAACTTCATGACCATGTACCTTGGACTGAAAACACCGGCAATGGACACAGTAAACAAATACCTTTGGAATATAATGCTTGCTGCTGGACAAAAAGCCCTAACTAAGAAATGGATGACACAGTCAGACCCCACGATTTCAAACTGGATTGAAATCATGACTGAAATAAGAAACATGGAACAAATTACTTCACTTGAAACTTGACATTTTTCACAAACTTTGGTCAAAATGGGACTCCTACAGGTTAAAATGTGCTGTGCTTTAAAATGGTCCATGATCCATCGCTACTTTCAACAAGCTGTATTTTTGCCAACTGCTCTTCATGTCGAACTGTTCTGTGTTATTAATGTTGTACTGAAAACTTTGAGAAAAAAAAAAAAAAAGAAGAAAACTTCCAAAGAGATGCATATAACTTTTGAAGACTTCTGGGGAAATGTGGAGAGTAGTGCTGTTTTATCCATCTTGAAATTTATGTAATTGAACCCAGTTTATTGCTCGGTTTTGTTTGTTTTTTTCCCTCTCATTTGAGAGGCAGACTTGGTTTGAGAGGAACAACTTTATGTTGGACTGAGTGAAGTCGGATTTGCTTTCTGCATCAAGCCATCATCAACCCAAGGAATCCACATCAACTTTAATAACTCTAGTTTACCTCTTTTCCCTTTGCACCTTGTTCCCCCAGATCTCCAGGTAGTCCAGGAAGTCCCTTGGTAAGACAAATTAACAACAGTAAATTAATTGGATAAACATCCAAAGGCTGTTAGGAAGATGTCTGAAAAGTTATTCATAACTAAATGAGGCAGTGTGGTAAATAAGTAAAGAAATAAGCTTACAATGGTTCCTGGCCATCCTGGAAGGCCTGTTGTCCCCTGATCTCCTTTTTCACCCTAATTGAAATAAAACCACATGCTGTCACATACGATGTCACCAAGTGCACAAAAACCATGTTGGCTGTGTTTCTGTATTCTCCACCTTTGGTCCTCTGTCTCCCCTGGTCCCTCTGACTCCAGCCTTTCCCCGTTTCCCCTGAGGAAAGGTTTGGTTTGTTTGTCAACGTGTCAAAACGGGGAATGCGCAAGAAGTTATGTCATGTTTTATGCATTAATCTGTGCGTGCAGCGACTTTCAGAACACCTGCTTTTAGACATCTTTACTCTTATGCAAACACGACACAGAGCTTCACAAAAAGAAGTTCTTTTTCCACCAAACTGACAAAGTGACAGTCTTAAAATTCAAAACAGAGATCAACTCCCTGGACATTCTATATTTGGAGAAAAAGAAAACTGACTGGTTTGACATCAAACCAGGGTCACCTTACCCTCCTCCCAATGGGACCAGTTTTCCCTGGAGGTCCAATTTCCCCATCATCTCCCTGTTGAAATAATAAGCAAAGAAAACAGGTTAAACAGAGAAAACGTACATTTAATATGTTAAAGTCTCATTGTATCTGATCCTTTAATGTTCTATTTCTGGGTTTTATTTAAAATCTAGCAGAATAAATTCATAAGCTATTAAGGTACATATTGTTGGACAAAAAAGTTTCAACCTTTTTCTGTAGAAATTAAAGCTACAGTGCATAAAAATTCTAGGGATTTACTAATAGAAACGTAACATAGTATATTAAGTATGTTGTTTATTATCATCTATGAACTTAAAGTCTCAAGCTTTATCTTTTTATTGGTATTGATTATTACATAGGAGCAGGTTTCATTTGTATTGAGACATCTTTGCACTACTGCAGTGCTGAGCTAAAAAAAAAAACAAGTGGCTGTAAAGATCACCATTACTTTCAAATGCGACTGAGGCAAGTTACGCCTTTATAAAATCTATATCTTACACAGACTAATAAAATACTATATACAAAATTATTTATGTCAACTAGACAAGTAAATTGGTCTAAATCTGGGGTAAAGAGATGTTAACTGAAGTCATTGGCGCCATGTGAGGGAAAGTTAGGACAATTACAAGGGCCCCAGAAAAAAGGAATGATATTACATTTTCAATAAAAAAAAAGGATCAGAAGCAGGAATGGAAAGAAATAATCAACTTATGATTAATTGTCAACTAGTGGTTTAGTACAAGAGAAGTAATGCTAGATAGAGAAAAGGGAGGCATGCTAAAGCCAAAACATGAACTGATCGAGATTCTGCTGCAGGATTATTTACAAGGACGCAGAAAGAACTTTAAATGGTTCTGTTTGTAAATATGAACACTAAAACTGTATAAATAATCACCTAAACAGTGCCCAGTATACTGCTTTGTCATACATGACTTTCTTTGCTTTGCCCTAAGGGTAGGGATGTGATGATAAAGTGGAAGGTGTTACATAAAGATCTGTAACATGGATGGAAGGCGACATGGTAGCAACAAGCATAATAGATTGGGAAGGCTTTTGGAAGATAAAGCACTTCACAGATTTGAATTTTAACATTCCTGTGAGAGAAACCAGAACAACCTGTTCAAAACCACTTGAACAGGACAAAGTCTCTACCACCAGATTATTGGATTACACTGAAAATAGAGGGTTATAGCTCAGCATCAACTTGTTCCAACAAGGTAACAAATAGCCTGACAGTATGTCAGGGTGACATACCCCATCTCTTATTATAGGTTTTCCACATAGATTCATGTTTTGTTGAATCTTAAAATTAAGTTTTATAATGTGCTTGAACACATTTTTTTTTTGTTTTTTTAGTCAGCATTTAACACAGTTGGTGCAATGGATGATTAAAATATAATGATGTACTATATTTTCTTAACTCTGCAAATTGTAAAAAAAACATTTAGCTTTCATGTCATACAAAGATAGAAAAGAAAACTATAATTTTGAAGAAAATTGCAACCATTTATCCTGTATTAATTCATCAATTGATAACTTACATGCCTAATACAATTAGTAATTAGTAAAGTAATTACACCAAATGTAACTACAAAATTTAAATCTGTGTTATCGTAAAGCTAAATGTTCTCATCCCTGGACAAAAAAATAAACATCCACATTAACCACAGCCCTCAGCAAGCATTATTACAGGCAGTCTTTTGGGATTATCTATGTTTTTAGCTCTTTAAAAAAAAATAAAAAACAGCAAATATTAATTACCAACAGAAATTCAAACACTACTATTTCCTTACTCAATTCAAACACTACCACTACACTACTCAATTGGAACACTTTTAAATCAATTTAAACACATATTATGAAATAATAGCTAAAAAAGGCTTCCGTCTGGATGGAAGTTTGTACAATTAAAAACAGTAAATAGTCTACCTCAGCCTCAATGGAAATTACAGGTGAAACCCAAAATGCATATATTTAAAATGGACTCAAATATTCTTTTGTGGGGTTTGGTTGAACTGCATCAGCTGAGCTGGTAAAACCCATTAAGCAAATATAGGATCAGCAAAACTGTGTCTGAGTCTCTACCACATTCATCATGCTGACCCAGAACGCGTTCCTTAGGGTTGATTCAGGGTTTATGATGCAAGGTTCAATTGTTTCCTCAAACTTGGGATTTTTTAAATAAATACATCCGTCCAATAAAAAAAATTGGTTTCAAACCAACAGAGCACATATGTTTATGCGGTACAAATACATGCAGCAGCGATGCTTTTCTTTTGAAATGTCAGTGGGTTCTATTCTTAAAAGGAAAGAGTAGTCCTTATTTGAATCTGGTTTAGTTCAAGTTGTCGTGCTGTGTTTTGAGGTCATGGTCAAATGCACAGACGATATAGTACACCTAAGCAATTATTCAGTGTCTGTTTTTCAGCCTAATAGTGTGGAGGTAGTCAGATGCTTGTCCAGGTCTGCTGAACAACAGAAGAACCTTCCTACCTACAAGCTTTACAACTCATGAAGATACAAAAAAAAAAAAACATGAGTTACTACAATATTTATTTTTTCAGGAAGTGCAAACCAACAAAGCAAAATCTGAAACACTTTTACAAATCTTGAAACAAATTTAAACTTCAGGAAACAAATAAAAAATGACAAAATCAACCGGAAAGAGAGGGAATGTTTTCGAAGCTTACCCGGAAGTGATAACGGGAGCATTAATGATGACCTAAGATGGACGGCAATGGAGTTGAGCAGTTCTGATTGAAGTAAAAACAGTTTTCCCTATTTTCATATGATTATGTAAATATTATTTATTTTTTTGAATTCAGGGTTAAAAAATTAATACATGTTTTTGAAGTTATGTGGTGAACATTTGGTGATGCTCATCATTTAAATTAGCCTCGTGAGACCATCCTGATCTCGCAAGCTTCCAAGGTTTCACTCGCAGATAAGTCTGGAGACTCTCCGTTAAAGAAAATTTGGAGCCGTTCACCAAACGAACATCCAATCAGCGTTGGCTTTGAGGCGGGTTGAGGTGTGACGCAACGAGAAGCGCGACAGTTCAGTCTAAAGAACATGGCGGCTTCAGCCGATGAAACTAGCGTTAGCGTGGCTATCGAGCAAGTTTTATCGGAATTACAGAGTATTTCTTCAATGAAAGAAGAGCAAAACACTGCTCTGGAGGCTTTTCTCAGAGGAAAAGATGTTTTTGCTCTTCTCCCGACTGGTTTCGGCAAGAGTAGCCTGGCTTGTGGTTGTGTTTTCATCGTCGCTCTGTTAGTACGTCATATGCTTCGTTGATCTGATTGGTTTATTTGGCCCGTCTATCACCAACATAGGCCAATCAGCTAACCAGTATTTTCGCCCCTTCTGAAAATTACTTCAACGGAAGGTTTCCAGATGGATATGCTGAGCAAATCCATCTGGTGGAGTCAGGTTACATTTAAATAACGTTAACTGTTAATTTGTTCATGTTAATTATCCATTTTGAGCAGGGAATAAATAGTCCGAATATCAAGTTAACCCTGAGGTCTTTTTTGCGACCACAAACTTTAATTGGGTAGGAAAATGCTTCTTTTTTTTAACTAAAGCATTTAAACAAAACATCTTCTGACTTTGGAAGATCAGGTTAAACGAACCTCCAACCAAATTCTCCTGTGTGTTTGGGATAAATAATCTCCCTTGTGATTTCTGCTGAGAATTTTAACTTTCTTTCCATTCACTATGAGCATACTGGGACTTTTGTGTGCAAAATAACCTGCTGTTTATCTGAGATTAGATTAACTGCAAAGAATTTGTAACAATGGCGGTCAGACCAAGTAAAGATTTTACATAGTCAAAGTAAATGCTACCAAATTGTAAATATTTTGAATACATTTTTCTAATAAGCAGCCTTTCACTGCAGCAGTAAAATAAAACAACTAAGCTTTAACGGTGCTTTTAAATCCCTCCATTTTGTGCCGGTTTGCTAGGTCTCTGCCTTTTACTCAGGCAACATTTCCTCTGATTTTCCTCTTGTTCACTGGATAAATTATCAACTTAATCTTCATTCACTCTCTTTATGCACTGACACCAGAGTTTGGCAAAGGAAATGTTACATTACCACTTTTATCTGTCATTTTACATTTTTTTACATATTGGAAGAAACATTTTTTTATAGAATCTCACCTTTTCTCCCTTTGTGCCTTGTTTTCCCTCTGCTCCAGGTTTACCATATGTCCCCTGCAAACCAAGATGGTTCTATTAGTATGTGTTCATACCAGTCTATCACTCACTGTGCTGTTACAACTGCTTTCTTTTATGTATAATCAACACCATACAGCTGTTAAAATGAAAGATTCCTCCATAGTCCCACATTGGGGAGAATTTGTCCTCTGTCTCTTAAAAACAGACCTCTGCTGACCCTAGAGAGTCAGTCAGTGGTCAGAGTTTCATACTGGCAACCTTATAGGCCTTGCTCTCTAACCACCTGGTTATTTATTCAACCATTTCTGTATTTTAGATACCTACAGGAGCCCCAGCAGGACCAGGAGGACCCTGAGCTCCAAGCTCTCCTGGAGTTCCCTAAAATTCAGTCATGAAGGACAAAGAAAGACTGTTACAGAAAAAAATACAAATTTAGCTTATTATTGATAATACTTAAATATTGGTTTTACCTCCAATCCTGGTAGACCTGAGGGACCCTGGATTCCTGGGGGACCATCTTCACCCTAAACGCATCATACATTTCTTACAGGCCACGCTTTTTCATGGTTCCATACAAATATTTATCATAAAAGTGTTTTTATAATGTAAAGTTTTATCATAAGCTATATATTTTTTAAAGTCGACCCATCCGTTTGACCAAAGATTCCATAGGTTTTTGCTATTTATTCATTAAATTCAGATCCAGGAGGTAAACCACGACATTCGATATGATTTAGTTCTTTATTTAAACAGAGGCAGAGCAATTTATTCAAATAAAACAGTTAATTGTTTTAAAAGCCAGAATAAGCCAAAAAGCTATTTGCTATTAATTAAAGCAAATAAAAAGCATTTTCCTCTGAGCAAAGTAATCCCTCTTATTTTTAGGGATTCCCAAATTTCCCAGCAGAAAGGGATATTAAACCTCTTTAATGAGTTTCACTTTTGCACCAGCGCATTCAGAGGTTCTTGCTTGGAAAAACAAGAAGCTCAAACCGTCTCTGCTGACTCATTTAGATGTGGTGAAGCAGCAGCTCCTTTCTAAGTTTGACGTTTGCTTATATGGTCATTGTACCTGGGTGGCTGAACAAAGCCACCTCATTAACAAACATTTCAAACACTTGCTCTTTAAGTCTTCCCCCATCCGTCATTCTATCCAGCCACCCATGCATGGACCCACAATTACACTATTTTAATTCCACAAACTCATCCCTCTCTTAGAAGGAGCACTCTATCATCCCTTGGTTGAGAATAAACAAAATAAGAGACACACAAATAAACATACTAACCTGTTCTCCTGCTGGGGCTGGTACTCCTGGTTCACCCTTCAGCCCTAATGTCCCGGGGTCTCCTTTGACTCCCTCATCCCCCTTTGGTCCAGCTTGTCCCATTTGTCCCTATCATCCCGATAGTCATTACAAAAACATACATCAATCCCCTTCAGCCTAAGATTTACATTATAGATTAATTGTATTTCTGATATGAATAGACACTTACAGTTGGGCCGAATCCCCCTGGGTCACCTCTGACCCCTTTTGGCCCAATTAATCCCTAAGAAAGTCATCAGGATAAAATATGATTTTTGATTTTAAAGGGGAACTCTAAAACAGACTGGGAAATCAATACTCTACCTGAGGACCTTCTAATCCTGGTGGTCCAGTGGTTCCTACCGGCCCACGCTCCCCCTAATGAGATGCAGAAGAATAAAATGAACATTTATCATGAATTAATTATAAGGTACAAACTGGCAAAAATCTATCAGGGAGCTGATCTGAATTGCCCTAGACGTAAACAGGTGCCAGCCAACACATCTCATATGTTCTGGTCTTGCCCCAGGCTCAAGGAATTCTGGGTCAAAGTCTTCAAAACCTTTTCATCTATTTATAAGAAAAACATTAAACCTGTTCCTCTGATAGCCATGTTTGGTGTGGCACCAGAAGAAACACAATTAAAGACTGCTCAAAGGAAAGTAATGGCATTTTCTTCATTGTTGGCCAGGAGACTGATCTTATTTAATTGGATAAAGGCAGCACCGCCAACTCACAAACGATGGGTAGAGGAGGTGATGGCACATCTTAAATTGGAACTTCTTAGATTTACTTCACAGGGCAATGCTAAGAGATATTTCAAGGTCTGGCAGCCTTTCATTTCCTATTTTGGATCTGAATTTCCAACTGCTTCGGCATAACTGGCAACTTTATCCCCCCCATATCAGTGTGGTTATTATTGTCATTCAAATTTAGGTATTTAGTTTAAACCAAAGAGAGTTTGGAACTGGGGTGATTATGTCTGGTAGTAGTAGGATCTGTCTTGTTGCCATTTTTGTGATGTACATTTTTGAGACTACTATTTTGTTCTGGAGTCCTGTTTTTCTCTGACCGTGACTGGCTGGATGTGCTTTCTTCACCCTCTGACATGGGAGCTGGCTTGGAGCTCGTCTCCTTAGCTGTGTGTTTCCTGGACGGGGCCGCCTTTTGCAGCTGCTTTTTGTATCTCTGCTTCTGTCTCCTTGAACCCCAGTCAGCCTCAGCAGATGGCCGCTCAAACTGAGCCTGGTTCTGCTGGAGGTTTCTTCCTATTAAAAGGGAGTTTTTCCTCTCCACTGTCGCTACAAACATGCTTAAGTGTGAGGGATTGCCTTCGAGTCAATGAGTCGATGCAATCAACTGGTTTTCCTTAGATAGAAAACTTTGAATCAATTTGACTGGATGATCTGGTGAACTGTAAATTGCCTTGGGATGACATGTGTTGTGAATTGGTGCTATATAAATAAACTGAAACAAAAAAAAAACCTGAAGATATTGTTGCGTCTGTTTCTCATGGACCAGGGGTTTTCAATGTTTTTGAGGCCAAGGACCCCCAAACTATTGGCGAGATTGAGTGTGGACTCCCTAATTATATATATTGTATGAAATTGTGTTATATCAAACAAGTCCTATGTAATAATGTAATGTCATGAAAATAATTTCCCCCTGGGATTCTGATTCTATTCCTCATTGATGGGACAGATGGTGTGAATGAAACGGTGCCCAGCTTGAAAGAGCTCGTGTGTTGCTGAATGTGTGCATTGATGACTGAAAAACATCTTCTGCCCCCATTTGGACTCTCTCCCCCGGACATAACCTATTTGCAAGGGTTAATTTGGAGCCTGAAGAATTGAAATAATGTGATTCCATTACTGTTCTATAGGTAGTTAAAAAAGCTTCTCGACAGGAAGCTGTAGTTGAGACCCAAAATGAGATACTGAAGGCTCTGGACATTGTGGGACCTTAATGCTTGACAAGGTATCTTGAATGTCACATGGTGGACCGTAACAATACCTGTGGTGAGGCAGACTGAGGGAATGGTCTACTTTAAAAAAGGGGGGTCACAGGAGGGTGACTTTAAAGTGAGAGAAATAAGGCCTGGACTAGAAACCTTCAATCAGGTTTTTACCCTAAAGCAGACATGTCCATATTTGACCCTCGAGGGCCACTGTCCTACAGGTTTTTAAATGTTTCTTGGCTTCAGCACTGCTGATTCTGATGAAACTTCAGAAAAAGCCTGTAAGTCAGCCATCAATGAAAACCAGCTGTGCTGGACCAGGGAAACCTCTATAACCTGCAGGACAGCGGCCCTGGAGGACTGACTTTAAACATGCCTGCCCTACAGGACTTGTTGGTGGGGTCATGAGAGTAACCTTCCGTGGTAAACACACATTATCACAACATCTTCGATCTGTGTTGATGCTTTTACCTTCTGTCCCTGAGGTCCATCGGGTCCTGGAGGTCCTGGAGGACCTGGGAATCCCTGAAACGGCATAAAGCAAAGCATAAGATAGCTCATGTCTTTTTGGTCCAATGGGTGAGTAAATTATGTTAGAACAACTTTCAGATGACAGGCTTACCTGGAGCCCAGGCAGACCTCTAGGACCCAGCTCCCCCATCAATCCAGGTTCTCCCTGTTTAAAAGCATCAGGAGGTTTTTACTCAACTCTACAGATTATTTTGGTTATGACTGTTGCAGATTCAAATGTAGATTCAAATATAGCTAATTTTAGTTTCTTCTCATCATTTTTAAATTGCTGGTAAAATACCACTAAGATTTAATTTTCAGTAAAAAAATCAACATAAACTTTTAGATTTGACTCAAAAATAACCTAATTCAAATGTATTAATAACAGTGTCTCTGTGTGACATTGTGGCATGGCGGCTGCATGGCACAGGTGAAGAAGGACTAAGCAGGGGTTGTTAAAACAGCACAGGGGATTGTGGGATGTCATTTTCCATATCAGGGCCGTTTCTCAATCAACAAGAATGCGAGTACAGACTTGTGCTCTCGCTAAGTATGTTCTTGACAAGAACACAGGAAAGTATGCACACGGGGAGAATGTGAGCATGCAGCTTAAACATGGGTCAATTGGAAAAGAAGCGTACTTTTTTCACTTAGTGGGGGAATAATAATTAACAGAGTCAGCTAAACACAAATCAAAGTAACATTTTGCCAAATAAAACAAAAACAACCACCATCAGAGCCAGGGGTAGTGCACGCATGGCTATGCTGAGAAAGGGCTGCTGCAGATGGGATAAAGTTAGCCCTGGTTGCGGTTAGCCTCAGAGGTCGGCTTGTTGCCACGTTCCTCTCAACATCGGAACTTTTTTTTTTAATAATGCATTAAATCTGTAAATGGGACATATAATGACTTTTTGTTTACACTTGTGTATAAAATGACAAAATAAATCTGTCTAAGTCTAAAGTAAACTGACTGGACAGATGATCACTACTTTTCCTTCCCTGTTGGTCATGTGCTTCCCGCACGGTGCGTGCACCATCTCTGTTTTTCTCTCCCTCCCAAAAAAATCTTATGATGCTTTACGAGTAGAGCTCTTGCAAAGCATTCTGGGATAGATGTGCTCATTTAGGAACTATTGATATACACTAATTTTCAAGGTGCATAGTGGGACATTTTGAGTCCACTACTTTTTCATCCACTAAATGTTTGGACACTCATATGAAATGGTAGCCTGGGTGCCATTCCGAACTTAGTCCCGCCCACAAGGTTTGAGGTCGGGAAGTTCGGTCTGGCTCTGCTCCATAGTAGCGCGAGTATGATCGCCCATCCTCTGGCGATCCAATCAAATTGTCAGGGCGGGCTTTATACGATGATGGACAGATGATCAACAGTAACGTAATCAACCACGTGACCAATGCGCGCTTGGGTGACAACAACAATGGCTGCCGCTGGAGAGTTTAGGTGAGTAGATTCTGCTATTAGGTCTGTTCTAGAAGATATCGACAGCAAACTAATTTTAAAAGAGGAACAGAGAAACGCGATCAAGGCTCATCTTCTTATTCTAGGCGTGCAACTGCACGCTTTGATTTTTGTTGACAACAACTATGCGTCGCTTAACATACGTCACGCACTCCGTTGCTCTTATTGGTTGTAGGTCTATCCAATTGAGTGCAGAGGCATTTTTTTTCCTGGTTCGTTCAAAACACGCCCCATAATCACAGCTCTGTGGAGCAGCATCAGACTTATTCTGACTAGAATTGAGTAGGGCTACGTCAGGCTAATGAAATGGTGCAACTCCTATATAGTGCTCTATATAGGGGTTACATTCCATGGACATGTTTTTTTTTAGATGTCTCCTCTAAGAATCCTGTTCTGGTTTTTTTGTATATTTGTGTTTGAGTCATTTCTTTGTATCATATATGCATTTTGAGGAAGTGTCTTAGAAAAAAGTCATAATGGTGACAAAAGGACCATCATAAATCTTAATTGTTAAAGCAAAGGAACAACTACATATTTCTAATGGTGCAAGAGGACATATCTGCTCACCATTAGCCCATTGTTGCCCTTTTCTCCCTTTGGGCCCTGGAAACCATTTTCTCCAGTGGCTCCCCATGGACCCTCTTGACCTGTCAAACCAGGAGGTCCAAGGTCACCCTGTTAACAGTGAATACAGGTGAATCAGAACCCAGAGAAACTAAAATCCTTTTCTTATAATTATTCAGTGGTGGTTCAGCTACCTTTTCTCCTGCAGGTCCAGTATCCCCAGGTTCACCAGGATGTCCAACTTCCCCCTGCAGTAAACCGGGACATTAAAGCTTACTTATACTTTAAAAACAGATGTTTTTCATCTATAAAGCTTTATAAATTGCTGATTTCTATGGTAGATGTGCTACATTAGATTTGGTACACCACAGAAAAAAGAAACATTCAATGTCTTGAAAAAGTATTCATCCTAAGCAGCATGTAAAGAGAATCTCAAACATAATTAGGTTTAATCTTTCAAACTTTAAACATATAAGACCCTCTCTGACTTCTGAATCAGCAAAAACCTATATGAGTGCCATGATATTTAGCCATATAAACTACTGCCATACCACATGGTCTCACACTTCAAAGGCCATTCTGATACCCCTACCGTCTCTCTTCAAGGCAACTCTGAAGGTTCTTGATAAAAAAAACCTGTACATTATCATTATTGTAACATTTTAAGTAAGTACAACATTTTAGACTTTGAACATCATCAGATTTCAGATTTTTTAGTTTCTGGATGCATGCCTTGTTTTTAAAGTTTTAAATGGACTTGCTCCTCCTCCTCTAACAGATTTTATAAGCAAAAAAACATTACTAGAATAAACAGTAGAGCTTTAACCAGAGGAGACTGTAATGTTCAGCGGCGTAGGACCAAATTTGGCCAAATGGTTGCTTCCACCAGAGGCTCACAGTTATGGAACACACTGCCAGCTCATGTTAGGGGCTGTGTAACCTACATACGTTTTAAATTCTCCTTGAAACATTGGTTGAAAACTAATCAGACATGTGTTCACAGGTAAATTGATCTGTTTCCATGGGCTCGTAAACCTCATTTTTATTGTTAACCTAACTTTATTGTGATTTTATGTTATTGGCATCTCATCTGTTTGTGTCCACTCTGTTCTCTCCTGTAGCGTCTTGTTTAATGTTCACTGTTTTTACCTGCCTTAGGACAGCGGATGCAAATTAGCTGTTGTGCTAATTCTGGCATATTTACATTGATGCTTAATGCTGACATGTTGATGAATGTGCATTGTCCTAATTCAAAGAAATAAAATAAATTAAAAAATTAATATTTCTTTTTCTATACCACATTCTGTTGGGCATAGATGGATCTACTGGGGTGGCATAGGGTGGCAACTGCCACCCTAAATGACAGCCTTGCCACCCCTGCTGCCACCCCAGTTGGCGGTAGGGGTGGCGAGGCTTATAAATTATGGATAATTTGAGAATTACGACCGCTAATTTCTAATGTCGGACTGCAGTGAATGCAGCACGAGATGACGCGAGAGCGACTGAGACTGACTGTTTTGAAAACCGAGTGCTGCAAAGCGAGGCAGCCAGGGGTGATGGGGAGAGGAGACACAGGATGAAACAGGTAAAAACTGATTAACTATCTATCGAGAAATGAAATCATAATGAAAGCACAATGTTGCTAGCATAGCTGCAATGCTGATTATGAGATGATAAAAATCAGGCTGCAGAACGTTATTTCTCTAACTATGATGTTAGTTAGGCCTGACGTCTAAGGCTCATAAAGACATATTTGCGGTCAACTATGACAGAAAAGAGACGATCAAGTTTGGTTGTACTCAAATCAAAACGCACAAAGGCATTGGATCTAAATACATTAGTGAAGCGTTTTGCTGAGCAACATGGAAATCACTGCATTCAGCTGTTATAGTCATGTTAACTTTATGTTATGCTCTCTGGTGAGCCTTTACAGAGCTGCTACATTTTGTTTTGGCACCTGAAAAAATCTGATATTTCCTTTAATAAAACCAAAAGTGTTAAAAGTTAAAAATGTGATAATGGTGTAAATCCTGCTTAATATGAAGCAGTGTTGTTGTTTCTTTTTTGTATATATAATATGAAACTATCCAGAAATGACCCGTATGAACCTACTCACAAGCAAAATGTATTTTTATGTTGCTTCTTTTCAGATTTGTGGAGATTTTGATGTAACATACAGAACCCGCCTTTTTGTTGATTTGTTGATACAGCAGTATGGAGGACCAACTCTGCCATATTTAAAAATAAATAGAGAAATAAATAAATGCTTCATAAATAAATAAGCATACAATTAATTGCCACCAAAAATACGAACAACAAATAAATGTAAGTAGAAATTAAATTATACAGCTAGTCATAAAGGGATATAACTCTTTTAATTGGCTTCTTTATTTCTTTGCCGTTTTAATATTTACCTTATTTATTTTTTTTGTCATTTATTATCTTCAACTTCATTTTTTCAATACTTATATTTTTAAGTATTTATTTATGTGCATGTTATCATATTTTTGTCTCTTTTATTCTTCCTTTGTATTTTTTTACCCTAGTTATTTCTTCACCGCTATTTTTTTCTGCCTGCCCTTTTAACATTTCTGCCTGCCATTATAATAAAATTTCTAATTACATTTATTTGTTGATTGTATTTTTGGTGGCAATTAATTGTATGCTTATTTATTTATTGAGCATTTATTTATTTCTGTATTTATTTTTAAATATGGCAGAGTTGGTCCTCCATATACAGCTCTATCTACAGCAGATCTACATGCATGAAATGTCCCTTTCATGTTGCCTTAACTGCTGTATGACAAGTTACTGAGGAGCAAATGGGGTAAATGTGTGTTCAGAGTAAACATTACATAGATGTCCAGTACCTTGTTCGGGTGCCTTGACCCATTTATTTCTACTGTGTAGTTCTGCTCACTTTAGTGCAGCTCAGTCCATAGATCTCTGATGGGAAACTTTTTCTTTCTATAGTTTCTTCTTGTGCAAATGCTGCAAAGCTGCCTCTCTGACAGTCAATCTCACACATCTGCGACTCAGCACCTGTGTCTTACCTTAATACCTTTCCTGTCATAAGGCCCCTCTAGAAGTAGTGTTATCATTCTTCTACCTCCTATTAGGTGAGATCTCATTGTACGATGTATTATTAATATGAACTGTTTCACATGAAACACTTACTGTACATACTATTCTCACCAAACTGTGATAACTGGGATTAAATTCAGTGTAAACAAATACCATATGTTGCCACCCCTAAAAAATTCCTGCCCCCTTCTTGCCACCCCATAAATATTTTTCTAGATCCGCCCCTGCTGTTGGGGTAGAAATGATAGATCTGTGGAAATTTAGAAAATAGTCTAACATTGTCAGTATTTCAGTAGCATTTATAGTCAAACTTTGTTTGCTGTAAATCAGAGACTCTGCTCCTCATTCAATTTAACTTAACTTTAGCTGTTTTGTAAAGAAGAATAGAAAACATCTCATTCTCTAAATATGTAAAAAACTGGTAGAGAAATCCAGCAGATCTCTACTTAAGAACTAAATTAAAAATCATACATTTTCCATCCTCATTCTTTGTTTTCTATGGTGTCTTCAAATTGCAATGAAGTCCTGTGATTCTTTTTTTTTTAACATCACACACTGTGGAAAAGTTCTGAGCTAATTAATTATTTTGCAAGCCTCTGTATTCAGAACCAGAGCGACACCTTTACTTGTGAGATGCTTTAGAAGCTGGCATCCATATGTGCCGAGGGTGCCAGGCACATCTCATCTACAACTGAGGACAAAAGGGAAATTACAGGGGCTGCCAACCTGACAGAGATCGGGTTTAAGTACTCTCTTCATTGCTCCCTCATGAACATTTAATTTCATGCTTTATGAACAAGTTACAATTTCTCTACCACCCTAAAACACATTCCCATCTGCGAGGGAATGACTTCTGCGTAGCTACGTTCACAATCATCTTTGCTGCACCTACCTCTTTACCCATTGGTCCAGCTAATCCCCGAGGGCCTTTTGTCCCCTCAGATCCTCTGTCTCCTTTGGGCCCTTGAGGTCCAGGTGCTCCACAAGCACCCAGGTCCCCCTGAAAAACAAGATGTCCAACCAAGTTACAGTCGCTGATTTTATTGCACTGTATTTACTGTAGATACTGAAACAGAAAAGCCTTTCGAAGTTAAATGAACACAAAGTAAATTATACATTTTGGCACTGGTAGCAAGTTGCCCTTTTACATTACCTTCTATACAAATTGGTTTTCAAAGTTTTATGCTGTTAGAAAAAGTGATTTGAATATGTATTTTTTTGTGAGAATTTGTTATATTGTGTAAGTATTTTTCTAAGTGTTTCAAATACCAAAACTTGTAGACAACTTACATTTTTATCTGCCTGCATTCATAATTTTTTACTGATTTAAACAGATGATCTGTTGACAATTTGTTGATCTGTTGTTCTGTGGTACTTGAATTGCTAGTTCACCAAGTACTTTTTTTACTCTCCATTGTGTAACTTTACATCACTGATTCCCAGTGTATTGCTTAAATGTGTTAAATAAACCGGGTTCACCAAATTCTGTCATATTTTTAGTGAAGGATGAACTGAACGGATCAGTTTTGAAGTAATGAGCCTGAATGAGAGCAACATTCACTCTGAGAATAATGAGTGACACACACAGCTCACGTTCATGGTCAATTGATAACGAGACATTTCATAGGATAATGTCAGGTTTTATGGCACTCATTACGGCAAACAGCATGGCAGACCAGCATGTCTACTGATAGTACTAGTCTGTACCATTCAGACTCATCTGCTGGTATTTCTGATGCCAGTTTTTCAGAGTTAAATGATTAATGAAGACATGGATAGAGTAAACCGTTTTTGTGCAAACTGTGTCCACTGGGACTTATATGGGAGAATTATCAGCAAAATAAAATAAAAAAAAGGAAATAATAAAGGGTGCAGAGGCGTGCACAGACATTTTGGGGGGCAGGTGCTCAGGAGGGGGGGAGGGCGCTTTTTAGCGCACGTGGAACACTTAATTATAAAAAAATACACGCATGTTGTCTAAAAACTGTGGGTATACGTCATGCAATAAAATAGACTAATATATACACTCAAGATAAAAATATGGTTATAAAATATAAAAAGTAAAATAGCATCTTACAAGGAGACAACTAGTTTACCAGGTGACCAGTCGGCAAAATGCGTGTTTGGTGCTGCTGAATGAGACATTTTGATGCACAACAAAATGATTTTGCTTGATCTGTATATTACCTGGCTAATGGGGCAGGGGAGAAGCAGCCTGTCAGCGACCGTTCCTGCTATCTGAAGATGCTACTGAACCGCTATGATGCTGCGCATCTGGCATGCGCAGCGGGCGACCGCGCGAGTTCACGTGACAAAGGAAGAGAGAGAGGGTCGTTTGTGTGCAAGTAGGTGGCTCATTTCGGGGCATTGTTTCAGTCGTTTTTAATGGCTCAGGTTTTCAAAAGATCATTTCAAAACCGACCTCAGTAAAATCTTATTAATATTAATAATAATAATAATAAAAAAAACGAGTTTCAAAAGGGCATTTTCTTTGATAAAGGGCAAACTTCCTAGTGCTTTAGCACCACCTAGTGTCTATGTATGCACGCCCCTGAAAGGGTGATTCAAGAATCACCAATGAAAAGTCACTTAATTTCTGCTGGAGGCAGAATTAGCATCTGCCCTGACTAGCAAACTTTTTTTATTTTTTTATTTATTTCTGCCTCCAGCAGAAATTAAGTTACTTTTTTTTATTTTCCTGATTGTTGTTGTTCTTCCAGCTTCTTATTTTAATATCTTGTAAATTAAAAAGCCATTTTATTGTCTGCAAGGTTTATCACAGGCACACTCAGTAGAGTTAGACAAGCGCACCCTTTCTGAGGCTGTCGTTGTATTGGCTGGAAAGGTTGCTAGGCGACGATCCGACTGCAATCTGAGAGAGCAGAGCCTATGGGTTTGCGAGCGTATCTGAGACTTGAGCAGAGCGTGGTTTGTGCGCGAAGAGAAGGAGGCAAGCGAGAGGAGAAAATATCTGTGCAAGAAGCATTAAATCTGAGAGAAGAAACAAAGATTTGAGAGAGAAGAGAAAATATTTGAGAGAGAGCGCATGTTTTGAGTGTGAGCATTATAAGTTTTGAGTGCAAGAAGATGAAATTCTTTTCTCATATTGAAATGATGTGCTCTTGCATTATGGCAGGATAATTCTCCCATAGACTTAACAACAAAGTCCATACATCAGCCTGGTCCACTTCAAATTTCTTGGCTTTCTTTGGAAATATCTGCTACTGAATGAGGAAAATCAACAACATCAGAAATCAGAAATTTTTGATACAGATATTTTCAGCAGAACCTGAATATTCCGGTATGTTTCTGTAGTTCTGTATAATCTGTTTACATAAAGGCTTCACTGCACATACAGTATACCTTGACTGCATTGAGTATTTTCCATTTCTTTCTATATATTATGATCATGCATTTAAAGGGTGAAATATGAGGTTGTACTGTGAAGGATTGTGGCTTAATTTACCAAATATACTTGAACTAATTCATTTATAGAATTGTCAACTTAGGTCATTTTTGAAAAAATGAACCATAAAGGTGAGCTAGTTCATTTTCATCAGTGTTAACAGAAATTTGATCTCGTTCTTTTTAACTATGGACTGGAACCACATTGCTGATTCCAGAACTCTGGATTATAACCCCAACATAAAGGCTTGCAGATAAAGGCAGTTACTAAGTCAGCCTTTTAACACCCGAAGAACATTTACAATAATAATGTATAAATGTTCAAGCAGGATTTCGAAAAAGTCATTCATGCCTTTATCTTTAGCAGAATTGATCACTGCGAAAGTGACCAGAAAAGTCCATCAGACAGCTGCAGTTGATCCAAAACTCTGCTGTCTGTGTTCTCACTAGAACTATAAAAGTAGAGCACATCAGCCATGTTCTGAAGCACATGCACTGGCTCCCTGTAGCTCAGAGAATAGACTTTAAAATCCTTCGGTTAGTCTATAAATCACTGATTGGATCAGCACCTCAGTCCATAACACATCTGTTATCAGTATAATCTTCCAGACCGCTCAGGTCTTCGAGTTCCAGCCTACTCTGTCCACCCAGAACTAGAACCAAACATGGAGAAGCAGCATTTAGTCCACTGATCTGGAACGAACTCCCAAAAGACTGAAAAAGTACTGAAAGCCTGAGTTCTTTTCAGTCAATTTATACTGCTAACTGGGGTATTATTAGTTTAAGTTTGTTTTCCAAATGTTTTATTTGTTTTGCTCATGTTTTTATGTCTGCTTTTATATTTTCTTCCATTTTATTGTTTAATTCATGTAAAGCTCTTTGAATTGTCTTTGTATTGAACTGTGCTATATACATAAACGTGTCCTTCCTTTACTAATTAATTGAACTTTATTAATCTCAAACTGGAAAAATGAATTCTTCATTTAACTCATCCTCTTGGGGAGCAGTGAGCTGCCATTGTGCGGCTCCCTGGGAAAAGTGTGGGGTTGAGGGTTTTGCTCAGGAGCCCAGAGTGCAGGCTGTGGGGATCAAACCGGGTTCTTGCAAACTTCTCAGAGCATAAGAAAACTGCTCTAACCACTAGGCTAACACTCCCTTAAAACTCCCTTTCCTCGCCAATTAGGGTCACAGATCAACAAACACGGGGTCTTGAGCCCTGCTGTTGAAATCTAAATCAAAGTTGCATTTCTGATTTGGAGCATTGCTTTGCAAGTAAACTGCTGAACTGCAAACTAGAAACTGACATTTTTTCGGTAATCCCACGGTTCACGGGATTCCCGTGGGATTCCCGTGGGATGGGAGTCAGTGCTAGTAACGATCACGTGATTGGGACGGTACAGGATTAAACATTAACGGGAGCAGACGGGAGCGGGAGCAAACCAATAGTAACTAAAAAAACTAGGATTGATGCCAAAAAATAAAATAAAATAGAAAGAAAAAAATCCAGTACTGGCGCCGCCATTTTGTAGTTTTTTTCCTTGAAGCCTACACTATAATGCGAGTCAAAAAAACTACACGACCCAAAAACCAACAGTGCTTCCGCTCTGAGTTTTTCACCCGCGCTCAAAAACAACAAGAATGGGAGTGGTGCAGGAGTCATTCTGAATGGGAGCGGGATGGGAGTGGGAGTAATCCTGACAGGATTTAGATTTCTACTCTGGCCCGGGATCGGGACGGGACACAATTTTTTTCTGTGGGAGTGGGACAGGACAGGAGGAAAATCCACTCCCGTGTCAGTCTCTAAGGCAAACGCAAATTTTTTGCGCGTTTTTTAAAGATCTGCTGCGCGTTCAAACGTGTTTCCATCTGTTCTAAGACACGCAAACCACCTGAAGAGCAAGCCTTATGTGTTTAAGTAATGATATGTCTTATTAAGTAGAAAAAGTTTGCAGATTTTGCCAAATGTTCTGACTGACCTGATCTCCTTTCCTTCCAGGGGGGCCTTCGGTTCCTCTTTGACCAGGAAGACCCTGAGGAATAAAAACAGGTGAAAGATGATATTCTGCATAAAAACTAAGCATATATGCATGATGGCTGCAAGTTTTAGCTGTTAATGGTAAATTATGACAACTTAAGCAGTGATGGAGCTCATTTAGTTTAATTTAAGGGGAAACCAGTTGGGTTTTTTGTGTGATGTCATCAAAAAAAGACCTGAGCTGGTTTTAATATGATGCAAGCAATTAGCATCACTGTTGCTGCTTTAAATGGGTTTTCAGAATTAAATGACAAATGTCTCATATAAAACTTTTAAGCTCCTTCCATCTCAGTGTTTGTTTTTTCAGCTTTTCTATCATTATCATTCATTTTTTTTTTTTTTTTATGTAAACTGTGACAATACCTGGTTTTCTCCAAAACTAATTATGAATTTAGTTTAAAATTACAGAATCAAACCAAAAAGAAAAAAAAAAAATAAATAAATTGGCCATAGTTTTTCTTGTCCTGGCAGGTTTAGAAGGCAGTAGGCTGTGTTAACAAAAGAAACTGAGTCTGGAACTGATAGTTTACACTGTCTAGTGATTTCTCATGTCCTGAGAAAGAATGATGGTATGCAAACCTGAGGTCCACTTAGTCCTGGGGGACCTGGCTCTCCATACAGTCCAGGGGAACCCTGGAGGTTAGATAGGCTCAATATTTGCACATATTTAATAAAAAAATTAAAAAAGCATTCATGTTTCAAAAATCTATATCTCACTTTGGGTCCTTTTCCTCCGGCTGGTCCCATTGACCCATCGGCCCCCTGTGGACCCTGAAAAAATACAGAACACGTTGTTTGTCAGCTTTCTTTTCATCTTCCTCCTCGCTGTGATCAGAAAACGTCACATGAACTCCTTATCTATTTCCTTAATTAACGGTAAGGAAATGGACTTGCATCAATCCAACGAGAAAAGTATGAAAAACAGCAGCCAAGGGAAGGTACCCACTCACTGGGATTCCTGGTGGCCCCTGAGGCCCTTGAGGCCCTGGGGGCCCGATGCTTCCTCTGGGTCCAGGTTTGCCCGGCCCACCATTAGAACCTGGAAGACCAGCAGGCCCCTGAAAATGATCACAGAATCATGAGAAGGTGAGCACAGAATTTTTATTATCAGGTTTTTCAAAATACTTTAGTTGTTTTATAACATTATGTTGTTGTTTTTAATATTATTTTTTTCTTAAATCCCTAAACATTCCCATACATACATGCTTTTAGTCTGCATTCATTGACGATGTATATTATTTAACCTCACCATAAATGTTTTATCTATTATATACATTCATCTGAATTGACATCACCACTTTATTCTGAATTTAAAAATGCATTATGGTTTGTATGAGAGCACATTCAAATAGGAGTTTAAAAAATGAATTTTTTATTTTATTTTAAGCATTCCCAAAGAACAGCAAACAAATACTTGGTTAAATAAACAAAACTACTAGTGTTTAATGGCAAATGCTAATAGTTATCTAAGTAAATTATACTTTTTTTAAATTATATTTTAAATAATTGGTGTAATCAAAAGATTGAGTATGCTAAACCTCAGGTATGACATTTCACTAAAAATATAAAACATCAATAATTGTCTCAAAAGATGACATTGATTGCAAATAAAATAATTGGGACATTTTTGGGACTGAATTGTTTCAGAAATATTCAAAATTACTTTATTAATCCAAAGGAAAATCAAATATTGTAATTCTTGTACTTTTTTGAAGTGAAGAGGATGCAGAGCGTTGTTAACAATGCTCAATTTAGTTAAATCTGAATTCCAGAATAATTGATTAATCCCAGAGGGAAATTAAACGTTGAAGGGACTCAAAATCCCTCCGTATAACTAGACGTGGAAGCAGGGAAGCTTCTGCCCCGATTCCACTGGGAGCATTTTCAACTCTGTCTGGTTGGACTCAGATTACATCAGGTTTGCTTCATGTCACTATAGTAGTGGACTTGTAGGCTTTAAATAGAAGAAAAAAGTGTTCATTTAACCAGTCGGCCTCAGCAGGTCGCTCACACTCAGTCTGATTCTACTGAAGGTCTCTTCCTGTTAAAAGGAAGTTTTTCCTCTCTACTGTCTCTACAAGCATGCTTAGTGTGAGGGATTGTCGATGCAATCAACTGGTTTTCCTCAGACAGAAAACTTTGAATCAATTTGACTGTATGATCTGCTGAACAGTAAAGTGCCTTGAGATGACATGTTGTGAAATGGCGCAATATAAATAAACTGAACTGAATTAACTAGTTTTTTATGCGTCTCCCATACCTGCTCTTTAATTCTTTAGTAAATTAGTTCAAATATTTAGTTGCCTTATTTATTGTTCTTCATTTAATAGTCATATTTATTAGGCTTGTTGATTAACTGTATGAAAATAATCTTTTAAAACATAAAAGTCCAGGACATGCGATCTAAAGTCTGCACATGTATTCCTTTACTTGTAAACTCGACCATTTCTTCTTGGTTTTCCATCAGATTGTTCTCTGCCCAAATGATTAGCTGTGCCCAAGTCTGATGTGGATTTAAAGCAACAAAAATAGAACAGCCTCCTGTTTTAAAGAAGCGGCTTCAGAGAGGCGCTGTGACGCTTTCAGTGGGAACACTCTGATTGACTAGAATTGCTGCACTTAGCTACGACAGCCCAGCAGACCGCAGAGCGTTAGCGCCGCTTCCATTTTGGAGCCGGGGGGATAAGGTTTTTTTTTTTTCAATGAGTTGCTGTAGATGTTGATAGTTGTTAGCAGGTAGCATCTTCTGTATCTATCCGCCTTGCACCGGATCTGAAGAAGACTCTGATTGAAAACGTTCTGTTGTTGTTTAACAGTCTGATGAAGAGGATGCTCACTGTTCTCCAAAATGTTCTTCACTTTATGAAGAATTCTTTGTGAAATCATCTCCAGGGGTTCTAGAGGGGTTCCTAGAACAAAGCTGACCACCTTTATTAGCTCGTTCAGCTTCTGTATGTCATTTGCTCTGATGCTGTTACCCCAGCAGATGATGAAGGATAAAAATCACCCTTCACAACAGAAGATTTGCAGCATCTTGCTGCAAACACTGAAGAATCTGAGTTTCTTTCAGTCATTAAATCTCTCCCTTTTTGTAGATGCCTCAAAGTTTTGGCAAGTTTAAGGCAGGCATACTAATTTTAAATACAATTTTTATTCTATCACACAGCAAAGCAGAGCAAAGCAGCACGTATTGAGAGAGCAGCCAGACAATAAAAGTAAATCCTACAGGTTTTTTAACTTACAGGCGGCCCCTGGATGCCTTTAGGTCCTTCATCTCCAAGTCGGCCCTGGTAGAAGAAAAAGCAAAGGTGTACGTGTTTATTGTACAGAAAATTTAATGAATACAAGCAAAAGCTTTCATTTTATTGTATGGAATTAGAACTAATTATATTTTGTGTCATTTAAATTGTTCAATATTTGCACTGTTCTTGTTTCGCATGTTTTTTACATACTGAGCAAATTTGTAGTTGAACTGAAAAACATGTTTTATTGATATAAAAGAGTAAATAGATAATTTGTTATTAAATGACTTCCCTTGTATATAAGTCTACTGTTTTTTAGGACGTATTTGATGATAAATCTGTTCTCTCACCTGAGATCCCCGAGGTCCTCTGTCTCCAGGAGAACCTTGAACACCCTGAATAAGGATCATTTAAAGAATACACGGTTTATAGCATGTTTCCTTTATTAAAATCTTACATATATTAAAAGTTTTAAATATAGATGTGTAGTTAGGTGCCAAAGAAGTTGGTATTTTTGATTATCTAACATCAGTAAATAAGTATTTAAAAGACAAGCAAACTTACTTTAGGACCTGGCTTTCCTGGAGGACCGGGTAACCCTCTTAAACCTGGCTCACCCTTTGGGAAAAAAAATAAAAAATAAAAAATTCCTTTTAATTTTTATCTCAACTTAAAGAATCAAAAGAAAGAACAAACAAACAAAAATGCCATTCCATGCTGATCTCTAGAAGAAATGCTGATAAAAAGAATCTTTTAATTTCAGCAGCATGGAGGACATTATTTGGTAGAATGGGCAGTTAGTTCCGACGTTATGCAGGAATAAAGCTAATTGCCTAATTTCTAACTTCTAAGTCATTAATTTAAACTAGAATACTAGAGGTTGGAGTTATGAGTTGGAAACACAATGGTTTACAACTTTCACATTCAATATGAATGTTTCTCACATCAACAGCAGATAAAACCTCCCTACACCAACCATATGTAGCAATTATTCATTTTATTTGTGGCATTAAGTCTGTTGTTTAGGGGCTATTCTGAGTGTTTAGACAACATTATGTTTTATTGCCGTGAATGTGTGCAGAACACCTCGTAGAACAGCGTTTTTGCCATTTTCATGGTCATAACTGCTGCCCTAGTGGATTTAGTAAATGTGAGCGTCTACGAGCTGAAAAGTGGATCTCATTTAACTAAAGATTACGTCACTCCAACTTGTTACATTCAAATTAGAAGGATAATCTATCGAATCATAAAGTCAGGGCAACATGAACATACCCTCTTGCTTCTTGCCTTAAAGGTATACTATGCAACCGGTGTTGATTTTCCAGCGAGGCTCCCCCCAGAGGGCGAAAGTAAAAGTGCACTGTCGTAAATATGCTCAGCTGTTCTCCTGGTTTCTCCGTCAAGCCAGGCGCGGTTGTTTTGAGCTTAGCAGACAGGCGAACGCAACGAATCACCATGTCTACTGCGGTAAGTGACTATGTTGTTCCAGTTTTCGAGTTTGAAAATTTAGCATGTTTTCATACATTATTTGTTATGCGTGTGTCTAAATAACAAAGATTGTAGTTAGCCAAGTTCTCGCTGTAAAGCAAGACCAACTCTCGCGAGACTTCTGAGCCTGTGGGTGCGGGTCGGTGCTCCTGCAATTGCAAGTGCAGTATTTCCCCCACAGACCACCAGGGCGGCCGAGAATACCTTTGTTCAACCTGTAATGACTCATTTAATTATGCAAAACGTTATGGAACACATTAATTAACTGAAAAATGTTGCATAGTATGCCTTTAACAGTACATGAAACATTCTGACTTTTACTGTTTTTAGCAGTTCTTTCCTTTTTAAGTAACATTAAGACAGCCTTATACACACTAACACTGCTTGTGAGAAAAGATGTTTTAATGCAATTTTTCCCCCTTTTTTTTTAAACAGCTCCCAATTACACAAACGAAATGAACAATACAAGCACTGATTTGAACTATTTGACACAACTGTACTTCCAAAGGCTAAATATTTGATTCAGCGTAAGATCGTCATTGTTACAGCGGTCTGTGAACTGAAAGAGGGAAGTTCTTTTACCCTTTCTCCTATTGAACCTGGAAGTCCTTGGATTCCCGCGTTCCCTGCAGCACCCTTTTTTGGAGAAATAAAGAGAGAAAAACCGCAGTTATCATAAAGATAATTTATTATAACAGAATTGCATAAGTGTAGTTTTGATATATATGTGTTTAAATGTTTAAAATGATTAATTTCCAAAAACCTTACAACATTCTTGTAAAAAAAAAATAACTCTTTGCTCATTTTTACCTGATAGAAGTTGTAATGTTTTAGACATAATACTAATATGTTTTTAAACATAAAAAAACAAGAATATTCTACACAGAAGTTTAAGTTTTATGGTTTTTTTTAAATGTATTTATCATTTTTCTTGGCATTAATTGGTTGTTGCAGGTTTCCTTGTAAACATAAGAAACCTGCAACAACCAATTAATGTCAAGAAAAAACAATAAATACCGGTACATTAAAAAAATCATAAAATTTAAACTTCTCTGTAGAATATTCTTGTTTTTTTTATGTTTATTCACTTTAATGTCTAATTTAGGGCTGAAACAATTAATTGGATTAATCTTGATTAATCAATTATTGAAATAATCGTCAACAAATTTAGTAATTGATTAGAGTTTAAAGCACTAAAACATGCCTTTAGCAGAGTAACCCTCCCTGTGCAGCAATTATACCAAAATTGTGAGAAAAAGAACATGGTAAACATTGTAAACAATTAGCATTTAAGATAAAAATCATTTTGGTCTGTCATTCTCTATAAAGAACTTCTCAAGTGTAAAGTTAGTTTTACCTGGTTTAATTTCATAAAGAATCTTTTTTATAGGAACCTTTTTGCTATAATTGAGAGATGAATTGATTAGCCAAATATTCGTTAGTTGCAGTCCTGGTCTAATTAATTCGTAATTCTCTAAATCAGACTTCTTTTATGCAAAAGCTGTCACCGTGCTCATTTAATTATTGAAGAATCACTTACATACATGCCAACTGGGCCCTGAGGTCCTTCCAGGCCTGGTTTCCCTGTAAAACCCTGAGAAAACAAAACACGCAATAATAATAAAATTTCATAAAACAACAATATAAGAAGCTGCTATGAATCTCTCACTTTTTCTCCTGGAGGACCTGGAGAGCCCAGGGGACCCGTCTTCCCAGGTGGTCCCTGAAAAAACAACAAAAACTTTATTTTATCTTCTCACTCATTATAAAAGTTTGTGTTTCAGCACCTCTGATGTTAACTGGGTTATGTAAAGTAGGGACTCTCAGTGTTTGTTGCTTTTTAACAATTTCTATCTTAGAAGACAGCAGTATAATGTTCACATTGGATTGTGTGAACCAAATAGTACGGTTATGATGTATTAATTTAAATTAGTTCATATTCTAAATCAGGCATCCCCAAACTCAGTCCTCGAGGGCCGTGGTCCTGCAGGTTTTAGATGTTTCTCTGCTCCAGCACAGCTGATTTTAATTGATAGTTGATTAACGGGCTTTTGCTCTACTGCAATCAGCAGAATCAGCTGTGCTAAAGCAGGGAAACCTCTAAAACCTGCAGGACAGCGGCCCTTGAGGACCGAGTTTGGGGATGCCTGTTCTAAATTGTTCAAATTAAGCCCCAACTAAACCTATTTACATTATAATTACCATTTCAATTTCATTAATAATGTTTTTCATTACATATAAAATTTAATTCTAAAATATTTAAAAGTCAAATTTTCTTTTTGCTTCATTTAATCAGTGTAATTTCAATTGCTTATTTGATACTACTGTTTTGGATTCAAATTTAAGCTGTTTTAAATACAAATCAACTAAAGTAAAATTCAAAACAAGCATCTTTCAGGTATTGCACTCTTGTCTTGATTATCATCCACTTATCATTGGGTTCAGTTGATATTCTTCAAATGCATTTTTCCAATTGTTTGTTTATGGTTAAGGCATAAAGCTTGGAATCCTGAGGTTGTGAGTTCAAGCCCCACTCCCACACACTGCCAATCTAGGCGGAGCAAAATGGCAGCCCATTGGTCCCCAAGCTCAGTGGTTCCCAAACTTTTTTGGCTCAAGGTACCCCTACACATTTTTCCACCCAGCCGTGGTACCCCTAAACTTATAATGATTATTTGACATTATTTGATAATAATTATTTTTCTGTCATTTTTTTCAAAGTTGTAAAGAAAACATAAAATGAAGCCCCTCGTCTTAGAATATATTTGCTTACATCAAAATAAATTTACAAAATTGTTAAAATGTAAAAATGTACATTCAATATAAAACTCTCATCAATCTATGAAAAAATCCTGCGGCCCTGTAGTGACCTCGTGGTACCCCTAGGTGCCGCGGCACCCACTTTGAAAACCCCTGCCCAAGCTGATGGGTTAAATTAGATAAGATAAGATAAGATGGGATAAATTAAATGTAGATAAGAAATCATTTTTAAAAAATAATTGACAAATTGTATTGTCAAGCGTTTCACAAAATAGTTCTAACTATTGTTATACGGATGAGGGATGTGTTCTCCCTCTGCAGAACTCTTTAAACTCCTGAACAATGATGGATGCCTCCTCCTTGTCTATGAACTAACTGGATATATAGCATACCGGTGAACCTGGGGGCCCATCTGGTCCTCTTGTACCAGCATTGCCTGGAAAACCCTGAAAAAATAGGACAGGAATTAAAGAAAGCAATACATGCATAAATTATACATTGAAATCAAACTAATTTAAGACATATAGTGAGGTCTAACTACTCCTAAGTTATAGATATCAATATTTTAATGTAGCCGTTACTATTTACTCTAATTTTAATTAATCATATCAACTCTTGATTGTTCCTATAAATGTGAAAGTTTTCTCTAAACTTTTGTTTATACAGCATATGTAAACAGGAATTTTGATTGGAGACAAATTGTTAACTTGATGGACAATGATGTGATGGAGAATAATAGAATCTTTGCTATAAGGGAAGCACAAAAAACATGTGGTCGACGTCTGTTTTTTATGACTTTGGAAGGATTCAATATGAAACTTTAATACCAAGGCTATACAGCAGCTAATATCTCCAAACACATGAGGGAAATTTTTAGCACAACGTGCATTATCCAGGCCCATGTCGTCATTCATCAGGTTTGGTTAAAAATATTATCAGTATTTATACATCACTATTCACTTTATAAAATAAAACTCAGGCAATTGTGTAACAAGAGACAAAGATAAACTGAAGAAAGAAGAAACAAAAAGCAGAAGAATCTCCATATTAATCTATAACAGAATAATAGCAGGTAGTTGTCCCTATTAAACAAATTTAGAATACATGCAAAGATCTTTATTTCAAAATACTCAATTAGTTTACAGTACAGTGTATGATAAAACACTCCTTAGAACCCTTACCTGTATTGGACAAGTTTTATTCCATAAACAAAATTATTTGTTTGAAAGGAGTTCTTGTATTTGCACTTTATTTTTGTACCGATAGCCATCGGTATTAGATGTTATAACTAAAAGGCACTGCAAATAAGCCAGCTATGGTTTCTTTTCAGGTTTGCAGAAAGCCAACTTCTATAAATCTATTAAACCTTTAAAAAATCACATATGTGATCTAATGCAATAGACTGAAGACCTGTAACCCCGCCCCTCGCCCATGGACTGCCAGAGATAGGAACCGGCCCCTCTGTGACCCCGTCAGAATAAACAGGAGAAGATGATGGATGGGTATGTGATCCAAAACAAAGATTTTTTTTAGAAAAATCACCCAGCCTGAAGCAGGACTCCAGTATAGCAGTACTGACTTTAATACCGCCCATCCAAGAAAAGACAAAAACACAGATATAAGACACTGGGAGACGTGGTGTCCCTGGCCTTGCTGCCATTAAAGGTGCTGCCCATACATTAATTAAGAAAATAAGAGAGAAAAGAATAACAATGGGAGAAAGAACAGAAACTGTTCTGCTTCAACAGAATACCTAACATCTTGTGGGGGAACAGTGAAGGCGATACAGGGTGTGTGTATGTTGAGGATGAGTGTGTGCCTGCGAGTTAGTGCAAGTAAGTCCAACAAGCTCTGTCCAAGTTGTCATTGTCCTTGATAGTGCGATGTAATGCAATATTTATCAACTGGCTTCACATGGAGCAGGTACTGAATGTCCTCAGGGAAGGGTGGGAGCAGAGCATCCAGTTTACATAATATCCTGGAGGAGCTGGAGATATATAGTGTTCATATGAAATCGTACGAAAAGTTATGCACAGTATTTCGTAGGTTTTTGACGTTTTTTTCGTCGTATTTTTACGTCTTGCCTCGAGACAAGGTATCAGTGCGCATGCGCATCTTACGCAGCCTTCAATAACATACAATTTAACATACAATTAACCCTAACTCCAAGATTTATTAATCTGATATATTTGGAGATAAAGCCTTAACATCCTCACTAATTTCTATAAAATCCCTTACACCCTATTTTACACTGAAATGATCAAAATCTTAACCTTAAGTAACAAAACTCCTACCAATATTAGACCTAAAAAATATTTATTTATAAATTTTTTCCCTCTACCTACCTCCCTTCCCTCAGTTTAGAACTGCAGGGAGTGGAGGAGGCAGAGTTTACATGCCAGACTGGCGGGGTCAACTTAGCCCATTCCAGGGCGGTTTACCCTGACTCTGCTTCCTCCATTGAACTAAAATTAATATACTTATCTTTTATTAATCATAACCGCCACCCTTATACTACACTTATAGCACATATCACCTTACCAGCCCAATTAGCTACTGACCCTAATATTAGTGGAATCCATGCCTAAACCTAACACCTGACCCTTGCCTTAAAATTACACTTAGCCGATCCCTAGCCTTGACACTTGCCCTAAACCTAATTTTAGCCCTTACTATCAACTTACCAGACCAATTAGCTACTGACCCTAATATTAGTGGAAACCATGCCTAAACCTAGCATCTGACCCTTGCCTTAAAATTACACTTAGCCAATCCCTAGCCTTGACACTTGCCCTAAACCTAATTTTAGCCCTTACTATCAACTTACCAGACCAATTAGCTACTGACCCTAATATTAGTGGAAACCATGCCTAAACCTAGCATCTGACCCTTGCCTTAAAATTACACTTAGCCAATCCCTAGCCTTGACACTTGCCCTAAACCTAATTTTAGCCCTTACTATCAACTTACCAGATCAATTGGCTACTGACCCTAATATTAGTGGAATCCATACCTAAACCTAACATTACTCTAAAAGCTAACCCAAGTTCTCCAAGTTCTACAAACTGGCTTGGCTATGGATCTGAGAGATACCAACGAACGTGCGTCGGCCCGTGCAATGCCTTTGATCCCCTAACCAACTGCTCTAGTCGTCGGACTGGGTGGGGGGGGGCGTCATCGAGAGAGTGTCTAACGCCTAACATACAAAACAGCAAGCAACCTAGTGAGAGACATCATGAAGTAATTATTGCACTTTTTACGTCCGTCCGCTGATCTGCTTTTTTCGTCTGGTTTTTTCGAGGAAAAACGTCAAAAACCCACGAAATACTGTGCATAACCTTTTCATACAATTTCATACGAACTGATAATGAGAATATGTTGACTGGGGAGCCAGATCTCAGATATAAACAAAGGAAATGGGTCAGGATAAAAGCAGAAGACCAAAAGGAAGATGACACACAGGGGCAGGGCACAGAGAAGGTCCGTGTACATGCTGGTCATTCAGTTTTGGTTTGATAATGAGAGATCCAAAATTGGAAAACAAAACTTTACCTGATTTCCTTTTTGATTTACCTTTCCTCTTGATTCAGCTCCAACCTCCCTAATCCTCTCTGTTTTGTTTAGATAGTGACCCTGTAACAGTTGTTATACCAGCATGGAGAGACTTTGCACCATTTATTTTTGTCAGAACTATTGTATTTGTAGTTATTATTGCCGCTTTGGTGATTGTCAATACACAAATGCATTGTATGTAAATAAAAAGCTGTAAAGATCTAATGGACTGCCTCGAGGTCCATGTGATACTTTCTGGTCCTTGTCATGTATTCCTTTTGGTTGTAGAGATTTTCAACCAGAATGTCATACACTGGAAAAAATCTAAATCTAGACGAGTCATTTTTTTTCTTAAAATAAGTGCATTTGCCCTTGGATTAAGGTAGTAAAAGAGAAATCTTGCCAATGGAACAAGGCAATTTACACTTAGAATAAGAAAACAGAATAGCATTGTTTAATTTCAAGTGCATATTATCTAATTGTCTTATTTATCAGAGAAAAAATACTAATTCTGTTGGCAAACTATCTCATTTACCTACTCAAATTAAGGGGAAATACACTTAATTTAAGACATTTTTTACATATTTCTAGATTGTTTTTCCAGTGTATGTACACTAATAGCAATAATAAGGAAGGAGATTTATTGGGAGTGTCGAGGGATGCGGTTGAATGAAAAAGTTTTAGTATTGTACTACATCTGATTTTATTTTTTTAATTTTTTCCTACTTGCTTTGATTCTGTTTTATCTTCCTGTATTTTAATTATGTAAAGCACTTTGCATTGTCTTTGTACTGAATTGTGCTATACAAATAAATTTGCCTTGCCTTGCCTTGCCTTACATCCAAAGGGATGTGGGAGGTGGGCAGAACCAGCCTAAAAACCAACATGGTTTTCAGGCCTTAATGGTCTTAATTGTCGATATTATCATCATTGTTTTTATCAGTAGTAGCAGTACTTCAGTAAACAACTGTTCTTATAAAGACAAGTAATAAACTAATATTTAAGACCTTTAGTATACTATGTATTAATATTCTGTGGTGTCTGATTAAGTGGCAACCATGGATGTTTTATTCTGCTGAACCCTGAAGCACTGGTACCATGAAAACCTGAGGTCGCTTAGAGTCTTACCCTGGGACCCCTAAAGCCAGCACTGCCGTCTGCCCCCTGCGGGCCCTGAAACACAGTAGAAAAAAGTAGAAAATGCTGTTTATCCAAAAAGAATTATATAAATGGGGTTAATATCTGATGATTTTTTATATTTTCCTGTTATAAAGTCAAGTTTTGCAACACTGTAAAAACGACAACTCAAAATTGTTTTTTGCATTCACTGACAATAAAATTGCCAGTTAGAACTTGAACTGTCTTTTGTGAGCCAGTTGAACTCACTTTCATAAGTTTCTGATGAAAAGTTCATCTTATTCTATAAATTAAGTTGAGTTTACTTTGAAGTTGTAGTTGACACCCAGTCCGAGCGAGGTCAACTTATCTGCGCATGCTCATTTCAAATTTGTCATGGCAACCGGCTGCTACGGGGTTTCCATGGATTTTCCCAGGAGCTCCCTTCTAAAGTTTGCATCAGCCATCTGGTCACTCTGCTGGCGGTAACTTTCCCTGAGGACTTGTCCAAGAGAAGACTAAGGCACTGGTTTCCTGTCATCTCTGGTGATATTGCATTATTTGTAAGGTTTTAACAGGAGTTGGAAAGTAAAAAAATATATGCTGAAACCCGATTTGCTTTAAGCATAAGATTACTTGTTTACATTGCTTGTTTACATTGTGGAATTGTAAACCTGTTTTTGCCAAAGTGGTTCAAATAAATATGCAAAATTTAACTGGTTTACTGTCAGTGGATGATTTAATGGGGATAGTAATCTGAATTTAAAATAACATTTTATAGATAATCGGAATTTAAAATAATAAGTTTTTACAGACTTGAAAGTTCCAGTAACTTGAATAAAAAAAAACTTAGTTGGCAGAACTTGAAAAACTTAGCTGACACAACTTAATAAGTGTAGTTCTACAAAACTTAAAAAATTAAGTTGATGCCTTCAACTAAAAAATTCTGTGCAGTCGGTTGCCTTGAAATTTTGAGTTGAACTAACTTTTTCGTTTTTATAGTGAATGAAATAGTGTCAAAATCTCACTCTGCCTGAATTTAAAACAAATACTAGATGCAAAGATAAATTTTACTTCAAAATATAACTGAATATTTTAGATTTTTCTGTCTTTTACTGTTTCATAAGAACCTGTCACTGAGCTTAAGAGACAGCTGTGACTGATGGAGGACATTTCCGTCTTAGTGTTTTAGAACTCTTAGAATTAGCATTCAATTCTACTATTATTCTTCATAATAAGCTAAAGTTTTGCGCTGAAAGATTAAAGTGCAACATTTAAGCCAAGCTCTATTAGGATTATTTTTATTATTCATATATGCTTGTATGAATAATACAAAAATAACCTGAACAGAGTGAAGCAGGAGTACAAGTAACATCTCTCTCTGTCTCACACACACAATGATCATGTTAGATGTGATGGGATTTGAATATGATAGAGAACGGGAACCTGTGTACCAGGCTTTCCTTCTGCTCCCTGCGGTCCTGGTAGCCCAGAGTAACCCTAAAAAGAAATTAGGCAAAAACAAACAAATATATTAGACATCCATTCTATAGAAGTATAAAGGATCTGAAAAATATGTATCTGTCCCTTAATTTTTATAAGCCATCTGAAATGGTTCCTATTCCAATAAACATAAAACAGAGTGCCAGAAGCTTTGATCTTCCTATTTATGGGGGAATGTTTAAAATGGTGTTATATAATATTATCCATGCTTTTCTTTGCTTTTTGGCTGCATTTAATCCTATAACTGCCTTGTCAACTTTCAGCCTTGATATTTGCTTAACTCTTTTTTTTTTTACTTTATAAGCAGTGTATTTTACAATCTTGAAGGTTTGAGAAATACATAATTTTCAAACACCCATTGTTTTTTGGAGTTATTAATGATTCTTGAATTACACTTCCATGTATATGTATGGGTATTTACACAGCATCTATAACACCCTTTTCCTTGCCTAGCCTTACGTACCCTGTTATGCTCTATGGCGGAGGTCTTCAACAGGGGATCCACGACCCCTAGGGGGTCCACGGAGGTTCTGCATGGGGGTCGCGAAAGTTTTGGTTGATAAGACTTTTTTTTAAATTTCCCCCTGCAATTTTTTTCCACTCATTGAAATGTTTTTAGATGCACATTAACATGAATTCAACACACTGTAGTAAACAGATAAATGGAGGCAGAAGATGTCTTTCAGTCATCGATGCACACATTCAGAGACACACACACTGCAAAAACTGTTAATCTAATTTAGTAATTATTTCTTAAAATATGTGGATTTCTTCTTAAATTGAGCAGACACTTTGCCAATGGAATAAGACCATTAACATTTAAAATAAGAAAAAACAACTGAAGTCTCTTATTTCAAGGGCATAATATCTAATTATCTTATTTCAAGGGTAAAAATGCTCATTCCATTTGCAGATCATTTTATTTTCCGGCTTAAATTAAGGGTGAATACACTTATTTTAAAACATTTTTACTCATTTCTAGAATGTTTTTGCAGTGCAGGACCTCTTTCAAGCTGGGAACCGATTCATTTACAACACCTGACCCAACCAGGAATCAGAATCAGAAATACTTTAATAATCCCACGGAGAAATTACTTTCGTTACATATAGGACCAGTTTGATATAACACAATTGAATACAATATATATAATTAGGGGGTCCCCGCTCCATCTATACATCAGTTTAGGGGTCCTTGGCCTGGAAAAAGTTGAAGACCCCTGCTCTATGGCTATAAAAAAAGAGTGGATTCTAACCACTTCAAGAATGTCTTGAAGTGATAAGTTGCTAACTATTAGAATAAATTCTGTAGGTGAATGCAGCCATAATTCCATTTTTTGGGGAGATTAAAGTGATAAGGTAAGGCTGTTAAGAACAACTGTGGATGCTCAGATCTGGCCTTTATCTGTATAACTTATTTCCCTACTCCCCCAAAATAATTTTTTTATTTTACTTTACTTTTTCAAGTCTCTCTTTTTTTTTTATTGATTAATGCAATGCAATTTAATGGCATTATTTTTACATTTCGATTTACAAATTGCATTCTTTAAACTTTTGGGAGCATTGGTCTACATGGACATAGCAAAAAAATTTTTATTGGTCAAGAGTGATTATTTTTCATATTTTATTTATATACATTTTTAAAAAATGCAAAAAAAAAAATAAAAATAAAACCTGTAAATATATGTGAAAGATTCATTTTTTTTAAAAAGGAGAAAATTATGTAAAGATTAACTATGAGAAAACAAATTAATCTCAAAAGCTTTGTGTGATTAAGGAATTTTTCTGGATAGCATTTTCTTGAAATCTATCAATTAAGAGTAAAACAGTATTTGGTAAAAAATAACTGAGTAGCCCACAATAACAACTGATATTTTAAAACTATATAATAAAAAAATCCAAGATGTAAAGTTATGTGTAAATTCCAGACCTGAGTGAAGTTGGCCCCCCCACCTTCTTCCAATCGGACAAAATTAGTGTCAAACGTTTGTGCTACGTTTGTGCAGCAAAAATTTTCGTTTGTGCCGCTATTGTTTTAAAGATATAAAGAAACATTTCTAGAGGTCATCAAAGGTCAACCAGCCCCCCCACCTTGTTTAAATCTTTAAATCCAAAGCAGCACAAAAAACGAAAATTTTTGCTGCACAAACAGCACAAACGGAGGTGTCATGATCGGTGTTTGTGTGGAGGACCCAAACACAGACACCAGTAGGCAGAGGTGAATGAAGCCTGTTTATTCTGGTTCACAGAACCAGGGGCAGAAATCAGAGTCCAACAGAAAAACAGCAAACGAACCTGAACCAAGGAGACATCAGGGGTAAATCAAAACTAGGAGCCAGGGAGAGACGAGACAGGGCAGGCAGGTAACAGACAGGAAGCAAGACGGGGTGTTTAACGAGGATCTAGCAAACAGGAACTGAACAGGGAGGGCTTTTAAAGGGGACAGAGACAGAGAGAGAGCTGACGAGGAAATTGGCAACAGGTGCTTGGCAGGACAGAGAAACAGAGCAAGGAAGGACACAAGAGGGCAGCAGAGGACAACAAATGGATAACTAAGGAAAACAGGAACAATCAGACCAGGACCCTGACAGGAGGTGAGTTAATTGACACCTATTTCGTCTGATTTGAATAAGGTGGGGGGGCTGGTTGACCTTTGATGACCTCTAGAAACATTTCTTAAATCTTTAAAATGATAGCGGCACAAACGGAAATTTTTGCTGCACAAACCAGCACAAACGTAGCACAAACGTTTGACACTAATTTTGTCTAATTTGAAGAAGGTGGGGGGCCTGGTTGACCTTTTGACCTTTACATATTCATTAATATCTTCAAATCCAAAGCAGCACAAACGAAAATTTTTGCTGCACAAACCAGTACAAACGGAGGTGAGTTAATTGACACCTATTTCATCTGATTTGAATAAGGTGGGGGGGCTGGTTGACCTTTGATGACCTCTAGAAATATTTCTTTATATCTTTAAAACGATAGCGGCACAAACGAAAATTTATGCTGCACAAACGTAGCACAAACGTTTGACACTGATTTTGTCTGATTTGAAGAAGGTGGGGGGCTGGTTGACCTTTTGACCTTTACATATTCATTAATATCTTCAAATCCATAGCAGCACAAACGAAAATTTTTGCTGCACAAACAGAGCTGAGTTAATTGACACCTATTTCGTCTGATTTGAAAAAGGTGAGGGGGCTGGTTGACCTTTGATGACCTCAAAAAATATTTCTTTATATCTTTAAAATGACAGCGGCACAAACGAAAATATTTGCTGCACAAACGTTTGACACCAATTTTGTCTGATTTAAAGAAGGTGGGGGGGCTGGTTGACCTTTTGACCTTTACATATTCATTAATATCTTCAAATCCAAAGCAGCACAAACAAAAATTTTTGCTGCACAAACCAGCAGAAATGTAGCACAAACGTTTGACACTAATTTTGTCTAATTTGAAGAATGTGGGGGGGCCAACTTCACTCATGTCTTTTTCAGGCCAGTTTCCTTTGTGACATCAAAATGTAGTACCTCCAGTGATCCTATTTACCCACACTGTATATTAGCTAGACAAATGCTGGTGAAGATTCTCAGTCATCCAGGTCATAGTCATTCCGTAAAAGTTTACAAAAACAATCCACTGGACTTTGTTTCCAAGATTTGAAGACGTTTTGCTTCCCCTCCAGGAAGCTTTTCCCAATTCAAAATGTATTTTTGAAAGTTTGACAAATGTGATCGTAGGTTAAAGTAAGCTTGTGTGCAAAATATTAAAAAGAATTTTGAGATGAATATAAACTTGTTTTTAAAAAAAACAATTTGTTTGAAATTCAGCTAGATTAATCACAATGGAGGGAGCCGCCAAACATTTTACTATTGATATTTTACTAAGACATTACTCAAGCAAAAGATTTGTTCAAGTAACTGTAACTAAGTAAATATTACTCACCCAATACTGCTTAACTGATTATTTAGGTAGCATGTCACAGTAAACACAGTTTTTACTATTTATTTAGTTGAATCTATGTAAAATCAGCTCAATAGAATTTCAGCTACGGCAAACTTATTCTTAAAGAGCTGTTAACTGAAAATTAGGATTACAACCAAAGATCAACAGAAGGATAATATTGTTCTTTCATCTAGCCTTGTCTTTCTTTTTTATTCCCTTTAGGATTCTGTTTAACTGCTGAACATGGATTTTGCAGCTTAGGCATTTTTTTCCTTTTTCTCCAGTTTCGACATTTTTTTTCCTGGCACAGGTGGCAAATTATTCTGTAATCGTTTTGTTTCTTGGACAAAAAAGGGATTAAAAATAACGAAAGACATAAAAATAACAAAACATTGACAGACCTTCAGAAAAATAAGGAAGATCACTTTAAAGGGAAAAAAAACTTACTTGAAAAGAAATTGTAAAGACAGAGTAAGTGATTGAGATCTGAATCTGGCTTATAAAAACAAATAAACAACTGCAAAGACTTCCTTCAAATATTTGCACACTAAAGGACAAGTTTCTGCAGCTGATAGTCTGCAGACAGTCAAGGATTTGTTCAAATTAAGACTTACAAATGTGCCTGGCTGTCCAGGGTGGCCTCTTAGTCCATTTAAACCCTGAAGAAAAACACAAAATAAAAAATGAAGAAAGTATAAATTATGTACAGTTTGATTAAAAGAAGGTGTTTCTGCAAATTTCACTGTATTAACCTTGTTTCCTCTAGGTCCAGGTCTGCCAGGACGTCCATTTTCTCCTCTGTTCCCCTTCAAGAAGGTCAGAGTATTAACCTGATTAGTTGTCAAATTAAAATAAGTGATTCATGTAAATGAAGTTCATTTGTGGGATGTCCTTTCCCCCCAGGCAGGGTACAGAGATCACCACCTGCAAACCAATTATACTTCACATCAGGGAATAACATAATTGTGGACATAAATCAAAGAAGTCAAAAGTGTTAAACATGCATAAGTGGGATAATCTTCCTCACAAAGCCCTGTTTGGCATTAATCAATACCTCTGTACATCATCCTGGACAAATATTGCCCCCCCCTGATCGAGATGTGTAAAGGATCTTTAAATATATATTTTCATATAACTTTTAGCAAAGCATTACTAAAATGTTTTTTTATAATTACAGCTTTAATTTGAGTTTTTTTCAGTATGAAAAAGAAAAACACTTTAACAAAACTATTCTGAACTATGATATTTGACCTTCCTGTCTTACCCAATTTAACAATTACATTTGAGGCATTTTTTAGTTTCTACTTTGCTTTTAAATTGAATCAGTCTTGCATTAAACTTTCCATTTACTAATTTCATATTCTCAGTTTTTCTGTTCCTAAGCTTCTTGTTATTCAGATATGTGTTGACATCAATAATGACAAGAGGAGAAAATTGCTGTTGGCAAATAAAATGCCTATAATTACCTTTAAAGCTAAGGTAGGAACTAAAAGATCTTATGAGGGCCTGCATTTATCTTCTGCTCATACAAGGAAAGGATTCGTGTATCACCTAATTTGTATAATTATATGAATATCTGACTAATAATAAAATTAGACGTATTTTTTTCCTTGATTGACAGGAACATTCGATTATCTCAGTGTGATTTTTTCAGCAGCCAGATATGCTTTTATCATCAGCTGGAAACAAATCTTTACTGAAATAAATTAAGCTTAGGGTTTTTTTTTTTATATAATCATTGGTCGTTCAATGGGATATGAAACATATTCACAACAGATCATCCACGTTGGTTTGATGGGAAAGAAGGTCTGGGGCACCTACTGTACAATATTTCTGTTGGGATCCTCAGGCTTGCCCACCAGAGGGCGCCGAGGATCCTCTTCTGCTTTTTGTTTTTTCCCTTAGGTTTGGAGTTACTGTGGGGATCTGGAGATTACCCTCTGCCTCCAGCAGAGTGCGCCGTGGGTCCTCCTGAAGCTGAGCCTCTCACACACCTGTGGCTGATCTAGTAATCAGGAGGACCACAGTATTTAAGCTACCTTCAGACCTGGATTCTACGCCGCGCGGTGAAGCCACGTTGACACAAGAAGTGTTTGAGGCTCGGTGGATGGTCGTTTGGTGCATGGCGCGTGTTTTGAAGCTGCTTATGGAGAAATGTCTTGGGCCGTGAGTAGTGAGGAAACAGGAAGCGATTCTTGTGGGATGGAAGAGGGAAATAGTGACAATGAAGGTTGGAAAATAGCAACATCAAAAAATGAGAAAAAGCGGAAAAAACAGAGATCAGTTCAAGGGGAATCTAGTTCAGAACAATCCAGTGATGATCATTCCATACATTCCACAGCACAACAAAATGAATTCAAAGTCATATTCAAAGTCGTTAATCAGGCAGACTCTTTTACAAATTGGAATCCGGTTCACTTAACAAAAACCATCAATAAACTTGTCGGAGAAGTCAAAGGTGCCAGAATTCTGTACAGTGGAGACCTGCTAATTAACTGCAGAGACAGCGCCCAGCAAGGCAAAGCAATACGTATCAACAAAATTGACGGGATAAGAGTTCAGTGCAGCCTAATGGAGAACAAAAAGATCAGCAGGGGAGTCATTGGAGGAGTTCCTCTAAAAATTTCTGAAAAAGAGATTCTGGAAAACATAAGCGGTGCAAAAGTAAAAGAAGTAAAACGGTTAAAAACAACAAGAAACGGAGAAAGATCTGACAGTTTATCTGTGCTAATTAAATTCGAAGAAGAGCAATTACCAAGCAAAGTATTCATCGGTTACATAAGCTATAATGTCAAAATCTACAATCCTCCACCATTGAGATGTTTCAAATGCCAAAAATTCGGTCACGTTGCAGCAGTTTGTAAAGGGAAACAGAGGTGTGGAAGGTGTGCAGGAGAACATGAGTACGGAAAATGTGGAAAAGAAGCTAAAATAAAATGCTGTAATTGTGGTGGAGAACATACTGCTGCCTATCGCGGCTGTGAAGCAAGCAAAAGGTCTGAGGAAATTAAAAAAATGAAATTTGAGCTCGGAATAACCTACGCTGAAGCTGCAAAAAGGATCCCATCTCAGTCAGAAAAACCCAAACCTACAGTTCAACACACAGCAAATTCCAAACCTCTAGAGAAATCTCCAAAAATTAATGAAGACTCACTTATTGTTAAAAAGACAAATTTTGTTCTTTTCATGGTAGAAGTAATTAATTGTACTGCACAGACAACAAAAAAAAACGGAAAAAATCAAAATAATAGTGAAGGCTGCAGAAAAATATCTGGACATTAAAGATTTGAACTGGGAGATGGTTGGAAGTATGATGGGAGGACCGATGGGACCATCAGAAACTGGCAGAGTTAAGATGACCTAGAGTAAATTAAAATTATATGGGCAAATGTGATTTAGTATTATGTTGGTTTAAGTTACACAGGTTTTTTTTTTTTTTTTTTTTTTTTTTTTTTTTTTTTTTTTTTTTTTTTTTGGGGGGGGGGTGAATCGTTTCCTGTTATCTTGCTTTACTCCATATCAGTTGGTGGCGGTAATGCACAATTCACAAGTCTGCCAACCGCCATAAAATCCCATAAGAAGAAGAAGAAGGATTCTACGCCGCAGTGTTGATCTTAGTTGGTTAGCTTCCTGAGCCTCTGTTACAGAAGATTCTTTGTTATCTCAAGTGTGAGATCAGATTCTAATTCTTCCTTGTTTCTGCCTCACAGGAATCCTGTCTCCTCGTGAAAGCTCTGGATGAGCTTAACCTCCTGTCTCCTCGTGAAAGTTCTGGATGAGCTTAACCTCCTGTCTCCTCGTGAAAGTTCTGGATGAGCTTAACCTCCTGTCTCCTCGTGAAAGTTCTGGATGAGCTTAACCTCCTGTCTCTCGTGAAAGCTCTGGATGAGCTTAACCCCCTGTCTCTTCGTGGAAGCTCTGGATGAGCTTAACCTCCTGTCTCCTCGTGAAAGTTCTGGATGAGCTTAACCTCCTGTCTCTCGTGAAAGCTCTGGATGAGCTTAACCTCCTGCCTCTTCGTGAAAGCTCTGCATGAGCTTAACCTCCTGCCTCTTCGTGAAAGCTCTGGATGAGCTTAACCTCCTGTCTCTCGTGAAAGCTCTGGATGAGCTTAACCTCCTGTCTCTCGTGAAAGCTCTGGATGAGCTTAACCTCCTGCCTCTTCGTGAAAGCTCTGGATGAGCTTAACCTCCTGTCTCTCGTGAAAGCTCTGGATGAGCTTAACCTCCTGTCTCTCGTGAAAGCTCTGGATGAGCTTAACCTCCTGCCTCTTCGTGAAAGCTCTGGATGAGCTTAACCTCCTGTCTCTCGTGAAAGCTCTGGATGAGCTTAACCTCCTGTCTCCTCGTGAAAGTTCTGGATGAGCTTAACCTCCTGTCTCTCGTGAAAGCTCTGGATGAGCTTAACCTCCTGCCTCTTCGTGAAAGCTCTGCATGAGCTTAACCTCCTGTCCCTTCGTGAAGCTCTGGAAGAACTGTCTCTCTGGCAACCTGTCTCTGGCCTGCAGCTCTGGGAGAGTTGCATCACAGGAAGCCAGTCCCAAGCCTGAAGCTCTAGGAAAGCTAACCTGCTAATCTGCCCTGGTGAGCCAACCCAAGATTCCTACATGGTAGAAACCTGAAGAGTTCTGTGGAGTTTCCCTAGAGGTTCCCATGTGGATTATCCCCTGTTGTTTCCCTGCAGTGAGCTGGAAGCTCAGCTACCAGCCATCTCCCCTTCCCTGCTCAGATCCCAGTGAACCAGCCCCCTGCCAGAACTGTTATTCTCGTGCTTGTGCCTTAAATAAACTCTTTGGACTCTTTGGACTTAAATAAACTCTTTGGACTTTTTACCAGTGCCTCTGTGTGTGTTGGGCTTTACTCTAAGAGAACCCATCATGACAATTTCCCATTATGGATTCATTCAAACACGGCACCAGGACATTTTAGATAAAAATTCTTTGTAAATCAGTGGGCATAAGGGATTTTTGCAGGATAATAATTAAACACATGATTAATTAGCAGTGATGGTTTATCACACATACAGTATAATCAGATACTTTTCTTGGCCATCTCTAAGCCAGGGATTCCAGAAGAGTGATGCACAAATCCCTGGCGGTGCGCGAGATAAATGAATATTATGGCATGACAAAAAAAAAAAAAAACACAAAAAAAAAAACTGAAATGTTAGAACTGTAAATATATAGTCTTATGTTTATATTACTGTTTTTATTTATGTATTTTTTTTTTTTTTTTACTGTTTTCAAGGCTGCATTAAAAAAAAAAAATGAAAGTGCCTGGAGAGTTTTTCTTAACAAAATTTTTTTGTTTACATTCATGTGCATAAAATAAAAAAATAAATCTGTCTAAGTCTAAGCTTATAATTACACTTTTTCTTCACACAATAAAACATGTCCTTTGTAAAAATGTAAAAAAAAAAAAAAAAAACTACAATTAAAAAGAAAATATTCAGAGAAAAAAAGAGATTTGGAAGAATTGATCGCCTTGAGATTCAATATAAAAGATATTCTTGTACGCATGGTATTGTTTATGGACACCTCTATTTCCACAGCGCTGTCCATGGTGCTGACTCTGACCCAGCTACACTGATGCTCACATCATGCACACACTGCTACTGCTGGAAAAATTGGAGGTAGATGGGTTTTCTTGACTTTGCTCACTCACAGAGCTGTAATGGTTTTCCCTGGATAATGTCACTCACATAGGTGCTGTTTATTTTAAATTTCCATTTTTAGCCTGTAATCAGACAGGAACAGGTAAACCGTTGGCAATGGAGGAGTGCAGTGGTGGATGGTGAGGGGAGTTAAGCATGTGTTGCCATGGGTATATCTAGGTAGGTACTCAACGGCTTTGCCAAAGAAATATAATCGAAGATACCCCTTTCTTTACTACTTGTAAAAAAGAGAAAAGCTCTGACTGAATGAAGAGTCAGCACACCTGCCCTGCTTTCAGGGGAATAGAATGTGGTGCAGGTTACAGACATAATCTTGGAGAGCGCTGATTTTACAGCAGGGGAACAAATAATTTGTGCACTTCTAGCACTGAATAAATCAGCACATAGAGTAGCAAACAATGTATTATTTTAGGTAACATTTTACTGCAGGGGTGCCAATAAATTTAGAAAAAAATAACAAAAAAGTGTAAAAAAGAGAATAAAAGGAGGAAAAAAGATAAAATAGCAAATGTAAAAAAAGAGGATGAACAAAAAAGAAAATTAAGGTCCGATTAAAATAATAAAAAAAAAAAACAGAAAAAGGGGGAAAAACGAGAGAGAGAAAAACAACAACAAGAGGGTGATGCCTGGTTTGTTTCTAGATACACAAATCATTACTGACCTTTATTCCTGGTCTGCCCTGTTTCCCCTGAAGGCCTGCTTCACCATCTACCCCCTGAATGAGAAAATATCAACTCAGTCAACTTCTCCTGGTTTTCTTCTTCCCTGTCAATCCTTTTTTAAACAAAATATGATTGAGCTCTTTACAATATTCTGGACCATAGACCAAAAGAAGCAAAGAAGGCAAAGAAAGGATTCACAAATAATCAGTTCCATAAATGAGCAACAATATTACCATTGGATTTAGACACTCATTCATGTGCAGTGAAAGCAGAAAGCAATCATAGCCCTAATAACTTTACACTGTTCACATTATAATATAAGTTCTACTTTGCACTATATACTATTTGGTCAAATGCCTGTATTTGACATTAAGAAGGTTGGCTAAGATCAGGTCCATCCTGTCTTACAAAATTGCAGCACTGATGCGTCTCACGTGTTGTTTGCAGGTTTATAAATTCAAACAAATCTACATTCTAACACATCCATATATCAATCAAAAAACAAATTGAAATGCTATGTTTTAGGGCTGGGAGATATAGAGCCAAAAGTTTATCATTATATTTCATGGTACAAGGAAACAACAGTCCTTCATATTTTACCTCAGTACCTCTGGGGCCAGGTGGACCACTGACCCCTGGGAAGCCTGGTAAACCAATAGGGCCTCTTTCGCCTTGAGGGCCCCTAATGCCTGCAGCCCCTTGAACTCCCTGAAAGACAAAAAATAAATAAAAGTGCAACTATCTGGCGTGATATGAAAACAAAAATAAGATCCTAAATCAGGTGGTTATGTCCACCTTTAGAAGGCATAGCAGAGACTTAGGCTTTGAGTGCTATTCGTCATAACTAAACAACAGAATCTAACAACAAATATATATTATTCTAATTGATAAATCAAAGCTAAAACAATCAAGAAAATCAAAGAATACAGATTAATAACTTAAAAATGTAACAAAAAGTAAATGCACCAATAAGCACATAATAAAAATGAAAAGAATAACTATATCACATACAAAGAACAATCAATGCAAAAATAAATGTTATTAAAGAAAGAAGAAGAATTATACATTAATGAAAGAATAAATCTTTATAATGGGGCAAAATTCAACCATGAACAAAAATATCTTCAAATATTCTCTGAAACCAGTTAATAAAACAAAAGTTCCTGGTTCCTACTTTGTCGCCTTTAGCTCCCAAATCCCCCTTGTCCCCATCAGGTCCACGGTTACCCTGCCAGCAGAAACACATCTGGATATTTAATCTCATTCAATCTGATTCTGAAACCAATAAATCAGCTGATCTAAATTATGACCAACCGTGACTCCAGGGAAACCCAGATGACCCGGTCTCCCTGGCAAACCCTGTGAACATTGGGACACAAGTCTTAATATGTAAAAAAAAAATTGCAATATAATTCAAATTTAACACATAACTAGTGAAATAATATTGTGAAATAATAACAAGTCTTCTACATGAAAATAAAGGACATGAACAACCCATATAGGTGAGTATCAAGCATAAAGTTATGACGCTTTGACAGTTTTTGACCAGCAGATGGCAGTGCAGGGTAGCAGGAGCTTCCCAAACATTATTTTTTAACTTCAGAGAACATTGTAGGCATAATATTATTGTATATAAGTAAAACTGTTACAGAACCAGTGACAAATACTAAACTCACCATGGGGCCCTCAAATCCAGGATCCCCCCGAGGGCCCACTGGCCCCACAGGCCCCTATTGATTAGCAAAGGACAATAAGAAAAAAAAATAAATAAAAAATTACATAAAAAGAAACTCAGGGTCATGCATTCAGATGTTAAAACCCAGAAACTGCAAAACTAGTAAGACTTTTAACTTGAGCGGATATTCTTCTATTATATATTAATTAACTTTGAAGTGGAAGGAATATATTTGTTTTTATAAATTAATTTTAAAATGTTTGAAAAACTTATGTTCAAGGTAATTAACCCTCAAAGAAAAAAAAAAATCTCACTCACTGCATTGAGAGCCCCTTGTGAATCTGGACTTTGACTAGACGATATTAAAACATGTCTGATCAAACTTTAATCTAAATCATTTCATCATAGCTCAGGCTGTACGTTGAGTGTTAGCTGTCTTGCTCTAAGGTGATCCATCAACTGGGTCTAAAATATCCTCCAGCCTCTGACAGGTTTTATTTCTTTCCAGTACTGTCTTGTATTTAGCTGCATCCATCTTTCCATTGACTCTGACCACCAGCTTCACTGTGCTTGTTGACATTCTAGAGAAGAAATAACCTTTATTATCCCACAGTGGAGACAGCAGGAAAGTAAAAAAAATATGAATTAGAGGCTAGTTATTAAAAATACCATATTTTAAATATTGAAAAATGTAAATGAGTTTGGTTTTGTATATGCATAAAAAACATCAGTAATTTTAAATTTATGAAAACAAATGTATTAAAACAGCAGATACTTTGTATTAAACAGCACTAGTTATAAAGTCTAACAGCTTTTTGGAAGGAGAATCTGTGATTATGCACAGTTTTGCACCAATGATTTAGAAGTTTTTCTTTAAAGGAGCTCTCCAGTTCTGAAACAGCTAAATACCCAGGAAACATCCAGGAAACAGTGTGTCTTCTATTCCATGTCTGCTTTTTATGCAGTACTTTTTAAATGTATTTTCTTATGATATTTTGTAAAGTTTACAGATGATAATACTGCTATTAGTCTGATGAAGGATGGTAATGAGTCTGTTTACAGACAGGAGGTGGATCGTCTGGTTCTTTTGCCTTACAATACAACACTTTAAAGGAGAATTCCGGTTTTTAACACTTTTAGCCCATTTTCTGTAGTGTCCAGGATGAAATCGAATGATCGACACCAAAATTTTGACAATTGGTCCTGTCTCTGCTTTTTGGCTCATGCAGAATCCCCCCCTGGCTGCTTCAGAATGGCTTCCATTGTGCATGTCCGATAATGTCCTTAAAACAACCTTAAACGTTCTTTTTTTTAAATATGCTACTCACCGGGTCGTCAGCGCTGTTCAATGACGTTCCAAAAAAAGTTTCGTAAAGAAAAAACGTTCCTGTAGTGTTTTATTTAGCATTTTGTAAATCCCATTGAGTTCTGTTGGAATAGTCAATATCCCTCCTCCACCGGAAACGGAAATGGGGCTTGTTTACACAGTTGTAGTCTTTTCGCTTCACTCTGTGTACTCCGACGTCGAGGTGCTAACGTCTCTGTTAAACACTTTAAAAAACTCTGAAAATGGAATACGAAAGGTGGATTCTTGAGGAGGACATATTGGACTTTGAGTTTGACGGTAGAGGATACCGTCGCCAACTAGTGGTCTGGAGTGTGCAACGCTTCAGATTTGAACGGGAAGCGGAAGTTTATAAGTGGTTGTGATGTATCGGAAAAAATAGTTCTGGGATTTACAAAATGCTAAATAAAACAAGACAGGAACCGTTTTTCTTTACGAAACTTTTTTTGGAACGTCATTGAACAGCGCTGACGACCCGGTGAGTAGCATATTTTAAAAAAAGAACGTTTAAGGTTGTTTTAAGGACATTATCGGATATGCACTATGCAAGCCATTCTGAAGCAGCCAGCGGGGGATTCTAAATGAGCCAAATAGCAGAGACAGGACCAATTGTCAAAATTTTGGTGTCGATCATTCGATTTCATCCTGGACACTACAGAAAACGGGCTAAAAGTGTTAAAAACCGGAATTTTCCTTTAATTGAAACTGCTTTATAAATGATTATTTTCTGCCTTCTATGTTCTTTGATGCAGCATGAACTGCAGGTATATTTCATTCAATTATTATGGGCCTACCTTGTTTTGCAATGCACTGGGCTAAGCGGCTATTGAGAGTAGTTGAAGAAGATAAATCTAACTGTTCTGCTCTCTTTTTCCATCAAGCTCAGGTCCTCTACCAGAGGCCTGGGAGCTTGAGGTTTCTGTGCAGTATCTTTGTAGTTCCATCAATCTCCATAAAGGGGAGATCGGTGGATTAAAAAACTAACACTTTTACACTCAACAGATTCTCCCAGCTGGTTTCTGGCGATCTGATCCACTGTCTGCATGCCAGCTTGCCATAGTATTCGGATTTTCATGTCTTGCTAGGTCTGCCATTGTGTCTTACTATTCCTGACTCGTTTCATGGATTGAACAGAGATCTGTGACATGTTTAAAGTCTAGAACATAACACTGCTTAAAAATGTTCCCTGACTTTCTCCCAGACATGTTTACTGTGTTTCTTGAGATTAAATTACACATAGATGTTCCATATTCTTCTGAAAGCTAAAAACTGCATATAATTTCATTAAGGTGTGTAACAGTAAAAGGGGTGAAATACAAACACGTGCACCACTTTTCAGATTTTTATGTCAATTTTTCTTATGCCTAAATTTTTCCATCCACATCAGCACTATGCTGTCTTTTTAAAAATAATGCATTGATGGGCTATGTTGTTACGATGAGAAAATGTGAAAAATTCTACTGGGAAAAACACATTGATCTTAAAGGAATAGTACACCCAAAACATGATTAGCCTTCATTTTCTACTCACCCCCATGCTGAACAACACCCTGGAGTACTTTTTTGATATCTCAAATGCATCTGGAGATCTGGGAGGCTTCTTGCTGTCTGCTGACATTCAAATAATGGAGGTCTATGGTGCCCGAGGCAGAAAGGTCCATAAAAGTCCACAAAAAACGTGTCAATATTCCTCCATACTGCTCGTCCAATGTATTCCAAGTGTCCTGAGTGGGTAGCGTCCAGAATTTACTCGAAATGAAGTCATTTATAATGTTTTTAGAGCATAAACAGTAGTGTATAGGATTTCCTGAAAGCGCGCACTTGCGCGTTCACGACGCTACGGAAGCCGGCAGACCAAACCAGATGAAAGTGCGCATTCAGCGTCTGCTCTGCCGATAATGCAAGCGTAGAAGAAGAAATGTGCTGTTTACCTGTGCAAAGAAAGAAACAACGAAAGAAAAATGTCTGAGGACTTCAGTGTTGAGGAAGAGCATGAGTTCTTTGCCGAGCTGAATGCGCACTTTCATCTGGTTTGGTCTGCCGCGGTTTCCGTAGCGTCGTGAACGCGCTTTTAGGAAATCCTATACACTACTGTTTATGCTCTAAAAACATTCTAAATGACTTCGTTTCGAGTAAATTCTGGATGCTACCCACTCAGGACACTTGGAATACATTGGACGAGCAGTATGGAGGAATATTGACACGTTTTTTGTGGACTTTTATGGACCTTTCTGCCTCGGGCGCCATAGACCTCCATTATTTGAATGTCAGCAGACAGCAAGAAGGCTCCCAGATCTCCAGATGCATTTGAGATATCAAAAAAGTACTCCAGAGTGTTGTTCAGCATGGGGGTGAGTAGAAAATTAAGGCTAATCATGTTTTGGGTGTACTATTCCTTTAAGAATATTACATCAATATAACACAAAGATGCATTGCTTATTTAAAATCAAAGGATAAACTTACGAGATCTCCTTTAGGACCAGCCGTACCAATCAGTCCTGGATAACCCTGTTATGATGCATATTCAGTAGCTTTAAACTCTGTTAGTAAGTTCATCAAGGCAACATCCCAAATAAAATCTATACTCACTTGTGGTCCTCTATGTCCCGGAGGTCCAATCTGTCCCTCTAAACCTGGAGGTCCCTGGTTGAAATAAAAAAAACTAAATACTTTTTTTATGTCTAACCCAGAATCCAGACACGTGTACAAGGCTAAATATCTGTAGCAAAATATAAAGACAAGCTAGGTTTTATACCCGAGGACCTTGGGGGCCAACACCGCCTGCTGGTCCAATTTCTCCCTAGAAAGAAACAAGCAACATTTTATGCACTAAAAAAGCAATCAGTCTAGTTAATGTGGACATTTAGGTCAAACTTCTACTTTTAACTTTAATGCCCATGAATTCAGTTTTTATTTCTGTGGCACATTCAAAACCTGTGGTGACTAAAGTGTTACGCAAGTTATGTCATATCTACACATGGTGAACAGAAACTGGATCAAAGATTCTGCAATTACACTAAGATTAGTGTTTCCTCTACGTTTTTATCACCTATCGATCAGGACCAACCAAAAATATGCTACACAGCCTAAATGCTTTATAGATATAGATCTCTACCCAACTTGTAACTATAACTATAATATACATATATTATAGTTATAACTGAAAGTAAAGACACTTAAATTTACAGAAATACTCTAAATAATTGTAGTATAAGACAGGTACAATAATTATACCCTTTATTTTCTTTAGTTTAATCTAATTGCTTTTCTCTAGGATTTGTCAATGAGGAAATGGAGCATGATTTTTCTACAGGAAGTCACATCTTTAGATCAACAACACAACCTGAGGGGAAGGTAAAATTTCTCAAACTCAATGACAAGAATATGGGACCCAAGATGCAGCCTTGGGGATCTCCACAACTAGAGGGTGACATTTAGGAAATGATTAAAACATACAATAATTTCCAGACACATAAAGTCATGAAAACTAGACCATTTAATTAGGCATTGAATTACTCTTTTATCGGCAAATGTGATCATCGTCGTAAAAACCCTCCACCCCTTCCAAAAAAGATTTATAATTCTCCTTATTTTAAGACAGATACCCATTTTTATAGCACATAATTTACGAATAACCGACAATTTGTGTGAAATGTTGTAGAAAAAGCCTGGTAGCATGTTCTAGGTCATCTTCTCAATAAACCTCAAAACTTCAGGATGACAGATGAGAGTCAAGAGGATATGTTTAAAATTGATAATTAACAAGTTAACATCTGGAAAGTATGCAATGAACATGTCCTTCCAAAATCCCTTCTCTATATGGTGTGAGAAAGCTAATAAAGTCATGCAGAAAATGACTACCAAGAGTTATTGCTGCTGAATGTGGAAATTATGTTAAACCTTTCATAATCGTTATCTCGTACCCTTGAGCCATTAACTCCTTGAGCACCAACTCTTCCCGTCAATCCTGGAGCACCCTGCGACAGAGAATTTAAGTTAGGAAGTTTTAACAGAAAAAAAAATGGCTTTAAGATGAAACAAAGGTTTGACAGTGAATTTATTTCTTACTGGTGGCCCTGGGGGGCCCGTGGGGCCATCCAGTCCGTTCTCACCCTGGTGAAAAACATGAAATATCAGTTAATTGACTTTCTATATATTTTACAAGATCAGTTCTTGCATTTGAAAGAAACAAATGGAATAACAATGAAATTGGATTTTCCCCCTTTTAGCCGTTTCTGTTTATGAATGTTTTGTAAATGTTTTATGTTTTATAAATGTCCATCTAAGCTAACCTACATTTTTTTACTTGGCAAATTACCAAAAATCCTCAATAGTGTAGAAGCTTCCCTGACTCATCTGTCATTAAATTAGGTCAAATGTATTGGATTACTTACATCAGGCCCAGCTGGCCCTTCTGGTCCCTCTGCACCTCTGACACCTGGATGTCCCTATAGAGAACATTAAACATGTTAATATCCATCCGTCCGTCCGTCCGTCCGTCCGTCCGTCCATCCATCCATCCATCCACCCACCCACCCACCCACCCACACTGGAAAAAATCAATATCTAGATTAGTAATTTTTTTCTTAAAATAAGTGAATTTTTCTTGGATTGAGGAGGTAAAAGAGACATTCTGCCAATGGAACAAGACAAATTACACTTAAAATAAGAATAAAACAATTGCATTGTCTTATTTCAGGTGCATATTATCTAATTATCTTATTTTAAGAGTAAAAATACCCATTCCATTGGCAAACTTTCTCATTAACCTACTCAAATTAAGGATAAATACACTTAATTTAGGAAATTTTTACTTATTTCTAGATCGTTTTTCCAGTGCATCCATCCATCACAATTTGACTCCAAATATCCATGTATTTAAAAAAGGATGCCAAACATAAAGGACAAACTGTTATGTAAAAAAAAAAAATAATAATTGGGCCTTTAAGGCTCTTTTTCTTCACATGAATCTACATAATATCCAAAAAATAAAAGTGCTTAAGCGACAAAAACAGTAGTGTTAACACCTTACCCATTTTGTGCAACCAGAGTAACAGATTTACCTGTTATGTCTTTGTACAGACGGACAATAGTGACACAAAGTGATGTGACAGACATGTTTCTAGCTACTGTATGTCACAGGCAGGGATTTGATGATTCTAGTGACACAGGAGCGACATGACACCTGTGATGGATGCAAAGTTGCTGGAGTTGCTCGTCTGGGTGTGGGCCTCCCCATGTCTGCCCCCCTTGGGTCTCAGTGATCTGGGGTGCCTCTGGATACTGGGGCACGGGTCGCCTCTTTTTCTATCCTGCACTCCTTGGGCTAGTCTGGGGACGCCCACACCTGCTATTAAAGGGATAGTTCGGTATTTTTGACATGAATCTGTATGGCATCCCCATCACCAGCGGCATGCAATCACACTGACTTACCCCTGGCAGCGTCCTGTGAGCAGAGTTATCGTCCAGTTTTGGTCAAGCCGAAAGTAGTCCTGCAGGTTTTTAGGTACAGCGAAATAAAACTTTTCTCTTCCCAAAACATTATGTGTTCAAAAGAGTGATATTTTCGCATCCCAAAAACATTGTAGTTGAAAAAGTCACACGTCGTTATCAATTGGTCCTATTTTCTCTCTGTTCGTATCAGTGCGCGCCGTCATTCAGACAGCGAGCCCAACAACAGCCATGTCTCCCTCCGCCGCGGAGGGAGACATGGCTGTACCTAAAAACCTGCAGGACTACTTTCGGCTTGACCAAAACTGGACGATAACTCTGCTCACAGGACGCTGCCAGGGGTAAGTCAGTGTGATTGCATGCCGCTGGTGATGGGGATGCCATACAGATTCATGTCAAAAATACCGAACTATCCCTTTAAGCATACTTTCCTTAAGAAGAAGTTTTGTGAATACCACTCTGATTAATATTGTGTAATCACCATAGGATCTGACTGTGACCCACATGGAAAGGATACACGCTACTCTTGAAATGTTTTCTTTATAAATTTACATTGGTTTTCTGTTGTCTTCTTTTTGCTGCAATGTTCTCTGTTTTCTGTTCCTCTCGTCTCATACAGGTATGGAAGCAGACTTCTGGGAGTTACTGTATATCTTCTGTGTTTTTGCTGTTTTGATTTATTTTCTATCTTTTCATGCACTCTTTCCTGTTTCTATCTCCGTTCCTCTTTCCCCTTAGTTTTTCTTACCTTCCTTTCTGTGTCCTTGTATACGATTTTACTACCCAAATAATGTTCAATATAGTTTATTATACAAATGACAAGAAGAACCATATGGCAACAGTCATACTGGTCTAATTGTGAAAATCAAGCTGTTGGGCTATCAGTTAGCTCTGGGAATTTATGTCCCAGAGCTATATTGGCTAAACAGGAAATGTGTAAAAAATACACACATGATAATTGGCTTCTCAACAACCAGTCAGGCACTAGATGTGGCTGTGATGAAGGCGCTAGATTGAAAATACAATGTTGACAAAAGATGAAATAGATAAGACTCTTAGGGGTTAGTAGGTGTTTTTTTTTAAAGAAACTGTTTTTAATTTAGCCCCTATAAGAACTGTTAAATAGTTCATCATTTGTCATCCTCCTTTAGCTCCAGTTCAAACCCTGGCCCCCTGCTCTGATGCTCTCTGTCTGTCTTCATCGTCTCTAAATATGATGAACCCAGGGAAGTTTCACCTGAGGCTTCATTTGGCTTTACGAAGTAAATAAAGCACACTGCAAAAAATGGAAATCTAAGCAAGTATTTTTTTCTTAAATAAGTGCATTTTTTCTCCAATTGAGGACGAAAGTAAGACACTTTGCCAATGGAACAAGACAATTTACATTTAAAATTGTCTTATTTCGAGTTCATATTATCTAATTATCTTATTTTAGGTGTAGAGATACAAATTTCATTGGCAAATCATTGTATTTACCTACTCAAATTAAGGGTAAATACACTTGATTTAAGTATTTTTTTTTACTTATTTCTAGATCATTTTTACAGTGCACAGCAAGTAGCTCCGTAAATCCAGTTCCACCATGTTATATTGGAACCAGCAAGCGGTAGATTCAGTGATGAGATGGGGGCAGCTGAAAGTAAGGTGTGAATGCACCAGAGTTATTGCCTGGTAATGTATCATTTATTAAGTGCTCTGCCATCAGATACTGCATGTTTATGAACATATTTAATGTCTTTGCTGGATTTCTGAAGCTGTTAAACTGTTAGATAATATGCATTTTTTAAAACCTCATTCTCTTTATTCTGTCCTACATTTAATACCGTTCCCTTATGCAAATTGTTTAGTCAATGTCATGTTCAGTGATCTGTCAAAGGCCACCCTCAAATCTTTGAAAAGAGGGTGGAAAGCATCAATCAACTTTACAGTTTTGCTCATTGGAAGGAAACTTAGAATATAGAGCTGGTTTTAATCTTTTGTCCTTCATAAAAGAATATGTTTCTTGTCTGCTGTGATTAAATTTAAAGATTGATCTTTATTTTACAATAGAAGACACTTACTGGTGGTCCAATGGGACCCGGTGGACCTGGCAAACCAACTGCACCCTGTAAGAAAACAAGAAGAGAACACAATGAAAAAATATTACCTGAAAAAAAAATAGCATAGGACTTGACAACAACTTTAACTCTGTAAAAGAAAGAGCTGCCATCTCCTACTCAACTCTAAACATAAATGTGGCAAAAATGTCCTTACTGTCTAAAATCTTAAAATGTATGTAAGTACTTAGTGTGTCAGGTATTTATGGAAGGGCCCTTTACATTGACTTAAATGCCTGTCTGATATACCATAAACAGAAAATCTACCTGCTACTTTCAACATTGAGGAAATATTAAATCATTAATAAATACCTTCTCACCAGGTTCTCCAATTTCCCCCTCTGGGCCCCGATCACCAACCAGACCCTGGAAACATAAAAAGAAGAAGAAAAAGCTTTATACTAATATAACGGTTTATCTTTCACCTAAGATTGTTTTAAAATTAAATTATTCTCAATTTTTACAGCAACAATATTCTAACTTGGGGCTGGTCGATAATTCAATAACAATATATATCGATTGATTGGCGTGTGGCGCACTAGAAAAAAGGGGGAACAATAACATATTGATATAGAAGCACAGTTTTCCTTCCTTTTTAATGGACTATCATGTAGGTTGATGTTAGCCTCGTGAGACCATCCTGATCTCGCGAGCTTTCAAGGTTTCACTGGCAAATCAGTCTGGAGACTCTCCGTTACAGAAAATGTGGAGCCGTTCATCAAACGAACGTCCAATCAGCGTTGGCTTTGAGGCGGGTTGAGGTGTGACGCAACGAGAAGCGCGACAGTTCAGTCTAAAGAACATGGCGGCTTCAGCCGATGAAACTAGCGTTAGCGTGGCTATCGAACAAGTTTTATCGGAATTACAGAGTATTTCTTCACTGAAAGAAGAGCAAAACACTGCTCTGGAGGCTTTTCTCAGAGGAAAAGATGTTTTTGCTCTTCTCCCGACTGGTTTCGGCAAGAGTTTGATCTATCAATTGGCTCCTCTTCGTCGTCGCTCTGTTAGTACGTCATATGCTTCGTTGATCTGATTGTTTTATTTGGCCCATCTATCACCAACATAGGCCAATCAGCTAACCAGTATTTTCAGCCCTTCCCAAAATTACTTCAACGGAAGGTTTCCAGATGGATATGCGGAGCAAATCCATCTGGCGGAGTCAGGTTAGGTTGATGCTACAGTGACCAATTCTCACCAAACAATCCCAATCGAGGACCCAGACATACTGTCACAAAGCGCCACCCTCTCGAACCACAACACAGAGCACGTGACAATGTCGCATTAGGAGACGCAGAGGAAATTTTCCCAAAGAAGGGTTTTAGTAGCGCGCCTGTTTGGTGATATTTCGGTTATTACAAGTCAGACAGAAACAAAACCAGAGTGATTTGTAAAGTTTTCAGGGAACCAGTAAAAAAAGTCAGGTAACACAACCAACATGTTTTATCATCTAAGCCGCTTACACCCTATGAAGAACGAGCTGTGTCGGCCCCAGTGCTGTTCCACGTTGACGGAGGAAACACAGGCAAACCCAGCTAAACTGGGTTTGCTTCTATGTTATAAATACGACAAAGTGTTCAAGTAGGATAAGGACATCACTCATGCAGTAACATGCTTCATAGCGATGAATATGCAAACGTTGTCTGCAGTTGAAAAACCTGGCTTCAAACAACTGCTTGCGACTCTTCATCCGCGATACAAAGTTTTGGGCCACAAGTTTTCCTCTAAATCAGCGCTTCCTAATTTGTACAAGTGCAGGAAATCAGTGCAAAATGAGCTCTAATCTGTGTCTCACTACACAACAAAATCAGACCTCTGGTCAACTTGCACATCCCAGCAAAACCTCAGCCACTCAATGCAAAGACAGAATGGAACCTGAGAAGTAAGAGTCTAAAATCTTTTGATCAATATTTATTCATTTTCTTTTTATCGATTGCTGTTTTTGTATATCGTCCAGCCCTACTGTAACTAAACCGTGAGCCTGAGCTGTTTTTCATATTTTCAGCCTTTTTTTTATTGCCGAATTGAACATGTTTAGTTGGTGATGCTGAGGCATGGTTGGCATGAAAACAGCAGGTAAGGGTTTTTTAGATCAAATTTATACACCCATAGTAACCTTGTATCTGTAGTTTTAGAAAATTCCGCTTTGGAGATGTTCTAAACTACTTTTACCATGGATGGATGGATGGATGGATGGATGGATGGATGGTTTTTAGAAACCAGTCTTATCACTCTGCTCATTGGTTGTAATGGTTAGAACTTAAAATTTGTGATTTTCAAAAAACAAACAGCAAATTTTCCTAATCATGGATAATTTTTTCCACCACTGAATAAATTCTACTAAAGCTGACGAACCACAGCCAAGTGCTTGGCATCTGAACACCTGTGGTAACAAACAGCAAATTTTACTCTATAATCATTTTAAAATTTATCAAATTTTTTGAAAATCTTTGTTCTAAATGAAGGTAGGATTATTTTCTTTAGTAAGTTTATCATTAATGGGTTATTCTTACCTCATCACCTTTTTCTCCTTTGGACCCTCGTTCTCCTCTGTACCCCCACGGGCCCTGATATCAGTGAGACACAAGATGGAGATACCTCATTGATATATGGCACTAAAAGCATAGCTATTTGGGTATATTCCTTGGGATGTTTAATAGTTCAGGATAAAGGGTGTGCCCACATGTGATCCAGGAGGACCAGGTGTCCCAGGCTGACCATCTGTGCCATCTTCCCCATCTTTCCCTGGAGTCCCAGGCCGTCCTGGAGGCCCCCTAGGGCCTGGATCCCCCTGCAAGACAACATTATTTGAACATACAGTGAACCGAATATCCTGGGGGTTTCCAACAGAATTTCACCCCATTTATAAAAGATTCTTCTACATCCTTCATTCTCTCAATCATTCCTCAGTCTATAATACAAAAACTGTATTAGCGATTTGAATTAAAACTATTTTGTTATATTTTGTTGCTCTTTCTCCTTGGAAAATCAGAATCCCAGTGAGGACTAGAACCTCATGAGAGGAATGGTATCCCTCAAGGATGTGTGTTCAGGACCCTGCCCTTCAACCTGTGTGTTTACTACTGAAAACCGGACTACAGAACAAGCTCTATTTGGATCTTTGACTCTTAACTGCTACACTGTTGTGGTGAGGAAACAAAATTCTACAATATGCAAAAAAGTTACATTTTCTGAATAAAGAAACGTGTTCTGCTGGGGGTGATTGTGGCTCTTCGTCATTTAATTGACAAACTTGTCAAACACTTGCCACTAACATGGACACAGTTAGACTTTTTTTTTTTATTAACTAAACCAGTGCATGCATGTCTGACTACCTGTTATTTACACTTCTTAAAGGATTTATTTAAAAAATTCACAAGCTGATAACAATTGAACAGCTTTGCTCCACAGCAGGAGTCTTGAACATTTCCAGGCCAAGGACCCCCAAACTGATGGCGAGATGGAGCGGTGACCCCCTACTGTAATTATATATATTGTATGAAATTGTGTTATATAAAACTGGTCCTATAGTCACTCTATTACAGATGGAGTAATGTATCAAAAGTAGTTTCGCCCTGGGATTATTAAAGTATTTCTGATTCCTCATTGATGGGACAGGTGTTGTGAATGAAACGGTGGCAAGCTTGAAAGAGCTCCTGTGTGTCGCTGAATGTGTGCATTAATTACTGAAAGACATCTTCTGCCTCCATTTATCCGTTTACTACCGTGTGTTGAATTCATGTTAATTTGTTTTTAAGGACATTTCAAGTGGTGGAAAATATTGCAGGGGAATATTAAAAAAATGTAATAAAGCAAAACTTTCATGACACCCATGCAGTACCTCCGTGAACCCTCTAGGGGTTTATATTTTCTTTATAAATAAATTAACTTGCAAATTATGAGGGCAAGGCTTTTAAAGTTTAAATCTTCTGGCAAAGATAAAGTAAAGAAGATCCTGCAATTTATGGAAGTAAAGCAGAATAAAATCCAGCAAGATCAGTAATATGTCAATTAATTATCTGCCACATTCCCATGTAAATATCTGTCTTTGGAGGATGTGTTTTTTAGCACCCCTAGTTCTCTCATTTTTATTTCAAATACAACTTATAATTTGAATCACAGGGCTATTTTTATCTCTATAGTTCAGTATTTTCTTAAGTAGCCACTTTAACTGCTATACTTTCCTGTCTTAAAAGGCAGAACTCTTCTAGTCTAAAAAAAAACTCATTTGTTGAAATGGGGGGACCTATTGTTTGAACCCCTTAGGGGCTTTTAAAAACAAAAATGCCTTTTTTTTCCACTTTATGAAACAAAGTACCCTATATTTTGTGGATGTACAGCTACATTTCTCATGTAAGTTTGCGTAGTTTTAACACAAACATTTATTTTTCATATTGCACCAGTGCAGTTAATGAGCAACCTGTACTTGTGTGCTTGTTTGTTCTGTCTAAAATGTTTATTTTGGAATAAAGAGGTTAATATAAAAAATATTTTTTGTCCTATTCATTGATTAATCGAAAAAATAATCGGCCGATTCATCGATTTTTAAAATAATCGTTAGTTGCAGCCCTAATGTTGTGTGATTTCTTTTAGGTCTAAAACTGTAATATTGTCTATAGATTTATGGGACTATTAATATTATTATTATTATTATATAATTGCCAATATTTTTTAAGAAAAAACTATAGAATAGAAAAAAAAACAATAGAATACAAATCTTTCGCTTGCTTGTTAAAGTGTACCATTTCCCCTGGCATCCCTGGTTGTCCATCCTCCCCAGGTGCACCAGGTGGCCCCTAAAAAATAGGAAAATAAAATAATTACCTCATCAATCACATTCTTTATTTATTAAATAAGTCATTTTGTCTCACCTGTATTCCAGGTTTCCCCATCTCTCCAGGTGGGCCTTCAGGTCCTTCCTTAGTCTGCAAGCTCACAAAGAAGAAACCAGCCTCAAAACTACTATAACGTGAGTATGTAGTTAAGGAAAAGGTTGGTTTTGCCACACCATACTTACAGGCCACCCAACTGACAGTAACTGGTAGAAATTTGTTTGCTGCAAAAAAAAAAAAAAAGGTAAAAAAACAAATGAAATGGAGGAAATGCAAAAAAAGATCGTCATTTACTGTAAGAAAAAGAAAATCTGAAGACTAAATAGACTTTCCTGTATAAATGTTAGTAATCAAACAAGGATTCGAGCTTAAAATAGATTCAGTATCCAAATCACGGTCACAAAACTGAAACCAGACTTTACATCTGTCCTCGGTGATGAAGCTGTGGTTCTACATCATGCTGCCTGCATTAAACAACTCACAGATGCGGCCAGTCCACAGACAGTAAAATACATCAGCTTGCACGCACAACGACTGTACGACTGTTCTTCTGTGAAGTCTGGAGACCTTATGTGTCAAGCCTACTTGGAGGAATCTCTCAGATATTTGATGCAAGGCTGCACAACAAGCACAAATGATTTGAACTGGTTTCAAGACTCGAAGAATTTTAATAACTTTAGGCTTGGTTTTATGGTGATTCAGTTTATAACAAAAAGCTGCACAACTAATGGAAACTTCTTTTGAGGGTAAAAAAAAAAGTCATCTGCTGCCTTGTGATGACCCTCTGATTTCTGGAGTTAAAAGTGTTTTGGAGGACTTCATGATTCCTTCTGCCAATAAGCTTAAAGGAGATGCTGGTTTCATTTTTTAGCAAGGGGTACCGATGGCAGGTTTGATAACTACTATCGCTCTACCTCCAACATGAGTGAAATCAGCCCCAACAATGCTGACAAGCTGAAAGTCGCTGTTAAAGCCACCAGGCCTTCTTAAGATCTCAGCAGAACCACAGAAGTCAAACTGCATAGCAAAAGGAGCCACAATCATCCATAACTCCCTATCCTGTATAATGCATTTTTCAGCGCTCCCATATTCTTTCACTTTGCATTAGAGATTAACATCCATCTTTCCACGTCAGTATTTGAACTTCAGAGAGGTTTCTTTGAGATTTGAGTTTATTGCAGGAAATTTCAATTTTCAAATCCAAAAAGAATGAAACTGTCAAGGTTCCCATGTGTGTGTTCTGAGTGCGAGCGATGCATCTTTTCTTCAGAGGATCTTGGTGGAGTACCTGGGCTGCCTACACAGGTGAAGCTTGTCAGCTTCATCAGAGTGCTGGGATTAAAAGTGCAGCAGAGCCTTTACTCAGCGCTGGATGATTAGCTGTTACCAGTTTTTCTCACGCTTGTTTTTTTTTTTTTAGGATTCAGTTCACCGACTCACCTTCCAGTGGATTAACCAGCTAGTTACCTGCCTGCCCGCTCCACCTGCCATCAATTCCTCCATCAGAACTCTGTAATTGCACTCAATCAGAGGTAAACCATCAACCTCTTCCCTCCATGGCCCACTCAAGGTTTTCAGAATTTAGCTCTAAGCTCTGAATCTATGGGAGAATTATCCTGCCATAATGCAAGAGCACATAATTTCAATTTGAGAAAAGAATTTCATCTTCTTGCACTCAAAACTTATAATGCTCACACTCAAAACATGCGCTCTCTCTCAAATATTTTCTCTTCTCTCTCAAATCTTTGTTTCTTCTCTCAGATTTAATGCTTCTTGCACAGATATTTTCTCCTCTCGCTTGCCTCCTTCTCTTCGCGCACAAACCACGCTCTGCTCAAGTCTCAGATACACTTGCAAACCTACGGAAGAGGTTTAAGGCCACTGAAAAAAAAAACTAAACTGATTTTTAAATTTTATTTCAGTTTAACATGGGAAAAAAGTCAGAATTCTGAGAATAAAGTCAGAATTCTGACTTTTTTCTCAGAATTCTGAGAATAAAGCCAGAATTCTGACTTTTTTCCCATACTATACTGGAATAATAAAAAAAAAATGTTAACTTTTTTTTTTTTTCAGTGGCCCTAATCCTCTTCCTTACAAACCCGTAGGCTCTGCTTGCGGATTTTTTTTGCTCTCTCTCAGATTGGAGTTGGATCGTCGCCTAGCAACCTTTCCAGCCAATAGAACGATAGCCTCAGAAAGGGTGCGCTTGTAAAATGGCTTTTTTGTTTATACATATATATATATATATATATATATATATAGTGATGTTATCGTTTAATAACATGTATTAAAATGTATTCTTTATGTTTTTTTGGATTGTGATGTATATGATTCTTCTAATTCCCCATCTACGGTTACTGGCCACAACTAATTCTCCTATCATTCCAGACGCCACAGCTCACTGAACCACCTCACACTCCAGAAGGAATTCATACTGTCTGTTTTTGTTTGGTCAATAAACCCTTTTTCCAATCTTAACTCAGTTGAATCTGCATGTGGGTCAGAAGATTAAATCCGAACATGACGGAAACGGAACACGTTCGTTACAGAAGATAAAATAAAATGCCAGCTCTTTCTCTGCAAAACAAAAAAAAAATATTTGTCAGAAAATGTTTATTGTCGATCGTCAATAAATAAGCTAACATGGGTATGCAGCACTGCTAAGGGGACAGATAAAACCCTCCAAATTAGGGACATGATTTCTAATGATGTTGTTTGATGTTATTTTCCCCTCAAGAAGAGGAAAAAAATGGCTGTTTTTGAGAAGGCACAGCCTGAAAGGTTATCTCATTGAATCATACTAAGCGCAGTATTTTCAAATGACATGTCTGCTGTAAGTAAGAATAAACCACCACAATGTTAATTTGCACAAACTACACCTGACAACCAAAAAACACAAAACCAAGAGAAATGCCTAAAATTATATCATAATCATAAAACAAAAAACAGTTTTCTTACGATGAAAAAATGTCTAGGCTTATTTTGCACTTTAAATGCAAGAATGTTACATTTCACTAAATTACTGTCTGTTTCCAATACATTTTGAATACATATTTTAGAAAGTAGTAATGGGCACTTATAAAATTTACCTCTTCACTATTATTTATGGTTTTGTGATAACAAAAAGTGATGATATAGTATTTACTTTTGATTCTTTTTTAAGCAACTTTATGGCTGTAACTATATACCACAACAGTTAAATCCCCACAGAAATAAATGCACCTCTTCACATACATCTTCAAATTGACTGCATTTAATCCCATATTTGAATTTTGTGTGTATTTATTGATAATCAAAAGTTACCTTGAATTTATTATTGGATAGTGAATATAAACATTCCTAAGCAGAGTTTGTATCATTATTAATGCTTTATTATAACTAAAATATCAGGGGGATACATACACTCCATTACATGCATGTCCCTGTTTCAGCCAGCTTACAATGTTTATACAGTTTTATTCTGACTAAATATCCAAGATCTGACAGTTTTCCTTAATCCAATCAAAGCAATCAAGCTTTCTTAAATTTTACAATAAAATAGGACAACGGAAATTATTTAACTAACTTCTAAGACTGATTTCCATGCTTAATAATTAGGACACTCTTTACCTTAAAAGCGGCCCATTCCTCTGCAGTGTTCCTCCATAAATAAAATGTTGGTGAACCTGGATGTCCGGGGCGTCCTGGCTCCCCCATTTTACCCAGTCGGCCTCTAGGACCCTTTCCACCCTGAACACATTGAAATATATTTGGTCATTTAAACCTAAAGTGCTGTGATTTAGACAGAGATGGGAAGTAACGAAGTACAAATACTTCGTTACTGTACTCAAGTAGATTTTTCTGATATTTTTACTTTACTTTACTTATTTTTATGGCGACTTTTTACTTCTACTCCTTACATTTTTACACAAATATCTGTACTTTCTACTCCTTACATTTTAAAAAATTGGCTCGTTACTTTAGTTTTGAATCATTTCAATGGAGTTACTGTTATTATTTTTCACGTCATCAATACCAAATTCAATCTAATTGGATGGGAATCTACGTTGCATTTGACGCACCACTACAAGATGAATCCACAGATTCGGCGGTATTCATTGGCGGCAAATCATTGCAGCTTGGTGGCGGTGGCGTTAGCATAGTAGCATGGACGACGAGATGATTGAAAATGAACACAACGGAGATCTAGTCCTATTGGCAGACATCCATTTAAAATGTAGGCAACGGCATGAAAAAAGTGGTTTCTACTTTTACTTTTATACTTTAAGTAAATTTACAAGCCTGTACTTTGTTACTTTTACTTGAGTAAAGAAGTTTAATCAGTACTTCCACTTTTACCAGAGTATTTTTTAACACAAGTATCTGTACTTTTACTCAAGTACGGAAAGTGAGTACTTTTGCCATCTCTGGATTTAGATTTATTGTTGTGTTATAAAAGCATATTTATAGCAAGATTAAATTAAAGATTAAAGATATTTAATCATAGAGCACAAAAAAATATTTAAATAGCAACCCTCCATAGTGATTCCAATCAAAGTTGGGTTTTAAAGTGTTTGGTGATGGCATCCTCTGCTCATATTTATCTAAATGCCATACTGATAACAATACTGAATACTTATGATATTTATGTTAGAAGATGTTTTTAAAAAATCAGTTTTTGAACATTGGAAAGGTTGTTATAAGCAGTATCTGTGTCCATCCATGTTCTGCAGGGTTATTTCATCCAATGGGAAGTTGCACAAATGTGGCAGCTAGTTCTTAAGGACACCATACCTCTTGCAAGTAGATCAACATGGTAAAGTTGAAATCACTCAGGGGCCGCAAAAAACGTATTACTTAAATGTTTAAATGTATAAAAAAGCTCAGATGTATTTCAGTGTGATGCATTGCTTTGTGACCTGCTTTTATCATGTTTTCATCCTTACTTGCAATTTTCTGCTTTTATTTTTCTATTCTATTGCTTAATTTGTGTAAAGCACTTTGGATTGTCTTAGTACTGAACTGTACTACTGATCTGCAATTCATGTTAAATTCGAAATAAGAGAGGAATGCATCACTTATGCCTCATTTAGTCATCATTAATTATCATAGAATTTATAAATGGTATAAAGTTGCACCATTCTGAGTTGCAGTAAATGGTCAAACTAAATCAGTTTAGCATCACTGATGCACCTCATGCGACAATTTAGACATCTGGTTCATCAACCCAAGCCTTACTTACCTTATCGCCTTTTAATCCAGGAGGACCAGGGTCACCAGGGCATCCCTATGAATACAGTGACAGCAAGACAATGAAACTTAATATAAATTATTTAAATAATAATAACTGAAAACTGTATTCACGTATTACTCCTACTTGCATATGTGCTAGTGATGCAATCCAATTCAATTCAGTTTATTTTTATAGCACAAGTTCACAACACATCTAATCTCAAGGCACTTTACAGTTCACCAGATCATTCAGTCAAATTGATTTAAAGTTTTCTATTTAAGGAAAACCAGTTGATTGCATCGACACATTGACTCAAATGCAATCCCTCACAGTAAGCATGCTTGTAGCGACAGTGGAGAGGAAAAACTCCCTTTTAACAGGAAGAAACCTCCAGCAGAACCAGGCTCAGTGTGAGCGGCCATCTGCTGAGGCCGACTGGGGTTCAAGGAGACAGAAGCAGAGATACAAAAAGCAGCTATTAAAGGCGGCCCCGTCTAGGAAACACAAAGCCAGGCAGCTGGTACATCAAAGTACAAAATCAGCCATTTAACCTGGAAAAACAGAGTCATTGTTATGATGTTTAGGCAAAACCCTTTTAAGGTGTTAATCAGTCTTCAGTATTAGTGTTTCTGAGGGAAAAGCTTAATTCATATGATTAGGAACGGCAATAACACTTTGAGAGTTAGGGTTAAAAAAAGCCAGCAGAGCTGCTTCACTAAGTTACTAAAAATATTGGTAATAATCACATGTAATAAAAATGTATCAGTTCCAGGTGACAGCAAAGAAGAACTGTCTAATAGAGTGTCACTTGCTATTGTGTGAAAGCATTTTGCCTTTAAAATCTTGGATGGACTGAAAGAAAGACTTTCTTAGCCGCAAGCACATCATAGAATACAAAGACGTGTTTTAAAGCATTACTAGGGTTGCTAGGTCCATCATTTTTGTTTGGAAGTGTAACCTGGTTGGTATTTCTATTTTTATTATAATTACATAAAATACCTATTTTTATTCAGACTGTTCACACACCTGACTGTAAACATTCTAGAAAAGGAACATTCAATGAAAACTTACTACGGTCCAGTTACTAAAATTTCTTCTATAAGGTCTAAACGGAGGTTCAGCTTTTGCCTGTTATTGTTGTAACTAAAGTAATAGTATGCTCAAGTTTAATGTTAATAAACAGCTCCTTATGATAAGGAACTAGCTATTTCAAATTAATAAAAGTACTTCCAATAGTTCAATTTTGAAAACTTTTATCAGACAATAAAAGGAACTACTGAATATAAAATACGTTTTTATCTTTGAACAAACTACACTTGCATTTAAAAGTTCGTTTTGTCAATGTTCCATGGTTTAATTCTAATAATAAAGTAGAAATCACAAGAAAGCTGCAAGGTCCACAATTTAATTGAGACATCAATCTTAATCAAGGGGGACATCAAAGGGGGATGGCATCCCCCTTCTTAAAAACATCTTTAAAATCCTCCCCCTTCTTAAATGTCCATCCCCCCATACCATCCCCTGTGACATTTTATCAATGAATGTGTAAATTTCTAATATATATTAACAGTAATGGAAATAATATTGCCCTTTCAAAATTTGGCAGGCTATGTACTTAAGAGTAGTCTGACCAAATTACAGTGGCCCAGAGGGCACATGCGCTTTCATTTTCAACCTCAGTGGTGCAACCAGTGGAGCAGGTGACAGTGGAGCAGGCTGTTCCTGAACAGCATCACAGCGAGGCAGCAAAGACGTGATTCGAGGGACTTAATTTTTAAGAAGGCAAAAACTAACACTTCAGGTAAGTCAAGAGTTAGAAGACATTACCTTTTATAAGCTTACCACAGTGTCACCAAATATTTAGAATTCCTAATTTCTGGACATAGCGATAGCATGCAAAGCTATAACTAACACGCTCAATGAGGCGGAAACTTGGCCAAATGGAAAAAATCTCGGACTGGAGAATCTGCCTGAAAAGGTCAAAAAATCGGACAGTGTATGCCCGTCTTAAGTTTTGATATAAACTACTAAACATGGTTGTTTTAGCTGTCTGTTGATGTCATTAGAATAACAAATGGTGTCTCGGTCTAATCCTTCGATATTAACCAGTACAAAGCAGAAAGGATCCAGTTCCAAAAGCAACTGGCAACCCTGCACTGTCACCAAATTAAATCTGCATTTTTTTAATCTCATAGCAGATTGAGAAGTCATGGAGGTCCTGGTAAATATAAGGCCATATTCTTTAATGTGGATTAAATCCTACATCAGAGACACAAAAAATATGTCTAATTGTGTTTTTTGTTGTATAACAACTTAGTTTACTTAGCTGTAAAGCAGCACTGTGGCCCATTCTTTGATGGATCTGACCCTCTTAGGTAGAAAAGTGAAATTTTGAGAACAGCCTGGATGGAGGATCGGTATAGGCAGAGTGCTGTATACTAATCTGATAAAACTTTTAAAAAATCAGGAATTAAGCTCATACTTCTATCCAAAATTACACAGTGTTGCTTTAACATTTAAAGTGACACCTTGACATCAAAACCTGGAATTAAGTGATGACTGACATATTCAGTCCTATCCACAGAAAAACAAACAGTGATTTAAAATAAATAAAAGGTATTATATTAATAGCGGTGTTTTCTTCTCCCCATTTCACAAAAGAGGTAGAACTGATTCTTCTGTCCAACATTTATTCATTGCAATAGAAAAGGGCTGAGAGTAAAACAGATTAGCTGAAGAGCTGAAGAGCATGTGTTTAACGATGGCGCAAAGCCACTGATTCAATGACAGCGTTATTACAAAAAAAGGTGCATTTTTCTGCAACCTGCTCAATGTGCAGAAAAAGCTCTATGACTTTACCCAACTTCTTACTAAACCATCCAGTTGAGCTCAATTTCTAAAAAGTATAATGTTGCATATAAGAAGACGGAATCCTAAAACTTGCATCAGCCTGCATTGCCTCTACAGCTATTCTGCTGAATGGATTTTAAGGCACTGCACCTTTAGCTGCATGTCACCAATCAGCGAGTCTGCATTTGGTTTAATCTACCCTACAGCTGCTGTAATCACCTACTTCCTACACCAGGAAATCCAATCAAAAGGAATAAATCTCACTCCTGCACACCAATAAAAAGTGAAAGATTAATAGTGTTACATTAGAAAATGTTCTAAGAATCAATGAGGTCCCCTAATGTTCACACATGTCGGCATCAAAGGCGTTTAGATCAACGCATGTCTGAGCAGTGAGACCGTCGCTGATGGGTTTCAGGTGGACGCTGACGAAGAACAGAAAGTGTTCAACCAGAACCATTTATCTCACTCTGTTCAATCACATCGCCTGCCTAATCTAACTCACAGCCCCAGACTTACATCATGCATACAAGCCTTAAAATGATTTCCATGTTTTTTGGTTCTTAGTCTCTCATGTAACAAAAGCAAAGGAATATTCCACAATGAGGATAAACTCATCAGTGTAGTTATTGAGAGATTTTTGTTCTTTTATTGTTAAAAGCAAATAACATATTATGTAAATGTAGATTTTTTTTAAAATATGCAATTCAGAAATTAAACTTTTTGGATATTTTTTCAAATCAATTGTTTTTCAAACTATTTTTTTTTTTTTCAAAAAACTAATTGTAAACTTTTTATTGTAAAATTTTTGTTTTTCAAATTTCTCTTTCTTCAGATTGAGTTTTACAAATCTGATTTTTTTTTTTATTACATTTACCAGATCCCTTTCTTTTCACTACAAACCCAATCTGAAAGCTAGCTTTTAATTTGCACATTCACCAATAAAAATTCATGCACATCAATAGAAATGCATTGTAAAATGCAAAAGCATAACATTTGCAAAAATTGGTTTCAGGAAAAGGGCAATTTGAGAGGGAAAACAACATATAAAAAAAAGTGAAAACATTTGATAATGGGAAAAAATAAATAAAATGATTAATGAATTTATTCCTTCATAAAATAAAAGAATAAAATCTGAGAAAACAGCAACCTTACTCTGATTTTTTTTTTTTCAAAGCTTCATTTTTGGATTATATATATATATATATATATATATATATATATATATATATATATATATATATATATATATATATATATATATATATATATTTAATTTCCATTTACAAAATTTGTTCTTTGCCTTCACTATCAGAACAATATTCGCTCCATACTGTTGGGATTATTTTTCATTATTTTTATATTTATTTAACCCTCAAAATACCTTTCTGATAAGTGTGAAGGCTAATGTTTTTCCCAGTAGTTTATCTAATTAGGACAAGATTTGGAAATAAAATGAGAGCATAGATAAAGTGAACTATTCCTTAATATAGAGCTTTGTCACAATGCATTCAGATTCTCCTTGATCCTGAACACTGTTACTTTGATATATATGATGACCTTTAATCATGTCTAAGTGGATATTTGGCAAAATTTTATTTTAAATTTTATTTTATTCTAAAATGTATTTGAATTGAAACATTTATCTTATTCTATTTTTATGTGTTTATGTATTTTAGCCTTTAGCTTTTATCTTATGTTCCTTAACTGTGATTCCTGTACAGCACTTTGGTCAACCCCGGTTGTCTTAAATGTGCTTTATAAATAAAGTTTGAGTTGAGTTGAGTTGATATGGGTGGAGCCAGTGATTAATCCTGATTTACAAACATGTTTATGATGTAATGATGTGATGAGGGGGCAGGGTGTGATCCTGGAGATGTATAAAATGCTTCTTTAACTGTTATTCCATCTTTCTGAAGAAGCGAGCCTGGTGGTAAGCGCTACCATTTGTAAACTTGAGCAATTTCTTTGTCCGAGTAAGATTTCAATTTCTTTAAAATCTGTTCTCATGTCTCATAGTCATTTTATATATCTACATTGGAAAGTATTATTTGAAGGGTTCGTTCTGAGTGATCTCCTCTCGGGAAATTACAGAGGAAAGAAAACTTAAAGATGCAAACACAAAGTTTTCCATAATAAAATGGTGTTTCTGCCCTGACATGGCAGTAGAATCACTCGTTAAGAGCCACTGATTGACCAACCCCAAATAGAGGCCGCAAATAAGTGAGGAGATTCCTGTTTAACAAATACCTCCATTACTCATCCCTTGTTTAAAATAACCCCTTGTTAGTTTGTTCTATTTGATTCAAAGTTCTAATGTTTTGACTGTTAAGTACAAGGTGTTAACTTAGTGTACTAGCTGAAAATAGACTTTAACATAAATGCGTCCTCTAAGCTTTGCATATAGTAACATTTGTAAAACAAAAAGCCACAAAAAAGTGTAAGAGAAGAGAAAAAAAGTTCACTTACATCTGGTCCGGGGGGTCCCATCCTGCCAGGTGGTCCCTTCTTGAGCCTGTACGTTTTCCCATCAGAGCCCAGGACCAGATCTCCATCCCTGGATTCAGTCGTCACAATCCGAGGCCTGCCTCTGCCTGGATCTTTGCCTTCACTGTTAGGCTTGCTTCCATGTACCAGGGGTTTGGTTGTCTGGGCAGCGATAGGGGTCCAGCTTCGTGTGGGTGAAACAATACCTGTTCTGTCTGGAGATTCCTCTATCAGCTCATTTGATTCGGTTGATGTTCTTGGATGGGAGGGCATCTTAGGAAGCAGAGGGATTCCCAGAGACGGCTTCTTTGGGGAACCTCCAACATCCAAGTCGATGATATTGTCTGAAGGCTTTAGAGGAACAACCAATGAAGTCCTAGAATCTGTTTCCTTCTCTGTTGTAATGTTCTCCTCCACTTTTTTGGAAGACACATCGGGTTTACCCTTCTGCCCGCCGTTCTGTCCATTTCTAGAAGGTCTCCACTGAGGGTTCACTACTCCACCACCTTGAAATATTGGATCTAACAGATCGGTGTCCTCGTCAATCACAAACACATCTCCACGTCCCACTGAGCCTTTTCTGTTGGGCAAGGAAGGGATCGTTCCATCCCCACGAGACCCTTCTTGTCCTCGAGACGCATT